GCAGATAAAGGCTATAGGCTAAAAGCCACACTAATTATCACTTAATATGCCTAACGTACATGTATAGCGAAAGCGCCAAACAAGCGAAAGCGCCAAAATGATGCGGTGACCAAACCCCCCAACTAAATGTTAAATTCCTCAACAACAAAACATGCCCCATAAAAACGATGAAAGCCAATTAGTGCTAGCTATCCAGGCTATGCAAAGCGACCCAAAGTTACGCCTTCGAGTTGCTGCTAGGATCTATTCTGTGGACCACCGCAAGCTAGGTCGTCGTCTAGAAGGTGTACCTTCACGACGCGATATCCAAGCCAACTCATGGAAATTAACTAACCTAGAGGAGTCCGTCCTTGTTCAGTATATACTCGACCTAGCTGCCAAAGGGTTTCCTCCTCGGCTGTCTGTTGTTGAAGATATGGCAAGTCGACTACTTGCAACACGTGACGCGTCACGCGTTGGGTCGCGTTGGGCTTCAAACTTTGTTAAGCGGCATGTAGAGCTCCAGACACGCTTTCAGCGCAAATACGACTACCAGAGGGCTAAGTGCGAAGATCCAGAAGTTATTAATGGCTGGTTTGAGCTTGTGCATAACACAATTGCGAAATATGGTATCGATGAAGCAGATATCTACAACTTTGATGAGACTGGGTTTATGATGGGCGTTATCTCAACTGCTATGGTTGTAACAAGCTCAGACGGGCGGGCAAAAGCAAAGAAGGTACAGCCTGGTAATCGGGAATGGGTTACAGTAATCCAAGGCGTTAGTTCTCAAGGTTGGGCAGTACCACCATTTATCATTGTTGCAGGCAAAAACCACCTTACATCTTGGTATGAGAATAGTGGATTTTCAAGCGATTGGGTGATTTCTGTTACTGAAAATGGCTGGACTACAAACGAGAGAGGCATGGATTGGATTCAGCACTTTGAGAAGCATACAAAGGCCCGGAGTGTTGGTGGTTATCGCTTGTTAGTCCTTGATGGTCATGAGAGCCACCACTCAGATGAGTTTGAGGAGTACTGCAAGGAACACAACATTATTACGCTTTGTATGCCTGCTCACTCTTCTCATCTACTCCAGCCACTTGATGTTGGCTGTTTCGGCCCGTTAAAGCAGGCCTATGGTCGGCAAATTGAAGATATGATGCAGGCTCATATTTCTCATATTACAAAGGATGACTTCTTTCCTGCCTTCCACGCTGCATTTAACACTACAATGACGGAAAGTAACATTCGAGGCGGGTTCCGAGGGGCAGGGCTTCTTCCATTTGACCCTGAGAGAGTGATATCTACACTTGATCTTAAGTTAAGGACACCAACGCCTCCAAGCTCCCGCCCAGGTACTGCTCAACCTTGGGTTTCTCAGACACCAAACAACCCAATTGAAGCTATGTCACAGTCTACATTTATTAAAACTCGGATTTCACGCCATCAAAATAGCTCTCCAACCTCAATCTATGCAGCTGTTGACCAGTTTACAAAGGGTGCATCGCAAATAATGCATCAATTAGCACTGCTAAAGGCAGAGAACCAAAACCTACGACAGGCAAATGAAGTACTAAGCAAGCGCCGGAGAGCTAGGAAAACACGACTACAGCAAGGAGGATCACTTAGTCAACAAGGGGCGCAAGAGCTACAGGATGAGAGGGATGTTGTGCAGCAGGTAGAGCAGGAAATAAGGGCAAGCCGTGGTCGGAAGCCAAGGGAAGAAACCCGTGCCCGTCGCTGTGGCAAGTGTGGTGAGACTGGGCACAATGCGCGCACGTGTCAGATTGTAATAGACACCTCTGAGGAAGAGGACTCCGAGTAGTTTCAATTGATTTCTAATGTTGTGGTAGATTTATCGCAATGTTTGTCGTGAGGGTAGATAATTTTGGCGCTTTCGCTTGTTTGGCGCTTTCGCTATACATGTACGTTATACGCTAGAATTCAACATATTATATGCTTAAAATTTCTATAAAGCTTAGAATACTAATTAACGTAAGTCGTGGCGTAACGCAACGGGTGTCGTAACGCAACTGATAACCGAGGACTACCAACTTGTAACTTGAATAACTCAACAATGGTGCATAGGAAAAGCGTAGCGACGGCGGATTTAGAGTCTCGTATTACTCAGGCGGTAACTGCATTCAAAATGGTGAATATAAAAGCTTGTATAAGGCTGCCCAGGACTTGGGGTTGACGCGGAGCACATTGACGCGACGTGTCAATGGGGGGTTATCTCGCCGTCAAGCCCGCCAACAACAGCAGAAACTCTCATACGCTCAGGAAAACGTACTTCTGAAGTGGATCAAAGACTTAACAATCAGTGGGTACTCTCCTGGGCATCGCTTATTAAAAGAAATAGCAGAGGAACTGCGTAAAACATATGATTTGGACAATGCGACACCCGACGTGCTTGAACTCCAACCACATGATACGCTTGGTGAGGACTGGGTTCCCCGATTCATTATACGACACCCACATCTCAAAGTTGCTATTGGACATCGAATTGAGTCTGTACGAATGGACGGGGCAACAAAACCAGTGCTTGACGCGTGGTTTGACGCGTATCAGAAAGTGGTTCAAGAACACGGAATCGACCAAAAAGACATATATAACATGGACGAGTCTGGATTTTCGATTGGGACAATGGAGTTAACGCGTATAATACTCGATTCATCACTTCGTACAAAGCACCAGGCTCATCCTGGCCGTCAAGAATGGGTTTCGATGGTGGACTGTATTTGCGCAGATGGAACAATTCTACCACTGCTCGGGATATTCAAAGGGTCGAACGTCTTACAGAACTGGATACCGAATAGCGTACATAATGAATGGTTCTTTTCAGCAAATACAAAGGGTTGGACGAGTAACGTTCACAGTTTAGAGTGGTTGAGGCGTGTTTTTGAACCGATAACCCGAGCAAAAGCAGGCAGACAACACCGACTTCTTATTTGTGATGGCCACGATTCACATATAAGCGTTATAGCACACTGTCTTCAAAATCGAATTGCGCTTCTTATCCTACTGCCTCATACATCACACTTGCTACAGCCGCTTGATGTTGCGATTTTTGGCCCTCTCAAAAAACGGCTGACAGCAGCACTATCGCACTTGAACCAAGCACAACTCGTACGAATACAGAAGTACGAGTGGATGGAAGCATATATTCGAGCACGATCAGATGTATGCAATCGTCAGAACATCGAATCTGCCTGGCGCGGTGCTGGTTTAATCCCATTCAACCCACAAAGAGCACTTCGTACGATGGCCCGCGATGCAACACCCGAGCAAGAAAGACCAAGAACACCAACCCAGTTTGATATTTTTAATCAAGTCTTTGTAAATAGCTCACCACCTGATCCAGCGATACTGTGGGATGCGAATAAGCTACTTAATTCAACAATTAAGGACCATACGACTGTTGCAACACCAGTCCGCAGATATATCCAAAAACTGACAACCGGGACTGAGCAAATTCATGCGCAAAGTATCGTCCACCAACATGATTCCAACAACTTACAGTCTATCATAAAGAAGCGTGCGACCCGTACGAAGGGAAAGAGGGTGGTTTTAAAGGGCCATTTCCATATCTCTACGCAAGAATTATGCGATGCAGTGGTGGAGGCTGAGAATGCTACAAAAAGTCAAGGTAGGAAAACACGAAAGGGAAAGGAAAAGGCAGTTGTGTACATTTCTGATAGTGATTGCGATGATGAAGAAGTACTTCACGAGGATTCTAAGAGCGATACTGGGTCATGTATTATTGTTGATGTTTAGCTATTTAATTTTCTACGTCGTTCTCCTCTGATATCCGTTGCGTTACGACACCCGTTGCGTTGCGACACCCGTTGCGTTACGCCACGACTTACGTTACAGTAGTGTGTATAATACAAAAGCTTGATATTAGTATTCTAAAGCCATTAAGACGGTTACAAAGCGATTCATATCTAACCCTTAACTTTACTATCCCTCTTTAATTAAAGATGATAAATAAGGTTAAGACAATGCAAGAAGATCTTGGTAAGCTCTACAATTAGACTTTAGAGCTGCGCTTCAAAAGCTTAATGAGTATTATACTCTTATAATAAATCAGTAATGTAAGCACTTAGCTGTCGCTACAATTTGTGACCTACAAATGAGTCATATAGTATTTAAAAAGTTTATCCAAATACTATAGACGATACACGAAGAGCACGAGCAAGGGCGCAATTTGAAAACGTTTGTAGAACATACCAAAAGCGAGAGTATCACCTTAATGCAGAGTGTATCAACCGTGAAACAGCTCTTGCAGAAGCAATAGGTGCTACAAATACAACAGAGCAAGAACCTGATTCTGACGAAGACCTATTTGCATCAGAGGGCTTAGCATTTCAAGGGCTAGAATGGGGGCGGTAGATGCTTGAACCACGGCCTAGTGAGCATCGGATATGCTCAAATATTAGTGCGCAAAGCAATACCATATCTAGTTATTGCTCGTGACCATTTAGCAATTCCAGCAACATCTGCAGAATCAGAACGGGCATTTAGTAATAGTAGTGATATTATTACAAAGAAGCGGAATAGGTTATCACCACTAACGATTAGATATTTACTTTGCTTACGGAATTGGTGTCGGATAAGGCTGATAGTGAGGCGATGATGCTGATGATGAGGCACACGAATAAGTCTAATATTTCAAGCTACAGGTGTAGGGTTAGGTTAGGTTATAGTTTATTAGTATTATCTAAAGCTTCATCTTTATATGCTCTATCCACGGAATTTAGCCTCATATATCCGGATATATACCTACTCTACCTGTGAGATATTGGCCGGATACAAGCTCTACCCGTGGGCATCACGGATACTACCCGGATATATATCCGCCGAACACTGGCAATGAGCATATCATTGGTATCTTGAAACTATATAGCAAATGAGGCAAGGAGGCTATGTATCTAATTACAGAAAGAGTTGAATGCCAACCCAAACCTATTATGCCTCATACCTAGGCTATACTCCTCTCCTCGCCAACAACCAGCTCAGTAACCATCATCGTTATAAGCAAGGTTGTCGCGGCTGTTCTTCGGATGAAGCACAACGTTCTTCGTAGCGACCCCCTTGATCTTGGTAGCGATCTTGGACGGTGTGCTGGTTCCGTTCTTCTCCAGACCAATGAAATAAGCTGCAAGCCCCGCGACGTGAGGGCAGGCCATGCTAGTACCCGAGATGGTTTTGTTGGCATCTTTCCCGCCGATCCAGGCGGAGAGAATGTCAACACCCGGGGCGAAGACGTCAAGAGCTACTCCCCAGTTCGAAAACGCGGCGCGGCTGTCATTTCTGTCTGTCGCGCCGACGGTGATGGCGTCCACAGTAGACGCAGGGGATACGCCAGAGGCATTGGCGTCTTCATTTCCGGCGGCGGCGACGACAACAATGCCCTTGGCGATGATGGCCTCGGTGGCCTTGTTGAAGGCTTCCGAGTAATCCGCACCTAGGGACATGTTGATGACTGACTTCGCAGTCTGGTTCTTCTTTCCGGCGTCATCTGCGGCCCATTGCATACCTGCGAGGACGTTGGAGCCCTTACCGTCTCCATTGGCATCGAGGACTCTGACGGCGATAATCTTGGCCTTGCTGGCAACACCAAAGTTGGCTCCAGCGGCGATACCGGCAACATGAGTGCCATGTCCATCCTCATCAGTATCGGGCGAACCGGGGATGAAGTTAGCGCCAAATGTGGCGCGGCCTTCAAATTCCTAGAAAACGGTTAATGGATGACTGGGGACTATTGCGTTGGGTGAGGTTGAGAACATACGACGTGTTCGATGTAGACACCAGTGTCAATAATATAGATGGTGGTTCCTCCTCCTGCGCTGGAATCATAAGTATATTCTTCGAGCCCTGGAGAAGTCCCGTTGCGATGAGAAATACGGTCAAGTCCCCATGGCGCGCCGATGCGAACAGACAGGTCGTAGGCGGAGACTTTCACATCCTTGTCGACATAAGCCACCTATTCCGAGTTAGTATTATGAGCGTCCCTTTGAATTCTATTGCCAACTAACATGGGGCGATTGTGATATCCTGTTGACGGTGTCCATATCACTTTCGATCTGGTAGCCCTTGAACTTCGGCATCTTATATTTGTGACCCAGCCCCCTAAAGGTCGAGTCACGCTTGCTCAGGAATGAATGAACATTGAACATCTCAGACTCGAAGGTTGAGTCGTCAATGTCCTTGTAGACGACAATATAGCTGTCTGCAGCGACATTTGTGGCGGCGGCATTGCGGAGCTTCAGCTCAGTAGCACTGACAATAAGGGGCAGGAAGCATGCCACGAGGGCAACGAGGCTCTTGGAAAACAGCATGGTGGGTGGTAGTGGGGAAGTGAGGTGATTATAGACCGGTATGGAGGAGCAAGACGGTTTCTAGAAGATAATATATCTTACTTTATACATGGCTAAGCAATGTTTAATCAACAGAGATTGAACTCATGGCAACGATGGGACAATGTCTTAGCCACAGCTTCTGACCACCAGCATATAGATATGTGCGTTTGTATGGATGATAAGTAACGATGAGGATGGGTTTTCTGTTTAGTGTCTCAGACACGAAAGTGCTGTACAACTCAACGTACAGCGTCCTATTCCGCGGCTTTCGAAAGTGAGTGAAATATTTCACACTGATGTAGTAGTTTCTTAATAACACACATCGCATCCAACGTCGAAAGTAGATGCAGTGGCATGTCGAACGGTAGTAGAACCATGAATCGAGGACGAAAAAGAGAAAATCGTGATTTCGGGATAATAACTGCCCCTGAAAATATGACTAGGTAAAGCAAGATCAGCCAATGCAGGCCGCCAGGAACCGGCGCGCACCAGCTGGCCAAGTTGCCTGCCAATAAGTTGATAGAACTATTACTGACAGGTAGACTTGAAGAATACAAATCCCATCCTCACCTCGGGATATCTGAGACCTATGTCTCTGAACAGCTGCTCCTGTACAACACATACAGCAATGCTACGCCAACCACCGTGGCACACAACACAAACAGACGCAGCCGCGAGTCCACCCCAACCATTCGGAATGTCCGGTTTTAGTCCAGTTACCCTTCATGCTTGTCTTTTGCCCGAAACGGCCATCCGTCTCACGTCCTTGTTTGCTGCCCATCAGCTACATCGGGTCTTCGCTCTGGGGGAGCCAACCCGTCGGGACGGTATGGCGCATGTCTCAGTACGGACGCGCTAGTGGATGTGGATTCTCGACGTTGTAAATAGTTCGCTCGATGAACTATTTACAATGTTGTAATGTTGTAAATAGTTCACATACAATCAACACTGAGCTCACCGCCACGGCCCGAATGGTCGTTTTGTATCCGATATCTCCAACGCCGCAACACACCCCCGTCGTCGCTAACCTTAACATAGATTTATCAACGGTTAAGTTATCTTCACCTTCTTCGGGCTAACTGGTCTGACTCTACCCCACATAGTTTACTGCACGTGCTCGGCGCCTTGCAGGTGTCCATCGCTTGGCGGAATAAGCATTGGAATGATTCCTCCGAGATGCTTCCAGAAAATGAGTCAGTGACCATCATCATCTAAAGGTAAATATAAATACGAGGGGTATTTGAAGGCAGCTGAGACAGATTTTCCATCCAATCATAGCGCAAACGATACTTAAATCAATCACCATCATATCCTCACCGTACCACGTCGGGTTCTACAACCGTGGCGTCGGAGCAGGACCAGACTTCATCCGATCGCTGGGTGTTGTACAGGCGTTGAAGGACCTCGGCGTACCCGTCAACGAGATTGAGATTGAACCAGTTGACGAGTTTGAAGGAGAAGAGAGGCGCAGCTTCGAGCTGTTCCGTCGCACCTCAACTCTCGTTTCCGAAGCGCACAACAGCAATTCATTTCCCATTATTCTCTCGGGAAACTGCAGTGCTGCCGTTGGCGTGGCAGCTGGGTATAATCGGTCTCTGAGAGCCCGTGAGACGGGAGAGAAGCTAGGTTGCGTATGGTTTGATGCACATGACGACTATAACACTCCCAATACTGTCGTGAGCGGCTACTTTGACTCGCAACCTATTGCTATGCTGGCTGGGGAGTGCTGGAAGGGGATACTAGGGTCGGTACAGGGACATGAGGTGATGGATATTCGGGGGAAACTTGTGCACGTTGGCTTGCGGGATGTGAACGAGGTTGAGCGACAGCGGGTTCTGAACGCCGGGTTCGACGTCGTATGGGGAGATGAGAATGGCGGCAGAATGGAGTTTGCGGGGCGTCTACGTGGCTTCCTGGAGAAAAAGGATCTGGGGCCTGACAATGCTGCATTTTGATGTTGATGCTTTGGACATCTCACTTGGCAAGGCGAACCAGTTTTCTGTGCCAGGCGGCTTGTTTGAGGAGGATCTTCTTGGATGCTATGATGCTATGCTATTGTGCAGCGGACGCGTCCTCTGTCACTTACTGTGGCATCTTTTGACCCTTCTGGCGATGGAGCAGATAACATTGGAGTTATCACGATCCGGAGCATCAAAAGTTTGGTGGGGTCTCCCATTAAAAGAGGCATTAGAGCCAACAAGAACAATGTCACGGCATAATTACTACCAGTTCCGACGCGTATTTGAATACTCTTGTGATGTTTACTCTATGATGACGCCACAAACGTGACATATGGCTAGCCTTTCCACATGCATATCATCGTCTCTGCAGTCCTCGCACATGCGTGGAACCGGCGCAGCGAGAACGGCATCAATTAGGTCAGAGCCAAATTCTGGGATCCCTTGCATGACACGCTTGAGCATAGACCTTGACTCGTCCGAACAATTGCTCTTGCCCAACTTCAGCCTTGCGTGATCGATTGCTGCTTTCTGTAAATCCTTTGATACTGGTGGCAGATAGACTTTGGGGATAGATGCTAAATATTCTTCGAAAGTCGCTTCTTGGCCTTCCAAAGAGTCTCGATATTTGCAGGCGGATACGTGGCGTAGACCCTCAATATCATATTTATCCCCAAGGCAATACATCTGTATATGAATGCTTAGTTCGCTGGGGCTCCCTGCGGGAAGTATTTGGTCGAGGTCGTAGTCATCCGTGTACAAGTAGTCCATCATAAATCGCACCATCAATGGATTGTCGTCTTCAAGGTTTATAACCTCAGTGGTAGCTTCCTATAGATGGTTAGTTGCTATACTCCATCAAGAGGATCAACTGATCAATACTTTGAAGTTTCCAGCACAGGCTGCTCTGAAAAACGACGATTTGGGACATACTACCACTCGGTGGGCATTCCAGGTCTTTTCACCGCAGGTAATTTTCAGGTCGGAGAAGGCTCCTGTGATCAAGCAGCTTCATCTTGTCAGTAAAGCAATACCATGTGCGTACAAACAGAAATAGACCACGAGGAAATTGCGGTGATACAACTTACTTGTACATGGTTGTGAGTTTAACATTCTTGGTAGAACGCTTTGGAGCCATTCTTCGACGATTCAGCCAAGTGCTGCAAATGAATTCGGTGTGGCCAACTCTTGTTACTTGGTGGATAGTCCACCTGGTGTAGAAAGGTGTAGGAGAAGAAAGTTGTGAGGGGTGGAGGTGAATATATTGGGGTACTTGCAGGAATGTAGTTTTGTTTCTTTCTTTGTTTGTTTGGATTCACGAGTAGAGTTTTTGCCTTATAGGCTTGAAAGAAATTGATTGCTCTGTTTCAAAGCACTTACATTTTGTATTCCTCAAACGGCTTTTATAACAACTACCTCAAAATCCACCCCTAAATTGACATCTCGCCTACTTATCAATTTGTCTGACTTGAAGCATTCACAAAATCGACTATCGCTGCCGCCGTATAATAGTATACGCTAAGCTAGCATAAATGTAACAGGGAGATATTTCGGGAATATAGAGGATCATCCGTCAGAAAGCCAGCTTGATCCGACCCGTTGCTATTATCGCATGTATCATTCCCCACCTCACATTCCTCTTCGACGCCCAACTTCAACTCATACTGACGGAGATGTTCCATCTTTCGATCAATGAATGCGTTCAGGCCTTTGTGGGCACCTGCTGGCAAACACTGTCGGATCTCTCGTCCTGATCGCGTAAAGGATATAGCAAAATGAATCAAGCCGCGACCAGTATATTCGATCTAATGCAAAGCTGTCTCTAGCGGCCTCGTGGAATCAAAAAGTGTTGTCAGCTATAGACCTGTGAATCAGACTCGACAGGCTCGGGTTTGCGTTCTGGCCAGCCACAATATGTCGATGGTACTCCTGCTATTCCAAGATGCGTATAAATATCTCAAGCTTCGAGAGGTAGGTGCCAAGAAGGTCATCGTCTGAATTAGAGTTCCAATAGGCCGGCTCCTTTAATATAGCCAGGGGCGGGGAGTATGTAAATTGAAAGGGTGTAGTATAACACCATTCCTAGTCGATGATGCTAGTAATCTTGAAGGAATCATCGACAAGGATGTTCCCCGGCCGGAAATCGTCACAGAAAAGTTTAAAGGGGCCCTGGTTGTATCTTCGTGACACGAAACTAGGGGTGGCGGCCCGGAACAGATGGCGAGCAGTGTATTTCCGCCGGGCGTCAGATGAACTGCTAATACTATTTCTCTGCTTTTCGAAATGGAGGATGTCTTGCTCTGCAATGTCAAGTAGATAGCCGGAAGTAGTTGAATAAACCCGCGGCTCAACTTGCACACCTTCGTTTGAATTGAGTGTTAGAAGCCCCAAGCCTATCGACCAAGCATCATCATCATTGGAGATAATGAGCCTATCTGGTCGAAATCATCTGAAAGTTCTAGAATGATGTCTGCAATTTGCCGATATACAACTTCTAGTATCGAGTCGGGGATACGCTGAGTAGGACCTTATCCCCTGCTCGTCTATAGAATCTGCTCAAGGCAGTAGTGTGCCTTGAACAAAGGTCGTGATAAGGAAAGGACCAAGGCCGCTTGGGTTATCATCCGCCATACTGTAAGCAATCACAGTCGGGACTGCAATATCTGTCTTTTCCCTAATGTACCTCATAGTCGCACATCAGCTCGCACCTTTTGCTCTGGAAACATGACCTTTCCAGGAATAGGGAAGCGCAACATCCACTCTTCTCCGTCATCTTCAAACTGCACCTTGATGCAGAAATTGAATGAGCCGCATTTTAGATCAGCGACGTAACATTAGCGGTTATCGCGCAATTTAGACGCCAGTTAGCATACCACAGGGCCGACTTGACTAAGCTTCGTTCCATGCTAGGCGGTCGTTGTCATGTCGAGACAGTACGAGATCGTCAAAATCCATAGCTGGGACTTATAATAAATTGGGGTTCTGGAGAAGGTGGTCGTCAATTTGAATTTCGTTTCCACAGTAACACATACATAGTTTCACAAGTATTTATGCACATTTTATGATAAATCTATGAACGAGGTACTCGAGTATAATTGTTAAATTTCATATAAAAAACTACGGAGGTGAGAAGTTGCTGGAGCGATGATTTGTATTATCATACAAGGATGGGAGAGCTTGATGACGCGATCGTGATATTTTAGCGTCACTGCGGGGTTTCCTCAATTTTGCCCGCGTGGGTCTCCACCCCGCCGTCATCCGCAGGGCACTCAACCACAAACCTCATAAATAAAACCCTCCGCGCCACCTCCCAATATCTACATCCCAATCATCTACCCACCAAACACATTCGCGCACACCCCAAATGTCACCCACCATGCCCACCTTCATCTCCCGCCTCCTCCGCCCCTTCACCTCCAGCGCCTCCCTCTCCATCACACCCCCTGGCCCCATCCCCGCCGGCGCGGAGAAAGCCACCCTCGCCGCCGGCTGCTTTTGGGGCGTCGAGCACATGTTCCGCAAGCAATTCGCCGACAATGGCCTCTATGACGCGCGCGTGGGTTATATCGGCGGTGACACTACGAGCCCCAGTTACCGCAGCGTGTGTTCCGGGTCTACCGGCCGTGAGCCCCCCCCGCGCCCTTGGACGTGATGGCGCATTGCTAACAAAACCCAGACGCCGAAGCCGTGCAACTCACCTTCGACCCCGCCACCCTCTCATACACGACCCTTCTCGACTTCTTCTACCGAATGCACGATCCCACGACGCGCGACTCGCAGGGGCCGGACAGAGGCTCGCAATACCGCAGCGGGATCTACTTCCACTCCGCGGGACAAAAAGAGGATGCGTGCAAGGTGACCGAGAAGGCGAGCAAGCAGTGGTGGGGCGGGAAGGTGGTGACGCAGATTCTGCCGGCAGGGGAGTGGTGGGATGCTGAAGACTACCATCAGCGGTACTTGGATGTTAACAAGGGAGGGTATGAGTGCCCGAGTCACTTTTTAAGGGACTTTCCGAAGCTGCAGTAGGGGGTGGTATGTGGACAGGGGGTTGTATGGCGTTTAGGTTGGGTGGGGGAGTTCTATAGAGAGATAGGTAGCACTTTGTTTGCCATGTAATTGATTCTTTTGGGTTCTAAGCGTCGTCGTTGTCAATGATTGGGATTATGGCGTATGCTATTGTGCTACTCGATGTGCTCTGTGATTACTAGCACCATCGCCATCACCGTAGTAAAACGCGTTAGCGGGCTTGAACTTCTGTCAGGAGAAAGAAGTCGTTGTTGCCAATGCTGCTGTCATTTCTCCATCCTGCTGTCGCCAGTCGATGCTGTTGTTGCTCGACGGTGCCGTAGTGCACCATTCGACTCAAATCCATGGTCCAGTGAGCCCTCGACTCTAACTCCTGGTCCAATTACCACATCTCCAATTCTAGGCAGTTCGTTATGTCGCCGCGTGGATTGGTTGCTGCCATTTCACGTTGCCAGTCCATTGCTATCGGTAGTACTGGCTACCTTTTTGAGGTACGGAGGCCTCATGATCAACCCCGCCAGACTATGCAGTAACTTATATATACCGCCAACTAGAACCCACAGTATTCTCACATTCTCACATCACGTCTTTCTCTCCTCTCAACACCTCCACCTCATTTCTCTTACCTCACCTTTATACCTCACCTCAACTCTACATCTTGCCACTCCTCCTATGTCTCCTTCTCGTCTCTCTCTTACATCTCATTCTCCTCTCAACACCTCCACCTCATTTCTCTTACCTCACCTTTATACCTCACCTCAACTCTACATCTTGCCACTCCTCCTATGTCTCCTTCTCGTCTCTCTCTTACATCTCCTTCTCCTCTCTCTCTCTCTTCACCCCCTGCGGGCCGGATGAACAAACCGAAAACTCGACATATGGGCGGGCCGGGCCCGGCGACGCACCGAATCAAAGAATAGGAAGCTCGATACACGGAGTGGATGGGCGATCTGGGTTTATATTGCTGTCGGCGAGAAATTGTTGTTGGTACATGGTTTGTTGTCGTTTGTGCATGTTGCTGTCGCTCGCCTATGTTGCTGTCGTTTGTCCACATTGCTGTCATGAGTACACGTTGCACTCGTCAGCCCGCATCTTATCCAGTCTCTCTCTCAATCCACCAAGACCTCTTGGATACCGAACAACTCTCATTCTCTCCCATAGCCCTTGTACCTTTATATGCACATTTTGTCCGACGAGGGGTTCACTTATATCACCCTGGATATAAGCCTCGCGGAGACGGCCTTGGGGCCTCGTGATCGACGATGTCGTGTATATATCCCCAGATTATCTGACTTGACTGTTGCCTACCATATTCTCACATCACAATCATCACAATCACAGCGAACCAGACAAAAATTATGTTCCAAAATATCATTAATAATTAACTCAAACTACTAAAAGCAGGTAGGTAAGCAAGAAGGATATTATATACCCCCCACCCACCCCCTGTCGAACCAGCGACATCAACATCCATCCATCATACACAAACCCAGCATAGGCAGCGAGCTCAGTGTCCACGAGCACACAACTACCTTCCTAATTCCCAGGCACCATTTTAAATATTTTCCACACTCGTACTTCGAGCATGCCTCATCCGCCTGAAACAAGATAAACTCGTACTTCGAGCTATCTTCCCCGTTTATCTCTCTCAATTCTGTGGTGTGTGTGCTGGGTTACTGGCCACCAGGACCTTCGGGTCTCTAGGAGCCATCCATCGGGATAAAGCCATCGTCCCCCGAATTCCACAAACCGGGGTCTAGAATCACGAGGACCAGCCCTAGCGCCCCATCCGCGGATGGAGCAACGTCACGGGACCTGCTACGAGTCATCGTCTAGGAGGACCCAGTCTGGGTCTTGGGGGATGAGGGTCCATGATGGGTCGGCGAGCTTGGTGGTGGTGATGATAGTTGCTGTGGGCTTGTCTGTGCGGTCTGTCGTCGCTCCGGGGGTGTGGAGGGGGACGGGGAATTGCGTGGGGAACGACGCGTGTGTTGGTAATGACTGGTGTTGGTTTGGCTGCTTCGCTGGCGAGGGGGATTGCATAGCGGTGAGGCGCAGGATCTCAGAGTCGTCCAGGAGGTAGGAGGACAAGAGGGGGGGCGTGGGGATGGTCAGGGGTGTGCGCCGGGAGTTGTGTCGTCTCATTGTTTTTGTGAGTTTTGCTGGTTTGGAAAGGACGTTGTGGAGGCCGTAGGGGAGAGGGGGGAAGTTAATATCCTTGTCCTCGTCTTCGTCCTTGTCGTTGCCCTCGTCCTTGTCGTTGTCCTTGTCGTTGTCCTTGTCGTTGTTCTCGTTGTTGATGCCAGCAGTGGAAACTCCAGACGCCGGTGGGGGTGCCTCGCTCTTCTTCTCGCCGTCATCGCGGATGGAATCGTACAAGATGCCAAGAGCGCGCAACGCCTGTGCTTGTATAAGCTCGTCTCCTTTGTCTTGAGTCCCCATTGAGACTGACATGGTGGTGGAGTGGAGATAAGGTGAGATGGTGGATAGAGAGGTGAGGTGGTGTAGTGGAGTGAGTGGAGTGGGTTGATAAGTGGTTTAAAGGACTGAAAGAAGTGATGGGTGTAGACGTGCGCATGTATCTGCAGTCTGCAGAACTAGGGATCGGTATAATCGATGTCCCCCCACAGAGCATACACGACGGCGAGCATACTGGCACAGAGACTTACGTCATCGTCTGCATCGCCCCCGAAGAGGCGGCACTGCTCGTCCTCCTCCTCGCGCCGCACCTCGTGCGCCATCCATGCCAGCCAGCTGCGATCGAGCGACTGTGGCTGTGCGCCGCCGCGTGGGAAGGGGGGTGAGAGGGGCAAGAACGCCGTGTCGTGTGCCAAGAAGGCGCCCTCACGGTACTCGTCGCGCGGATCGACTTTGCGGGAGAGGGCGTGGCGTTTGCGTGCCCCGCGACGCATGCGGCGACGGTTTTGGGGGAAGGAGGGGACCGGTATGGTGACTAGTGTGGTGCCCGGTATGACCATGTTTGCGAGAGCGGAAATCGAGGTTATAGGAAATAGAGATGATTTTCTTTCGACCAGGAGATGGGGAAAATGGACGGGGATTAACCACGAGAAAAGGAAAAACTATCACTTTGCCAGTGGCAAGAGTAGAAAGTGTAGAGAAGGAAGTGAGACGAGAGAATATGAAGCCAAGGAGAAGTAGCAAACCTTTATAGAGATGACGATGACCCCCTCCCGTTCCTCCCGAGGCGTAACCTTCCAGGCCAGGCTTCCTTCCTGCCCCACTGGAGTCACGAGTACTTCCAACTTTATGGTGTATGAAGGTGTGAGTCGGTGATGCTAATAGGCGGCGTAGTAAAGTGAGGATGATGAGATGGGTGTGGGTTGAGGCGTGATTGGTTGGTGTGGGTGTAACTGGGTGTAGGTGGTTGGCAGTTTTGACTCACATATGGAGAGAATGAGATAGTCATACGGAGTTTATCATCCAGTGACACAGCCACACGACAGGGTAGAGAAACAGGCGTAATCCCGATGCGGCCTGGGAAATGCAGGGTACCATCTTTTTTACTGATTTTTATTCGTTTTTTTTGAAACCTTTTTTATAGAGTGTGACTTCATAGTGAGGCTGTTGTCCTGCAGCTGTCAGAATCTCGGAATAGTACGTCCCTACGTAATTGTGCTGTAATCTTTAACTCATCGGCTTTATCGGAAAGTCTCAGATGCACGTGACAACAAAACCTAAAATAAATCAAGATGAAAATTGATGACTAAGGCACCATCATCAAATCACGTGATCACATTATGCTCTCTAAGTAACCTAACAGAATCGATTACGCTAGACCCAGTTTGTATAGGCGGTCACTGCCGGCAATTCGAGATAGCACCCCCAAAAAAGTTTTGGTGATACTGAGAAAGAACTGCTGCGAAAGAAGTCCCAAGGTCAATTCCTGCCCCAACGACGCTGTGATGCCCGCCATTCAACAATCTTAGAGGCCTCCACGGGCGCGATTCCAATACAACCATGGCGACCTCCCTTGCGGCCCAGCTGTCGCAGATAGCCGCTACCTCCACCAAGTCGCTCGACCTCAAAGCGCAAAAGGCCGCCCACTCCAAGTCTCTGATCTTCGAGCCGCGCATCGCCGCCTCCCAGAGCTTCGATTCGCTGTATACACTATGCCATGAGGGCTTCCAGGAGCTGTGTCTGCTCGATGGCAGGTTTATGGATTTCCAGCGCAGCATCTTTGGCGAGCAGAGCCTGCAGCAGGATAGGACGCAGATGACCGCCGCTGAGAATGCGGAGCTGGATAAGAGGCTGGAGGCATTCCTTGGCTTGGTCGGAGCGAGGTTACGATTAAATCCAGCTATAAAAGCCGTTGAGTGGCTTGTTCGAAGATTTAGGTACGGGGATTCCGCATAGGATAATTGCAAAATCGACCAGAGGTACTGACCGCGTCTAATAGGATACACGAGTACAATACTGCATTTTTACTTACGACGTTCTTACCGTACCATACCCTACCAGCATTTACAACACTTCTATCAATCCTACCCACAAATCTGCCTGCGCAATACAGATTCCTACATCCTTATGTTCGATCGTTAACTCACCCACCGCGCCACGCGATCGTATTCGCAGCGACTAATGACCCTACCCTCTCAACACTGCTAAACTCCTACGTGGTGAGGATATGCAATGCTCGCCAGAACTACCCGGCTCTCATCTCCTTCTGGGCGGGAGTTATGACCGAGGCTGTGAGCGGAATGCTGGACAAGGCGCGCTCTGGCCGAGAGGCCGTGCAAGCCCAAAACCAGGAGGAGATCATCCTTCGTCTAGGCCCAACTCTGAATGAGGGATTGGCTATGAAGAAGGTCCCTGGATTGAGGATTGGGTGCTACATGCTACTCTCCATAATGGCATCAAAGGGTGGCTTGAATGACAAGCTTCTAACTGCTATGATGGAGGCAGTTGTCCTCGGATGGACCACGGAAACCTTTATTCCCGGGCTCGTATGCCTATCGATTCTGGCGCAGCAGAGAGGGGCGAAGCAGATGACCAAGCGTGTCACAAAAGAGCTTCTGAAAGTGGACGGCCTTCCCGAGCTACTCCTCGAGATCTCCAAGTCCCGCCGGATCGACAAACTCGCCAACGGCATTGTCCTTGCGCTGGTCGACAGGCTGGGCAAGTCCGGAGACGCCACTGTCCTGCCATTGATCGGACATATTGTTCAGAATCAGCTGTTAAGCGGGGCTCAGGGAACTGTGGTCGTTAAGTCACTGCTCTTAGTTGCCTACAGAATAGATGAGGATATCGACCCCAAGGGACATGTTCGCCAGGATCTCGCAAGGGCACTGACTACATTAGCAGAGTACCCCGGCCAACCGGGTGTCATTGCAAGGAAAGCTATGGATGATGCCAGCGTTGATATTGACGAATTGGAACTGAAGCTTCAAGCATCCATTCGCCCAAAGCTCATCCAATCGGCGCCAGATGGAGATGTTGAGATGGGAGATGCGGATGAGGCCAGCGAGGTTCCATCCGAAGACTTGCATGCTCTCCTTAAGCAACTCCCAGACGATGACAACTCATTCCTGTCACTCTCGGATGCGCCGCCATTCCACAAGTTTTTCCATTTATTCGTGGCGGCATTGGCGACGAAAGAGAACCTGGACGACTTTGATCAAGCATTAAAAACAGACAAAAACCACACAGTTAGGTACTTCAGCTTCTATAGTACCGTTTGGTCCGGTCCATATCCTGTTCTGGCGCGCACGGCTGCGCTGGAGCGCGCTACCCATAGCTTGGACAATGCTATGAGCGAGTCTGTCGACCTACAGGGTCTCATTCCATATGTCATCATTGCACTCGGCGATCAAGCACTGAAGGTCAGGAGAGCAGCTTCTGCGATGGCCCTTGGATTAGCCCAAAGATACCCAGCAGATGCAGAGTTGAAGAAGACCAAGGGTCTCAAGATATGGGCCGAAAAGTCTATTTATGGAAAAGGAAAGAATGCAGCGAGTGTTTCGTGGATGACCGTTGAGAATGCAGCGCGACTGCTCCGGGACATCATTTGCCCCGGCCTGGAGGAATGTGTTATCGACAAGAAGCACATTGTGTCAATCATCGAGAAGAGCCTAAATGGTTCAAAGGAGTCGACAGATTCTCCAATGAAGCAGCCCGCAAAAATCTCGCAGGCTCTGCGTTTGGCGGTCTTGACTAACTTGGCCAGCCATGTCGTCTACACGCCGCTGTATGCCGCCAAGTACAAGCTGCTCCTTGCGTTGAACGAGGTCCGAGGAGTTACTACCACCACCAGGACCAAACTTCTACTACCGGTGCTACAAAATTTGGCTTATATATCTTTCCAGGCCGCTAAGGAGAATTGCGAGGCGGAGCACGTTGATGTATCGGCGTACAATGACGAGGCTGTTGCAGTAGTAATCCCCAACGATGAAGAGGGGTTCCAGGTCTTGGCTTCTATTGCCCAGGGCGAGGTCGGGCCGGGAGGGGAGACACTGTGTGCCGCCGTCTTCAGAAGAATTCGCAACATGTGGCCATCGTTGAAGGGAGACTCAAGACTCAACACCGCTCAGCTCCTTATGGACCTATCGCAGCCACCTTCTGACGATGCGAGACATAGCGAGTTCGCACAGGCAGAGGCGATGGAGCTTTTGAGAAGCGTTAACCTTACGACGGACATCCTCCTGTCGTTCCTCAACCAATTGCCAACGGCCGCACAACTTGCAGATATGCCTCCAGCCACGAAGCGTCGCCGTGTTAGCCATGGCGAGATTGCAAAGACCCCTGTTCAGGATATGAAGTCGCTCACCGACGCTGTTCACAAGGTCTCCTTCGTTCTCCAGATGGTCGATAACTCGAACCCCAAGAAGCACGTGGCGCTACTGCCAGGGCTTTTTAACGCCTTATCTGAACTGCAGCACTTCAAGTCTCAAGTTGGATCTGAGCTGGGATACCTGCAAGGTCTTGTGCTTAGCAGCTTACTGTCGATCATGAAGGCGCACAAGGCGGATCCGTGTCTCAAGTTGGACCGATCTGCCGTCAGAGCCGACTTGCTCGTGGACTGCGTGCAGAAGACTGCCAGCCCACAAGTCCAAAACGCAGCTCTCCTTCTGATTGCCAACCTTGCTAGCACGGCGCCAGAACTTGTCCTGCACAGTGTCATGCCAATCTTCACGTTCATGGGCAGCTCGGTCCTTCGCCAGAACGATGAGTACTCTGCTCATGTCATCAAGCAGACTATTGCGGAGGTTATCCCGCCACTTATCTCTTCGCTGCGCAAGGAGAAGGAAGGCCCTGTCACTGGTGCTGCGGAGCTCTTGTTGAGCTTCGTCGCTGCTTATGAGCACGTGCCTGCTCACAGGAGAAAGGGACTTTATACTTCGCTTGTGCAGACTTTGGGACCTGAGGACTTCTTGTTCGCCGTCCTGGGTATGCTTGCTGATAAGTATGGCGCTACTGAGAGCATCAAGACATTCAGCGTCGATCTTGCCTCCTCGTTCAGCGCGGATGTGCAGCTCCAGACTGCCGTCAAGTACCTTGATCTCGCTGCGGACCTTCTGAAGCCAAGACCGACAATCTCCGCCATGCTCCTGGGCTCATCCGAGTCGAGCACTACGGATGGAAACCGCTCGGCTCTGACGCAGCTTACTCTGCTTCCCCACCTTCTCTCCGAGAAGAAGTTGATTGATCAGACCGCCAGACTTCTTCAGCGTGACGACATGGATGCATCCAGAGTCCGTGAGCTCTACTCCGCTCTGCTGGAGAACCTTCTCTCCCTTGCCGACCAAGTCAAGGCGGACAAGAAGCTGCACAATGCATGTGGCAACGTTCTCGAGCGCGTCCTTGGCCTCCTCTCGACCAGCGAATTCGTAAAATCGGTTGAGAGCCTCCTCGACAGGCCAAACGAGGAACTGCGCCGCAAAATCCTTCGCTCCCTCGAGGTCCGCGTCGACCAAGAGAAGCAATCCAACGTCGCAGCGAGACAAGCCATGTTAGCCTTCCTACCGCAGCTCACGGCCATCATCCGCGAGTCGGGCGATATCCTGTACAAGCATACCGCAGTCTCTTGCTTGGATAAGATCGCAGAGAAGTATGGTAAGAAGGATCTGGACGCTGTTACAGTTGCCGCGGAGACTATTGCGGGTGAGAAGTGCCTCGGACAGGATGATGAGCGCCTTCAGGTTATGTCGCTGCTGTGTTTGGCGTCGCTTGTGGATATCCTCAAGGAAGGAATCGTTTCGGTGCTTCCTATCGCTATCCCCGCTGCTCTAAAGTACATGGCGAAGACGGTGGAGGAGGGTGGTCAAAACGATAAGTTGCACAATGCTGGTTATGCATTTATCAATGCTCTTGTTGAGCATCTGCCTTACATGATCTCGGGATCGTATCTCGATACTCTCCTGGTCATTTCTAATAAGTCCGCCGAGGCGGATCTCGAGGCTGAGGCTGACGAGAGCCGAATTGCTTGCCTTGACCTGGCTGCGAAGCAGATTGAGGCTAAGAACATGTTCACTGCCCTGCAGAAGAACTGGCCGATTGCTGCGGAATCCGGTACTATTGTAAGTTGTCTTCCACTCATATTCTGAATCCTAACTAACACCCACAGGCACTTCGCGAGTACCTCGACATTCTGAGCACCGCAATCGACAAGCACACCAAGTTCACCGTGACCAAGCACTCCCCCATCCTCTCCACCATCTTCCTCTCCGCCTTCGACCTGCGCCTCCAATGGACCCTATCGAACGCCGACATCTCCGAGGACGAAATCACCGAGATCGAGAACCTCGTCAACTCCGTAGCCATCAAGATGATCTACAAATTCAACGACTCGACCTTCCGTCCCATCTTCGCCAACCTCCTCGAGTGGGCCTCCACCGGCCTCCCAAAGAAGGACACCGAAGGCCGCCTCCTCCGCCTCCGCTCTATCTTTACCTTTACTACCCTCTTCTTCACGCACCTCAAGTCCATCGTCACATCTTACACCACCTACCTCCTACCATCCGCGCTGTCGGCGCTTGAATCCGTCGACCCATCCAACCCGGCCTCCCGCGCCCTGTGGTCCCACGCCCTCCACACCCTCGCTGCGGCCGCTGCGCACGACCAGGACGACTTCTTCCAGGCCCCTTCGCACTTTGACGTCCTCGCCCCGGCCCTGACATCGCAGCTCGCGCACGCCGCCACATTACCGCTGTCAGATGACCTCGTGCCCGCGCTCGTTGAGCTCGCCGCCGTCGCGGACTCAGCAGACCACCACAAGGCGCTCAATGCGGCGATTATGAAGTCCCTTCGCGACACGTCGCCGGCTGTTAGATTGGCGGCTGTGAAGGCTGAGGAGGCGCTTACGGAGAGACTGGGTGAGGAGTGGTTGGCGCTGTTGCCGGAGATGTTGCCGTTTATTAGTGAGTTGCAGGAGGATGAGGATGAGGAGGTGGAGAGGGAGACGCATAGATGGATTGTGAAGATTGAGGGGGTGTTGGGGGAGAGTTTGGATGCGATGTTGCAGTAAGCTTGAGATGTTTGGCTGGGGGGGATGTGTTTAAGTGGGGGAGCGCATTGAGGGCGTTGGGTGGGTGTGTGAGGCGTTTTTTTTAGTGTGTGTGTGTTTAGGTTGTTGGGGTGATATATTTGCAATGAGAAGATTTTGTGCGAAAGTTTACTAGCTGTGTTCTGCTACATTGTTTTATGTGAACAGTGATTTTACTTATGCTGTTCTCACCTGCAGACTGTCCAAAAACAACAGGGTATAAAATAGTAGTAGAATTATAGAGGCTACATGTAGAATATCGAGCTGGGATTACCTATCAACCCACCAATCCAATTACTAATACATCCCTTTCCCCTCACCCTTAAATCATAGCGCTAAACTTCCCATCCACCTCCTCCACCTTAGCAATCGACTTCTTATACCCCTCCTCCTCCTCCAACATATCCACATACTTCCTCAACAGCGGGTACTTCTTCTCCGGAATCAACCCTCCCCGTCCCTTCGCCGCGATCAGGGGGAAACTAATCAATATATCCGCTGCGGTCAGGTGCGAGCCACACAGGTATTTTCCGCCTCCTGGAGAGGTCTTGAGCTGCTCCTCGAGATAGGCGAAGTGCGTCGCGAAGTTGGGGTCGAGGTAGTTCGTCCTGATTCCGCTGGCGACGCGGGTGGTGATGGGGCGGATGAAGAAGGGGACGGGGGCGTTTTTGATGTCTATTTTCCCATTAGCCTTGCGTCATCTTTCAGCAAGTCACAGGGTGGGGTGATAACATACTCATAGAAACCAACAAAACATTAAGCAACGGCATCAAGCTCCCCTCACAATAATGCAGCAGGTACTTATACCTCATCCACGCCTCCGTCTCCCCCCCAACCACCCCCTCCCTCCCCTCCTGCCACCGCACCGGCGCCATCGTCGTCCCCGCCCCAAAATGCTCAGTCAGGTACTCGGCGATGAGACCGCTCTCCGCGACCACGACGTCTGCGCCGCCGTGGACGGGCTTGATGGAGATCACAGGGGACTTGCCGAGGGGGTGGATGGCTTTTAGTTCGGGGGGGGCGAAGTGCGTTTTGGGGTCCCGGTGGAAGACGGTTAGGTTGTAGGGGAGGGAGAGCTCGGTGAGCAGCCAGAGGATGCGTTGGGAGCGGGATTGCTCGAGCCTGGGGGGGGTTAGTGGGGGGGTCGAAGATGGAGGGGATGGAGAGGGAAGGGGCTACCAGTAGAGTGTTATTTCGGGGGTGGAGGAGGGTGGTGGCGCCGTGGTGGCGGGGGCGGTGGATTCGTCGGCCATGATGGGCGCTGGAGGTATATGGGATGTTTGGAGTAAGGTTAAGGTTTGGGTATCTCAGGTTTGATGCGCGCAGGGTGATTATGATTGTTTGGAAGGGGGGTATATATGGGGTATATATGGGGAGATATCTTTTTGGCCGCGCCTGATGTGTGGTCCCACAAGCTAAGAGCGTCGGGATCGGTTCCGGCGGTGACGTACTAGCCCTACCATGAGTTGGGGATCGCTGGTATAGTCGTGCTCTAGAATTCGAAGATGACAAAGATTATATTTTGGCAATAGACTTATGCGCTTTCAACTTAATCAAATATTCCGATCCTCACCTAAAAAATCCAAATTGTTCTCAAATCTCGCCGTCAATAAAATTAAGATTATGGTCGCGACCACTTTAGGCCTAGCGCTTATGTACCGGCCCGACAATAATTCCGGTACGCCACTTTTAAAGATCACGTGATATATTAGCTTCAACGAGCCGTATCGCAACATCGACGACTTCAAGCATCGTCAATCGAAACATCCCACCATAAACAAGTCCCGGCCAGCGCCAACAACCTTCAAAATGGCAGGCCCTCATGGTGCGTCCCCTCCTCTATCTGCTCCTTAGCTTTCCCCCGCATTGTGGTGACCAATTGCTAACACTGCCTCAGCGTCCATCGACCCGGCGTACATCAAGTACAACAGTGCGTCCCCCCACAGCCCTCTCTTCCCGCCCACAACGCCGAAGGTCCCGCGATAGCATACCGTTGATGGAATAATGGATGTGAGAAGGATGATTGAGTGGTGCTGACCCCCGCAGACATGATTGTGAACCGGCACAAGTACTTCCGCTGGACGAAGCGCACCGCATTCCTCTCGTTCGCGTACGTGGTTGCCGTCCCGGCATTTGTTGGATACTGGGCTTTCGTGACGGATGTGAGTTTACCCATCCCCTTACCCTCTACGTTCGTATTTTCGGCCTCTTGTCGTTGGACCGGATGGATGGGTGTTTGGGACGCGCGTGCGGATATAATGGTGGTGGTGGTGATGGAGCTGACTGGTTCGTAGGGAAAGTTGGAATTCAGGGGGAAGAGGAAGGGGGATACGATTGTTGAGTTTTAGAGCAGGGAAGAGATGGGAGGTGGGAGTGTACATATCAGCGGAATTGAAAATGGAGATATTTTAAAGATCTATTGGCTATAATCGGGCTTGTTGGGTGAAAACTGACTTCCTCCGCGGGTGTAGCACGGGGAGCAGGGGATACGACGATCGCGCATGTTAACGCCATTCGCGGAGTGGTGCTTTTAAATAGTTTGGCTGGGCCGAGGTTGCCGATTCCGAACAAGGAAAACCCAGGCTTGAGACTAAGCCAGAGGAGACAAAGATTATTTATATTGCGTTACATACCCAATACGGGGCGCGAATCGTCGTACGTGTTGCCTTATCAAAGACTTGCCTCAAACCCTTTAGTATCTAAAACGTCCCATTCCAGACGAACGCATCAAAGAAACATGATATTTGCATATTTCCTCAATAAAGCTAGAGCACAGTCTTGACGGCCCCATGTATTCACACCTGTCTTTCACACAAGAAACTAACTTTCAAATCACTTTATTACAGACCTATTTCACCTCTCAAACAGTTGCAGCTTCATCGTTATGGAAGGCAGAGTTCATAAGCCAGGGGCCTGCCATTCCCACCTTGAAATCCTCAACACTTCGCAAGGAGATCAAGCAGCCAATATTGAAAGTAAAAGTGTGGGCATGCATACCAACAGTGTCTTCGTTTTGGAAAACCGTGAGATATACTAACCCCTCAGGATCAGGTCTTCCAACTGACTATAGAGACCGCTCCTCTGTAGAACGACATTCCGTAGAAGGCACCACACCGTCGCAAGCAAGAAAGAGGCAACTCGAATACAGGAGATTTGTTACTTGCGAAGAGAACACGTGTAGCAGAACAAATATCGCCAGCTTTACTACTCTGGCAACGGCATTTCAATAGCGACGGGAACCGCAATGTGGAGGCCGACAGCGACGTAAACGATAACACCAACAAAATCCAACAAGATCAAGCGCAGTTGACACGGACGAACTTAGCTCTGTTCAACAAAATGACGACTGAAGTGGGAGCAGGAGATGCATTGGAATCTCCTGCTCCCCCTTCAGTCGTCATGTCGTTGAGATTCTCAATGTGGGATAATCTAGGAGTTAACGATGCAATACACTCCGTTGCCTCCTAGTAGTTAACAAGCTGATCTCTCAGAGCATAAGATTGCTCTTTTTCGTAGTCTTGTTGATTCTGAAGCTGTCTCCAACTATCTTTAAATCCATAAGAAGAGTTTGTCAAAAAGCACGATCCAATGGGGATACTGGTGATATTTGAGCTTCCCATCATCCTCTCGGGCCCGCATAACTTAGTGTGCGAAGAACTCAATGGTCTTGCCGTCTGTAGCGAAAGTTGTGACTTTGGCATGGTTGAAGGCTGGTTGGTAGCTTTCATCGTCGTCGTACACTGTAGGCGAAGCCGTTCCGCGGGAACGAGGCCCGTTTGTGCCTCGTTCAGATTCGTTGGTGGCTTAGAGTTAAAGGGAGGTAGAATGGCGTTTTTGTAGGCTGTATTGGCAAAACCGGACATAGCTGTCGAGGTAGACTTCATCTTCGTTGTTGAAGTTTGGACTGTGGATTCTAGTAGAAACTTTCGCTACAGACGGCAAGACCATCGAGTTCTTGGCACACTAAGTTATGCGGCCCGAGGGGATGATGGGAAGCTCAAATATCACCAGTATCCCATTGGATCGTGCTTTTTGACAAACTCTTCTTATGGATTTAAAGATAGTTGGAGACAGCTTCAGAATCAACAAGACTACGCAAAGAGCAATCTTATGCTCTGAGAGATCAGCTTGTTAACTACTAGGAGGCAACGGAGTGTATTGCATCGTTAACTCCTAGATCATCCCGCATTGAGAATCTCAACGACACTCGAATTGAGCCTTGGGATAAGTCACAGACTGGGCTAGAGGACGGGGTGCGAGAAGATCTCGGAGGGATAGCGACAGGAAATATCAGTTGGCCCGTAAGGAGTATTGTTTGTTTTAGTTGCGTGTTTGTTAGAGCCATAGTAGCTTGGTCGAATGTGTGGTATAGGAGTTGATAGGATTGGCAGATGAAGGAGTACTTGAAGAAGCCGTGCAACCTCCTTCTTTCGCTCTTGCTCTCTCTCCTGTGCTTTAATCAGCTTGGTATAAAGCCTTCTTTGCTTGTAATGCTTCTGCCTTTGCTATTCTAGCAACTTGCTTCTCTTGCTTGTCAACCTCCTTTTGTGCCTTTTGATGAATCCTAGCATGTGCATGAGCTGCAGTTAAAGCACCCCTAAATTGAAGTGTACGACGGCTTCTGCTTTTGCGATTTTGACTCCCTTAAACTTGTCCTTATAGCATAGAATAATCAAACTCTCGTTTAAGCATCTGCTAATACTCCCTCTATCCCTTGCAATGAAGTATGAAATTGCTGTTTTGACGGGCTACTTAACAATAGAGTAAACTAATCTTTCTATACTTGAATATGCTTCTCTGAATTCTTTAACGTAGGTAGTAAAGGTTGTGTTTCATCCTCTTGCAATAGCTTTGAGTATTTCTAGATTTTCGCAAGAGAAACTTGTAACGCGTAGGTGTCATACTGACATTCGTTGCACTCAGTTTGCTATCAAACTCAAGAGCAAACTTGGAAATCTCCTTCTCAAACCTACAAGTCACTATACATATTTTGGCTTATCACACCAACAACAAGAGCAATACTACTCAACGATTGCTACAACCATCTATGATTCATTACACGTCATCGCTCCTTAGTTACTGGGCCGATATTACCACATAGCATATCTCTACAACCCTCTATGATTCATTACATGACATCGCTCATACTACCACACTACACATATCTCTACCAACTAGAGGCCTAGGAGCATGAACGATAGCTCTAAAAGCTCCTACGAACCTCTATGATTCATTACATGTCATCGCTCTTTAGTTACCCACAATATTGGTTAAGTTATGACATAATTTGTCTATGACATAATTTGTCTATGACATAATTTGTCTATGACATAATTTGTCTATAGGGGTACTCTGACCTTGGACCTCCTTTTACTTCCTATAGGCTACAAACCTAAGAGATGGTTCTATGGGATTCTCTTACGTCGACTACAGTTACCAAGCCTGGTTAGCCATGGAAAGTCTTGGAAAATGAGAGAACTACACTCCTTTAGCATAAATAGGATTGCCCTTTCCTTAAGAAAGGGCAAGCAGACAATACAGAAAATCGACTATCACATACTTCCACATCTTTTCCAAGCTTCCAAGCATTGATCTTGTTACTCCTTGTTTCTGAAAAGTCAGTGAGGTGCTAACCTCTGACTTATCCCTGAGTTCTCAGACTCAACATTTGTTACAACTTGTCTAAACCACTCCACTACATCATACACCTGATTGCTGCGTTGTGGAATAGTCTAAGCTACGACCCTTTGGCTCTGTTTCCTAAGACAGTGTGTTGTCTTGGTAAAATCATCCCTTTCCTTGGGTGGCTAGATTCTCACATCTGGTGCACCCACCATTACAAATACTACTAACTTAGTTATAGGGTTAGTTCCGTACAATCCAAATACTGTCCTTTCGCACCTTGATCTCCGACTAAAAACACCAACCCCACCACCTGTTGAAAAGGAGACTTGGACCTCAAAGACACCCCAGAATGCGACTGAAGTTGAATTCCAAACAACACACCTTAAGAATCGAATCGTACGACATCAGAATAGCTCTCCAAGTTCAATAAATGAGGCATTTGACCAGCTTGCTAAAGGAGCTCAAATAATGGCCCATTCATCTACACTCCTTAAAGCTGAAGTCAAGGCGCTACAGCAGGCGAATGCGCTCAAAAATCGAAGGGCAAACAAGCGAAGGAAGCGTATTCAATTAGGTGGAAGCTTGACAATTGAGGAAGGTGATGAGCTCGTACGGAGTACTCAAACTCAGGAGGAGGAGGGTGGTGATGCCACACAGGGTCAGCGCTGGAAAGGGAAACCACGACGATGTGGCACATACGATCAAGTTGGACATAATGCTCGTACGTGCAAAGAGGTATTAGATTCAATTACTGTAGATAGCTAGAGTGTTTTAAAGGGTTGTTGTTATAATATACCTACGAAGTTGTATTTTGGTGGCTATTTTGCACGGTTCGACCGGGTGCACGGTTCAATTGGGAAATACGTTACGTTATAGCTAATAACATATAGCTCGTCTACATATGTTGCTGCATTAGTGCTTATTCCAAGCCAGAAATGGACTTATATCTATGATAATTGGTCAAAATCTTGGATAGAAGCTGCGAGAGCATCAGTTCAATCATTATGGGACGGATCGTATAAGCCAGCAATTGTGCCTATAAGTTTATCAGACTTAGATCCTAGCGATGCAAAGTCTGGATTTGAGCGTTGGACAAAGGCAAAGCAGCAGCGTTATCAGCCTCTTCTTCAAGACGAGTATCTCAAATACTGTCAATTGCCAGTTACCCCCGAATGTGATGCTAGAGGTTGGTGGATAGAGCCTGCTCAACGGACGGCATATCCAAATCTTTGGAGTGGTGGGTGGTGGGTGGTACGTGGTTGGTGGTTGGTATGTGGTGGATTTTGAGAGGGACACTTGCTTACCGGGGGGGACACTCGCTTCCTCCGACTGTGAGCGAAGCGAACAGGCGGTCCCGACGATTAGTATTTCTCTGCGCATCAACATCTCCGTATATTTCTTTAATATAATTCTCTTCTAAACCATTGTTTTGTTAATGTGTGATGAACTACAGTCTGAAGTGATTATTCTTCTCAGTGTATGTGATTTTTAAGAGACCACGAGGATACCCGTAATCGATGTGTCAATTTAGACAAACGAGTTTGTAAAATAGTTTCCATTATTCTTCTCAACACTTTATATGTTGAGCCATATCTTCTACAGACATCAGATCAGGTTTATCTCGTCATATCCCAAGAAGAAGTGCCATTTGTTACATTTCTACTGCCACTCTCACGCCGAAATCAGCTCTACCACCATACTCTCCACCCAATAAATTTGACGAGCAATATATCCAAAGCAATATCGCAAGCTTAACTCGGGCATAGATCCAAAGGGATCTATTCGGGTAATATAGGAGGCCGCTGGGCCGTCACCGGAAATTCTACTCGGTCTCTCCATGCCACTGCCGAGGTCACTGCGTACCAGTATAATATGATATAATCAGTCAAATATTGAATCCATCTGTACCCTGAAACCGTTGCATGCTCAACTCAGATCTAATATTACTCGATATCTTTGTTCTATTGCCCCTTCTTCCGATTTACTGATGAAAATGACGACTTGCCGTGTATCAGCGATACGGTTGTCGAGGAGCATGATAAATATATCGAAGCAGAGGCAACAAGTAGACGCTTGCCGCCTGGCGAGTGTGCGTTCAAATACTTCCAGGACTTTCTCTGTGAAAAATAGCCCCACTGTCGCCTTTCAGCAAGATGTTAAACTTGCCTCAAGGATTGAACGCGCGGGTTCCAAATTATTCAAGGATGCAGACGAGGCTGTAGCCGACCTAAAGAGTGGCACTACTCTTCTTAGCTCCGGGTTTGGTCTCTGTGGTGTTGCAGGTAGAAAATATCCCACTACTGAAGAAATCGACCCGTAAGCTGAGGCTCCCTAACCCCAACTGTCCGTGTTCTAACCAGTGTATAGAGACATTGTAAATGCTGGAAAAGAGACAGCTACTTTACTCCCGGGTGCCTCTACCTTCGATAGCAGCGAGTCCTTTAGAATGATAATACATGGACGTGTCAATTTTAGGTGTTCGTACCCTTTTGTTTCGAGTTTGAGTCGAAATTGATAAATGTCTAGGCTTTGACAAATGTCTAGGCTTTGCAAGTCAGTGCCAATGGCGATCTGACTAATTATATGATTCCTGGAAAGGCTTTCAAGGGAATGGGAGGAGCTATGGACCTAGTGTCCAATCCTGACAAGACTAGAATTGTTGTGACTACAACACATGTCGCCAAGGATGGTTCCCCTAAAACCGTGCAAAAGTACAGTTTACCATTAACAGGAGCAAACTGTGTTAGCACAATCATCACAGACTTGGTAAGAATGGATTATCATGGGGCAGTAAGACAGTGAAGATAGCTAACAGGTAATACAGTGCGTCTTCCAGGTCGACCGCGCCAACGGTGGCCTCGCTTTGACGGAGCTGGCCCCAGGAGTGGGTGTTGAAGAGATTGAGAGTAAAACGGGGGCAAGGTTTTCAATTGCGGGCCATTTGAGCGCCATGGAATAAATAGAGCCTTGCACAATTATACCGCTTTTCCTTGCTCCTCTGGCCGTCGAAGTTGAATGTATCGAGTACATCGTAGACATGTTGCACTCTGTTCGGGGCGCTTCGCGCGATTTGGAGGGCAATGGGTCTCGGGTGTAATCTACCCTCGCCACACTGGAGTTGCTCTCTACTATTTTATTCTAATATAGGGGCAAGCACAGACCACAAAGGCGAGAAAATTCCCCAGGGTAATTCTGACGGGGACGCGTAGCTACTAAGTGAGGATAAGGGCAAAGAGAGATCAATAAAAGGACGGTGGCTGGTCTAGAGACGAGAGGAATAGAGAGAGGCGCGAAGAGGATGCGACGAAGAGGATGCGACGAAGAGGATGCGACGAAGAGGATGCAACTAAGAGGATGCGACAAAGAGGATGCGACGAAGAGGATGCGACGAAGAGGATGCGACGAAGATGAAGAGACGAAGAGGACGGAACTAAGAGGAAGGAGCGATGATTAATAGCGCAAGAAGGAAGGTTCCAATGACACTTCAACGAGGGAAAGTGCCAATGAGAGTGCAACGAGGGAAATAGCAAAGGAGACGGTGAAGGAAAGGGGAAAACGGCGAAGGGGGGATGGAGAAAAAGCGAAGGGGAGAGGGGTAAAGAGGGAAGGAGCGAAGAGGAAAGGTACGGATAGGGAAGGGGCGAAGGAGGAAAAGTCACACCAGCGGCAGAAGATCCAGTAGTCGAGGTAGAGCATGGTATCTCGTTAGATACACCGAATTGTTCGCCAAGGCGATATAAGGGCTTAAAACACAGCCCTTGGCCGTCCCAGAGAGGCGCACGTCCATCTGGATATAATCGGAGTCTTTAACTCCGAGATGGCAGGAAGATGTGGATGACGACAGCTTCTTACCGATAAGTTCTCACCGACAGATTCTTGCTGACAGCTTCTCACCACCAGATTCTCGCTGCCAAATCCAGTGTCAACCCCCTATTACTCGGTAGAATGATCCTCAGAGCTATCTCTAGCGTCCTCGTGAAGATTGTCATGCAGGACTTGGGAGCTTTTAGTGCATAGGATTGCATATAAGAAGCTTCAGTGTGTGTTGAGAAGGCCAAGTGGTCATCAAGAATATATAAATTTTACTTTCCTTTCTCAAGCACCCAGTAACTGCATATATCACTTCTTCTCTCATATCCCCCAGATATCCTACAGCCGCCTAAACACATAAACCTGTGCCTTCGCCGTCTCCAACGCCAACGCATACCTCACCCCATCACACGCCTTAACCACCCTCTCCTCATCCGCCAACAACATCTTCCACGCCGGCCTGACCCCCTCCTCCTCATCCTCTCCCAACGGCTTCTTCCCCAAAAACGCCATATCCAACAAATATCTCAGCGGATACCCCTTCTTCCCCTCCTCCTCCGCATGATCAAACACAACCACCAGACTCCCCTTCGGCGCCGCAATCGTCAGCTTCAGCAGCAGCGCCACCGTCTTCGCCACGCTCGTCGCAGCCAGATCAGCGACGGTGTAGAACAGCGTAATCAGCGCGGCCTCCTCGCCCACGAGGTCTTCCACCTCCTCCTGGCTCGCCTCTAAAGCGCTAAACTTCTTCATCTCCAGCTCCAACGCCGATTTCGCCAAGAATGGCGAGCTGTTAGCGATCGCGGATGCGGAGGCGTATTTTGAGAGCGTAGGAGGGGATAAGAGCGCTTCGTGGGAGGTGGAGATCTCGGGCGTCCAGTTCACGGTGTTAGTTAGGTTGAGATCAATGATTTGGCCTGCATTGGAGTCGGAGTCTGAGGATTCGAGGTCTGCTTTCGATTTGCCGTATGCGTCGGGGCGGAGATGTCGGATTACTGCGCCCAGTGCCAGGACCTCTGCTGGGCCGCCGCCAAAACTGACAACTCGCAGCACTTCCTCCTCGTCTTCGTCGTCATCATTCTCCTCCTTCTTTTCCTCCTCATCTTCGTCGTCGTCATTCTCCTCCTTCTTTTCCTCCTCCTTTTCCTCCTTCTTTTCCTCCTCCCTTTCCTCCTTCTTTTCCTCCTTCTTTTCCTCCTCCTTCTCTTCCTCCTCATCGTCCTCCTCCTCATCCTCCGTCCTACCCCGTAGCATCGCAAATAAAGGGTCATCATCAAGCGTCTCCACAACCCTCACCAACAAATTCGCAAACCAAACCGCCCTCTCCGCCCCCCATTTAACAACCCACGCCTCTCTCGCCTCCGCACTCCCAAACGCCGCGTTCCAATCCCCCTCCCTCACCTTCTCCTCCACACCCGCCAGCACTACCTTCAGCGCCTCATAGTCCTCGCACCGCGGAAACGCCTTCCTGACCGCATCAAGCAGGAGCTGCTGATCCGGCTGCCCGAGCGCTTGGTGCTCGTCTCCTGGGGGTATCACGACGGGCTTCGGTGCCGGCGGAGGCCGCGGAATGTGTTTCCCGCCCTTCTTGGTGTAGCCGGGGCCGGACCAGCCGGGGCGTTGGCGGGGGGCCACGGGGATGGGGGTGGGTGCGAAGGGGGAGTCGGCGGAGGAGGGGGTTTTGGGGTGTTTGGGGAGGGATTTTTGTTGGCGGACGTATTTGCTCATGGTGGATGGTGATGTGCACGGGGATCGTGCTCTGGTTGGTTGACTGGGGGGATAGTTGAGTTGGAGATGAAGGAGGGCAGGTATCTATCTCATAATTTGGCGCTAGTGGTGGGGGTGGAGAAAATGAAATGTTGTGTTTATTTTCAGTGACGTCGGATTTGTCATAATTTACATAATTAGAACCGTATAATTTTAGAATCACGTGTGGTTTGCATAAGGTTCTATTAGCGTCTTGTGGAAAAGCTTGGCTGTTGCCTTGTGGAGCGAACCGGAAGAAAAAGGGTTTATCCGAAAGGGTTTCTTCGATATTTTTATACCAACCTAACCACATTTAACCAGTTACCAAATTAGAACAACAACATCCTAAATTGGTACATTTCCCAATAGCCACGAATCCCTTCAATTCAAGCGAAACCCGAAATTGTGGCTGAGCAGACAATAAGTGATGCACGGCGATTCTACATCTCCCGTGATGTAAATGTGAATCTCCGCGGCTAGGTTCCCAATTCTCTTCCCCCAACCCAATTGCAGGCGGCTGATATCTAGCAAACGCGTACCCCCTCATAAGCGTTCATCTCCCCCATCCATCTACATCCCTCCCATTTCTCCTTCCTCTGGTCAAAACACACTCTTTTTATCGTTCTTCATTTACTGCGAGCAGTTTCCATTTAGCAGCCATGAAGATGAAGGGCTCCGCTATCCGTTCCGTGTCTGTGCTCTTTGCTGCAGCGGGCTTCTTCGGCGCTGTCAGTGCTACCGTCGATCCGGTAATTATCAAGGTGAGATCGATCCCAGATTCTGTTCTTCAGCCATCTCAACTAACCGTTCCTCTCACCTCTCCAGGGTTCAAAATTCTTCTACAAGACCAACGGCACCCAATTCTTCATCAAAGGCGTCGCCTACCAGGAAGGAGTGGGCGCCGCTGGAGAATCTAGCGGAAGCAGCAGTACTGGTACTATACATTCTCTCTTCATTGTGCAACGGGAACAGTGATCAAACAACCCAATACTGATTTATCAACAGCCAAGTACAGCGATCCACTCGCAAACTCAGCTGCCTGCCAGCGTGATGTCCCACTCCTCCAAGCCCTTGGCGCCAATGTCATCCGAACCTACGCCATCGACCCCACAGCCGATCACTCAGCATGCATGAAGCTCCTCGACGCCGCCGGCATCTACGTGATCAGCGATCTCGGCCAGCCCAACCTATCCATCAACCGAGAGACCCCAGAATGGAACCTCGATCTCTACAACCGCTACACCTCCGTCGTCGACTCCCTCGCCAAATACCCCAATGTCATTGGCTTCTTCGCCGGTAACGAGGTGACCAACAATGCCTCCTACACCCCCGCCTCGGCCTTCGTCAAGGCCGCCATCCGCGACACAAAGGCCTACATCAAGGCCGCTGGCCACACCACGGGCGTCGGCTATGCCGCCGATGACGATGCCACCACCCGCGCCAGAGTAGCTGCCTACTTCAACTGCGGTGATGTCGCCGACACCATCGACTTCTGGGGCTACAACATCTACTCCTGGTGCGACCCGTCCACCTACGTGACCTCGGGGTACCAGAACCACACCGAGACCTTCTCGTCCTACAACGTCCCCGTCTTCTTCGCCGAGTACGGCTGCAACGAGGGCACGGCCAGCGGCACCGCGCCGCGCGTCTTCAATGAGGTCGCTGCGCTTTATGGGACGGATATGTCGAAGGTCTTCTCGGGGGGGATTGTTTACGAGTATTTCCAAGAAGTGAATGATTACGGTCTCGTCTCCCTCACCGGGAATACCGTCACAAAGCTCAAGGACTACGATAACTTCTCCACCAAGATCCACGCCGTCTCCCCATCCTCCGTCAACTCCGCGAGTTACTCCCCTACAAACACCGCCGGACAAGCCTGCCCAACCGTCAACGACCAGTGGCAAGTCGCTCCCACCGGCCTCCCGCCCACCCCCAACGCCGCGGTGTGCAGCTGCATGACTTCCGCCCTCAAGTGCGTCGCTAAGCCCAACCTCCCCCTGGACGACCTCTCCAAGCTCTTCAACTCCGTGTGCGGTCTCTCCGCTACCGCTTGCTCGGGTTTCGTGGCCGATACTGCTAAGGGGGCTTATGGTGTCTATCTCGGCTGCAGCGATCATGATAAGCTCTCCAACGCTTTCAATGCGTACTACCTTCAGCAGAATAGCAAGGCCGATGCTTGCGATTTTGGCGGTAGCGCGACGGTTGTGGCAAACCCGACCCCAGCGTCGTCGTGTGAGAGCATTATTGCTTCTGCCAAGAACGCGGCCCCGGCGGGAAGTGCTACTGGAAGCTCTGGTAGTGGGACTGGCAGTAGTAATAAGAGCGCGGCGAGCTCGGTGCGTGTGTTTGGGGGATGGGGAGTTGCTTCTTGGATGACTGCTGTGGTTGTTTCGGTTGCGGGGCTGGTGGTGTTGTAGATTCTGTTAATATAGTCCTTTCGCAGGGAGGTCAGCGAATTTGAGATAATCAGTGGTAGCATCTATTCGTTACCATAACCCATCTACCCTAACACCCAATAACTAACCATCTAGGCATGTCTACCACACACACCCTCACCCATCTAAACCTCCCTACTCCTCCCCCCTTCCCCCACAACCGTCTCCACCATCTCAATCCCACTCAAACTCGGATACCTCCGACTAAAATCCCTAATATACTCATCCTTCTCCCTCTGACTCATATCAACCTTCATCTCCCCCATCCCTAGCGGCATCTGCGGCGCTCCCCTCTCCTCCGGCGGCGCCGCATACCCCCCCTTCCCACCCCGCCCCGTGTGCAAATGCACCGGTTTCGGCGGGGCGTTCGGCCGGCCCCCCCTCGCCGCTGGCGCGGCGCTGCCTACAGGCCTCCACGCAATCGGCTGCTGTTTCTGCTGCTGCTGCTGCTGCTGCGTCGCGCCAGGCCTCTCGCGCTCGCGCTGCTGCTGGGAGGATGAAGATGAGGACGCCTCGCCCTGCTGCGCAGCGTCATCATCAGTAAAGTGACCATACCCATGTGCCGTGCGCGCCGGTTCAGGGCGCGCATTCTCATCGAGCAGGGTCTTCACCTTGTTCTGGATCGTCGCCGCTCTCAACACCCCCCCGATGCTTCGGGGCGGAGGTCCAGTGGCGGAGGAGGGATCGCGGTGGGCGACGCGCTGGCGGTACTCCGCAGCTGCTTGTGCGACGCGGCGCTCTTCGGCAGCGAGACGGAGACGCTCGGCTTCGCGGCGCTGTTCGCCCGACAGGGCGGCGTCGTCAGGGCGGCCGTCGTCGCTGCGGTCGTCTGTGGCTTCGGAGCCAGCGATGGGGGTGAGGAAGCGGGCGTCGAGGTCGTGGTCGGGGGATGGGGAGCGGGAGCGCGGGGGGGTGGCGGCGTTGCTCTCGAAGCGCTTGAATGCGTCGCCGAACTTGCCGGCGAAGAGGTTCTTGGTGCCGGCGAGGGTCATGGAGGGGAGGGAGGCGCGCTTGGGTTTGTTCCCGGAGATGCTGCTGCGGGATTTGTGGCCGCGCGAGGAGGAGTCTTGGTCTTCCATTTGGCGGAGGAACTCGACGTTGGACTCGATGTTGGGGTCTTCATCTAGGAAGGCTGGTTCGGGGGGGGAGGTGCGTGGGGGTGGCGCGTCCGTGGTTTTGGCGTGGGGAAGCGCCTTGCCGAGGAAGTTTGTCTTGGGCTGGGATTGTTCGCGGTCACGGAGGAATTCCATGTGCGATTCTAGGTATGCGCTGGATGGTCGAGGACGGGCATCTTTGGGGAGATTTCTCGGGACTGGCTCCAGGTCATCGTTGCTGGTGCGAACTGTTTCGAGGGAGGGCCTGGAGGAGACAGGCCGCTTGTTCTCGGCAGCCTTTAGTTGAGAAGACCAGCTTCTCGATGCTGCTGTTGGTTGAGGAGACTCTGATAGGAGTCCCCGATTGGGTGCCTCCAATTCTATAGAAGCACGGTTGCGTGGGAGGCTTACTGATCTATGCTGATCGGATGGCGGGAAGCGGTGTATAGGCGCTGGTTTATATTGGAAATCTGTTGGCTGGCTGGGGGATGTCATGGTGCCTTCCGACACGTATGACGACTTGGGTTTGTACGTGGTTGGCACTTTTTCCTCTGACGGCGGGGATATAGTTGCTTGTAACTCAGGCGTGTTGAATATGATCTGCTGCGCTTTGCTCATCGAGCTGGTCGATGGCCTAGCTTGGGAGGATGGTCCCGCTCCAGTGCGTGGCGCAGAAGCGGCAAACGCATTATCAGCCAGCTTCTCTGTCACTCTCTGGTTCAAGTCCTTTGGTTTTGAGGATGTCGTTGGCGAAGTACTATCAAATTCGAACTTTGAGCCCTTCTCGTGCAAAAGAGAAAATTGGTCTATGCTGGGGAACTTCGAGGAAAGCTCGTCGGTCGGGGGAGCGGACTTTGCATCCAATGCTGCAAATGGGTCGTCGCTCGTCACGCGCATAGGAGACGGCGTTGGCTTTGGAGCTGGGGCCTGGGGTGTCGTAGTTGGCCGGCCTCGGCGCATGGGTATCACATCTGGAATCGCAGCCTTTTGCTGGGTTGGTGGTGAGAACGCAGCGCCTACGGCAGGAGACGCATGTGTGTGGGGGTTGGGTAATGACTGGTTTCGTTTCATATGTAAGTCGTTTCCCCCAGCGTATATCTGCATAGGTTAGTAGTGGTCTCGAGAATGGATAGTATAGCTCACATTTTTAATAGGTACTTCGATACCTTGCAAATGGCATGCTTCGCGGAGTACCTGATATACATTTGGCCGCTCATCTGGGTTCTCACGGAGCATTGTCGCTACACTTTTTTAGCATCTCTGGATATAACTTTTGCAATAAGACTTACCAATCATCAACTTTAGCCTGTCTGAAAAGACAGGGAACGCAGGGAACTTGAAGCTAGCATTAAGAATTGAAAGTTGCCCTTTCTCTTCGAAAGGAGTAGTGTAGTAGCACAGCTTATATAATAACACGCCAAGAGCCCAAATATCGGACTTCTCGTCAATGGGCAGTTTGCGATATACATCAACCATCTCCGGACTCCTGTACTGTAAAGTGGTATGTTTTTGTACATCTTCTTCGATAAGTCGGCATTCCGCGGCTGTGGTCGCAGCCGCCCTCGGCGGCGCCGTAGAGCCAAAGTCGCAGAGCTTGTAGCGTCTTTCCCCGCTTGAGGTTTTCGTTATGAGAACATTCTCAACCTTGAGATCGCGATGCAATAGCGGCGGCTTGAGGTAGTGCATGCAGGCCACGCCCTCCGTGACGTCTGAGAATATCTTCAATATCTCCGGCTCCGTAAGCCGATTCTGTAGTCGTGTGTTCATAAAGTCGATCAGCCCGCCGCCGCTGCAGAACTCCATCAGCAGGAAGACCTCGTATCCGCCGCCCTTGAGTTGCGAGGCGTGTGAGTCGTAGTATTTTACGATGGGGCGGTGACCCTTGAGCTTCTTCATCGTCTCGACCTCCGTCCGCATGTTCCCCAGGGAGTCCTTGTCGGGCACGGCAACGCGTTTGAGCACCGCAATATGGGTGCCATCCTTGGGCTCCGGCATCTTGACCAGGTAGACATGGGCAAAGCCACCCTCGGAGAAGTATTTCTGGATGACGACCTTGTGCCCCCCCACAGTGATCTTGGTGCCCGGAGAGAAGGTCCCTTGCGGAATGGCCGGCGCATGTGGTGGGTGAGCTCCATAAGGGGCTGGTCTTGCCCCAGCGGCCATTGGTATCGAAGGGGTGTATGACATGTTGTCGCGGTCGAGATAAGTCGGATCGTGGGTGCAGCGCTAGGTAAGGACAGCTGTAGGCTCAGGTAACGGCATTGAGTGTCGCTGGGTTCGTAGAGGGGTTGGTATGATCCAACAACCATGCGTGGCTATACCTTATATACACAATGGGGGAAAGAAGAGAGTATTTATGAATGAATTGAATGCTCTGGGAGGATTGGAGGCAGAGTTTCGAACAGAAGCTTGGTGTTGTTCTCGCCCGTGCTCCTCGACTGCCTTGGATCGCGGCGGTGCAGGTTGGGCGGTGAAGGGTTCTGCCACCCCAGCTACTTCTCCATCGACCCCCATCGTCAGTGGCGACCAATGAGAATAATTAGAATATCCAAATTTCATTATGCTAGGTTTTATTTGCCGTGTTGGGCCAAAACTTTATCCGCAGGGGGTGTCCGTCTGTAAATAGAATATCATATATCTATCTGTCTTTGGGGGCCTGCGAACGAATACATTGCAGACAAACAACATTGCGACGCGTGTTTATGGGGAAATTTGGGACGTTGGCCGCTCCTCCTGGCTTTGTGCTTCCTGGCTTTGTGCTTCCTGACCTTGTCCCTACTGACTCAGAAGGTTAAACGTAAGTGAGTGAGATCAGTGAGTGAGTACAGTGAGTTGCTGCATGCACGATTGTGTCTCTCATCGGGCAGTCGCGGCGTGATAGTCGCGGTGTGATCGTCGCGGTGTGATAGATAGGTGATCAAGGAGAGTATCAAGGACCCATATTCCATTCATAATTACTGTACCGTAAATCCTCAAAGTGATAATAAGCAGAGCAAGGTAATTTCCCGCAGATTACGAGCAAATGTTGCTCGTATGATCGCGGTTGATCGCGTATTTACGCCTATGAACACCTTCGAACGCGTATAATCGCGTGTAAGAAAGGTTAAAGAAAGCCACTGATCAGACTGTCTCTATACCAAAAAAAAAGTTGAGGCGGCTGTGACGACAGGGGTGTGGCTGCACGCTAAATAAGCGAGCACGCAGGTGAAATTTGCGGAAATTTTTGCGAAATCTGCGGTGATCAGGTATATAATCATGGTAGGAGATCCCTTTAATCCCGCCGACCGCCCGCCAATTTTCAACGAAGCGACACAGACCAATCACGTGTATAAACAGCACGTGATATACGATCACCTTCCTTCCCTTCCTTCCTTCCTTCCTTCCTTCCTTCCTTCCATCCTTCCTTCTTATCACACAACACCACTCTCACACTACCTACCATTGATTGGAGAGAGAGTTACGATATTATATTAATACTACCCTTCGTCGACCAATAAATAATAAAAAGGGTATTTACCACTGTTCTATCTATTCTATCTAAGAAGACTCGATCAAAGAACCCTGCTGATCACGTGCGCTTGTCACCCAGTCTCACCTCTAAGCTCAATCTTCATCAACATCACCACCAAAAGAATATTAAATGGCGCAATTATTGTAAAGAGGCTTCTGTCTTCCAAATAACACTGCAGGCCCTCTCTGACCGCAAGGCCGGAGTCGACCTGAGACGTTGACCTGAAAATGGCGTCTAGGTGAGTTTCATCGTCCCGCCACCCAAGTCTCATATACTAATAATATCTACAGATTGGATCGATTGGTCACGTAAGTTCACTCAGTTGCTGATGAAGGCGGCCCTACACTTCCCTCTGTGTATACTAATTCCATGTAGGCTACTGGAAACAGGAAGCACCCCATTAATCAGAAACACTGCAGCCCAACAGCTCGCAGATGTTCAAAAGGCTCACCCCGATGATCTCTTCAGCTTACTATCCAGAGTCGTCCCATACCTGCACCACAGGACATGGGAGACCCGAGTCGCCGCTGCCAAAGCTCTAGGCGGCATCGTTGAAAATGCCGAGAAGTATGACCCTAACGAGGATGAGGCCAAGGAGGATCCCATGGCCATCGAGGAGGAGTCCTCATCCCTAGTCAAAACCGAGGATAAGAGCGAGAACAGCCTCGCAAATGTCGACGGATTCCGCTTGGCCCTCGAGAACCTTGACATTTCTCAAGTGCTGAAATATGGCAAGGAGCTCGCCCGAGGAACAGGCAGGGAGTACGAGTTTGCCCTGGCTCGTCTGGATCCCTCGGAACGCCTGGCCCACAAGAAGAAGACTCTGCCAACTCGGCTTGGTCTGAGGGGTAAATTCCACGAGGATGACCTCTGTATGGACATCGATATCATTCCCGTCCCGACTACCACCTCGCCCCCGCCCAGCGACCAGGCGAACGGCAATTCGGGGTCACATGATGATTCTAAGTGCTTCGAGGCCAGTTCGAACGCCAATGGCGACAGTGGTCTCAGCGCACGCCAACTCAATGTGCTGAAACGAAAGCGCAAGCGCGAGGCGCTCCAAGCAGGGAGCAAGAACCGTCTCGTGGATCTGTCAGGAAAGAAGCCGAGTATTTCCACCGAGGATGCCGCCATGCCAGGCGAATCCACCGGGGAGGAAGAGTCAAACGGCAAAGTCAAGGACTACTTCTCGCTCGACAGGCCTGCCGAGGTGGAGGAAGACACCAAGGTCGTCTCAGAGTTCAAGGGCCCGATCGTCCCAGTCAAATCCGAGATCCAAGAAGACGAGGAGTCTGCAGGTGCAGAGTGGCCTTTTGAAAGACTGTGCGAGCTGCTCATGGTCAACCTGTTCGACTCCTGTTGGGAGGTACGCCATGGAGCATCTCTTGGTCTCCGTGAAATCATCCGCGTCCACGGACACGGCGCTGGCCGAGCTCGTGGCAAGTCGCGCACCCAAAACGACCGACTGAACAGGCAATGGCTTGACGATTTGGCGTGCAGACTATGCTGCGTGCTCACGCTCGATAGGTTCGGAGATTACGTGTCGGACAATGTTGTAGCGCCCATTCGCGAGTCGATCGGCCAGACTCTCGGTGCGCTCCTCTCACATCTCCCGTCGCTGAGTGTTTACGCTGTATTCCGCATTCTCCTGCAGATGGTGATGCAGGATGAGCTCGGGTTGGAACGCCCTGCCTGGGCTGTGTGCCACGGCGGTATGATCGGTCTCCGCTACCTCGTCGCGGTCCGCAACGATCTACTCCTCAAAGACGGGGGGCTCATCGACGGAGTCATCCGGGCTGTTATGAAAGGCCTCGGCGATGCCGACGATGATGTACGATCCGTTAGCGCGGCAACTCTCATCCCAATCGCGCAGGATTTCGTCAACCTCCGCCCCGAGAAGCTGAAGGATCTGATCGAGATCGTTTGGATGTGTTTGATGGACTTGGGAGATGATCTGAGTGCTAGCACGGGCCAAATCATGGACCTTTTGGCCAAGCTTTGCAGTTACCCAGAGGTCCTGGAAGCGATGAAGGTCAATGCCTTGGAAGACCCGGACCAGTCTTTCGCCGAGCTTGTGCCTAGGTTGTACCCATTCCTCCGACACACCATTACATCAGTTCGCTCGGCTGTTCTTAGAGCCTTGCTCACCTTTGTTCACATTGAAGGCGAAGGCACACGCGGGTGGCTCAACGGCAGGACCCTTCGTCTCGTCTATCAAAACATCCTAGTCGAGCGCAACGAAGATACTCTCCGACTCTCTCTGCAGGTATGGACGGCACTAGTCACCTACATGTCGAAACAAGACGTGTTCGCCCTCGCTGCCGAGTTCGCTCCACACGTCGAGCCTCTGTTACAACTGTCGCTCCACCCCATCGGCGTCTCGAGGCATCCGCTGCCCATGAACCCGACGTTGTTTATGCGCCCGTCAGGATCGAGCTACAGCATCCCTGCTCACCTCGCACGGCAACTATCGCCTACTTTGAGCAATCAAGAGCCCTCTGCTAAGCGCCGCAGGAAATCTACAAAGCAAATTGAGGCAGCCCCTTCGTCATCTCACGATGTGGATGGACACATGATGCAAGGCGATGTCGATCTCGTTGGCATGGACATCTTGATCCGCTCAAGGGTCTCAGCAGCCAAGGCAATGGGTCTTCTACTGTCTCTCCTCCCTGTCAGCGACTTGGGCGCCTACGATACCGCAATCCTCCAAGGTCTCTCGTCCGCGTTTGCCTCAACACAACTCGCATCCGCAGCAATCATAGATGAATACGCCAAGAACTCCGAGTCCAAAGACACCGTGTCCCGCTTCAAGGAGCCCCTCCAAACAATCACCGAAAGCGACAGGCCCGCCCACTACCGCGACCTGGTCAGCTTCATCCAGCTCGTCCGCGCGCAATGCGCCGCCCTGCTTAACACCTTTCGCGACATCGGCAAAGCCTCCCAAAGCAGACTCCCCACGCTCGCCGTGGTGTGCCAGGGCGAGGCCGAGGCGGGACCAGATGCCTTCTCCATCATCAACGCGGATAAGTGCGTCAATGAGGATTTCGAGAGGCTGAAGAAGTCGCTCTCTGGAGCGCAGAAGTTGATCGCTAAGGATGCGCTCAATGAGGCTAGGGAGAGCGCTATGACGGCTATTGAGAACGCGAAGGCGGTTAAACTGCATCGCGATATTCGCGTCAAGTCTGCGGCGGCGGGGGCGCTAGTGTCGATGGGCGCGGCGCCTAAGAAACCTTCTAATACGATTAAGGCTCTCATGGATAGCATCAAGAAGGAGGACAACCTCGAACTCCAGCGTCGCTCCGCGCTGTCCGTTGCGCAGCTCGTCCAGCTATTCGCTCTATCGGGCCGCCGTGGTCCCGCGGACAAGATCGTCTCCAACCTCGCCAAGTACTGCTGTATCGACACAGCCGAGACGCCCGAGTTCACGCCCAATGCAGAGCTGCGCACGGCCATCTTGTCGCTACGTAAAGAGGAGGATAGAAAGGACCACGTCGATGCGGCCAAGTTTGCACGCGAGGCAAAGGAGGCGCGTATTATGCGTCGCGGCGCCAAGGAGGCGCTGGAGCAACTGTCTGATATATTCGGCGCCGAGTTGCTGGAGCAAGTTCCGACGCTCAAGGGTGTTATGAATGATGCTCTGACGCAAGTCTTCGTGGGCGATTTGCCTGAGGAGGCGAAGGATCCTGAGAAGCCGCTGGGCCAGGATGTTATTGATGGGATGTCGGTGCTGCGCGCACTTACGCCGACGTTGCACAAAGACCTGCATCCGTTCGTCATGGGTCTACTCCCTATGGTTGTCAAGGCGCTCCATTCTGAGCTGTCTGTCTTCCGGTATATGGCTGCCAAGTGCCTTGCTACGGTTTGCAGTGTTATCACTGTTCATGCCATGACGATGTTGGTTGAGAAGGTACTGCCCTCGATCAGTAATCCTCTAGACCTGAACTTCAGACAGGGTGCTACGGAGTGCATTTACCATCTTATCCACGTCATGGGCGATAATATCCTACCTTACGTTATTTTCCTGATCGTCCCTGTTCTGGGTCGTATGAGCGACTCCGATAATGATGTCCGTCTAATCGCAACCACCACGTTCGCCACCCTCGTCAAGCTCGTGCCGCTCGAGGCCGGTATCCCCGATCCCCCAGGATTATCAGAGGAACTCCTCAAGGGCCGTGACCGCGAGCGTACATTCATCGCACAGCTCCTCGACCCACACAAGGTCGAGCCCTTCACTATCCCGGTCGCCATCAAGGCCGAGCTCCGCTCTTACCAGCAAGAAGGTGTCAACTGGCTCAACTTCCTCAATAAGTACCACTTGCATGGCATTCTTTGCGACGACATGGGTCTCGGAAAGACGCTGCAGACGCTGTGTATTGTTGCTAGTGACCATCATCTACGCGCAGAAGAGTTCAAGAAGACGGGTGCGTTGGAGCTTCGCAAGATGCCCACGCTTATTGTCTGTCCACCCACTCTCTCCGGCCATTGGCAGCAAGAGATTAGGACGTATGCGCCATTCCTGACTTGCACCGCCTATGTTGGCCCGCCCAATGAGCGCAGCAAAGTGCGCGACCAACTTGACAAGACGGATGTAGTGATCACTTCGTACGATATCTGCCGTAACGACGCCGAAGTCCTCGCGCCCATCAACTGGAACTACCTCGTACTGGACGAGGGTCACTTGATCAAGAACCCGCGCGCCAAGGTTACCATAGCTGTTAAGCGCCTGCTATCCAACCACCGTCTCATCCTCTCCGGTACGCCGATCCAGAACAACGTGCTAGAGCTGTGGTCACTCTTCGACTTCCTCATGCCCGGCTTCCTCGGCGCCGAAAAAGTCTTCCTCGACCGCTTCGCCAGACCCATCGCCGCCTCGCGCTTCGGCAAGCCCTCCTCCAAAGAGCAAGAAGCCGGGGCCCTCGCCATCGAAGCGCTGCACAAGCAAGTTCTCCCCTTCCTCCTGCGCCGCCTGAAGGAAGAAGTCCTCGACGACCTCCCCCCCAAGATCCTGCAGAACTACTACTGCGATCTCTCCCCCCTTCAGAAGAAGTTGTTCGAGGACTTCACTAAGAAGAATGGGAAGACGCTCGCGGAGAAGGCGTCTGCGGGGGATAAGGACTCGAAACAGCATATTTTCCAGGCCTTGCAGTATATGCGCAAATTGTGCAATTCGCCGGCGCTTGTTATGAAGGAGGGGCATAAGCAGTATGCGGATACTCAGGCTTACCTCGCTAAGAACAATACGTCGCTGTCGGATCCTGTACATGCGCCTAAACTCACTGCCCTCCGAGATCTTCTCGTCGATTGCGGTATTGGACGCGAACCCGCTGCGGGAGAACTTGCCGGTGCGGCGGCTGTGTCACCGCATCGCGCGCTGATCTTCTGTCAGATGAAGGAGATGCTCGAGATGGTGCAGAGCGAGGTACTGCGGAAGATGCTTCCGGGCGTGACATCCCTCCGTCTTGACGGTGGGGTGGAGGCCAACAAGCGCCAGGATATCGTGAACCAATTCAACAGTGACCCATCGATCGATGTGCTCCTGCTGACAACGTCGGTTGGTGGTCTGGGGCTGAATTTGACGGGTGCTGATACGGTTATTTTCGTGGAGCATGATTGGAATCCGCAGAAGGATTTGCAGGCTATGGATCGTGCGCATAGAATTGGGCAGAAGAAGGTGGTTAATGTGTATCGGTTGATTACGCGTGGGACGCTTGAGGAGAAGATTATGTCGTATGTGCCCCATTTCCCCTCGCCTATCTCTCGGTATAGTACGAAAACTAACTGTTTGTCTGCAGTCTCCAACGCTTCAAAATCGACGTCGCCTCCACGGTCGTCAATCAGCAGAACGCCGGCCTGGCTACCATGGAAACAGATCAGATCCTCGACCTCTTCCAGCTCTCCGACGAGCTGCCTGGACTTGCGCCTCCGAGCGCTGCGGGCGCCGCCAAGGAAGGCGAAGAGGATGCGGTGGATGTGACGGGTGAGGTTAGAGAGAAGGGGAAGAAGGGGTATCTGGATGAGATTGGGGAGTTGTGGGAGGAGGGACTGTATGAGGAGGAATTTAGTCTGGATGGGTTTTTGGGGAGGATGAAGGGGTAGTCTATGGGTGGAGGTGGGGGGTCAGTGTGGGCGTTTGGGATGTGCTTTTTCGTGGCGTATGGAGGGAGGGGGTTGAGATGGGGGAAAAGGATGGGGATGAATGTATTTATAGTTCGACCTGTATTTGTACTTTACTTACGAGACGGAAGCCCTGATAATCAAGAGGGAAAAGAAGATGGCCCGCGAGAGCGCCCGCATTTATGAAGCCTCAGCCACTCTACACCGTATCCAGTCCCTCTCCCAACATCTGCGTGACAAGCGTACCCCCCCCCCTACCTCCCCTTCTTCCCCTTCCCCTCCTCCACAAGCTTCCTCTTATCCGACTCCAACCTCGCAAAAGCCTGCACCACAATCCCCAACTCAAACTCAACCCCCCCCTTCAAAATATCAAACACCATATCCGCCCTAAACCCCGACCCCGCCATCCCATACCTCGCCAACACCGCTCTCCCCGTCCCAGCCAAACAGCGAGCCCATAAGCGTGCATTTCAGATCCCTCGTCGTCCGCTGACAGCTCCACATGACGTGCGGGTCACGATCAGCAGCCCCGGGACGATTTCGAGCAGGAGCAGCGCGTGGTTTTCGGACAGCGGATGCCAGGTCGCGCCGTCGCCGGCGGGTTCGCGCGTGCATATCGACGCGGCGGTGGTGACGAAGGGGTGCATTCGCGCGGCGGCGAGGGGGAAGGGGTCGTGGAAGTCGAAAATATTTAAAATCTCGCACGTTGCGCGTATTTATGTGGTCTTTCGGGTCCAAGACTTATCATCCTACGGCATAGCCTTGTTGGTGGCCCATCCATGCTCCATAGTACCCCTCATCGTGCGCAGCCTTGTGCAACACAGACAGTCTAGGACGCGGGGACGTGGGGTCGATATCTATTTATACCATATAGCACTTTAGCATCGCCAACACCTTACGTTAAATAGGTCCACTATTTGATATATAAGTCACTCATATACAAACTCAGGACACCAAGTTTCATATTTGAAGGGTTTCTCAATTGAATTATCAATACCAAAACCATAACCTACATCCACCGGCACATCCACCTCCTCCCACGAACTACCCAAACACAACCCCCAGTAGCCGCAGGCCATCCAACCGCCCAGGCATCATTTCCACCCTCCTAACCACCCAATGATCCCCCCCGCTGCACAGCAGCGAGCCCATATCCATAACGTAAAACCTCCCCGCGCATCCACGAAAAACCCGCGGCGCAAGCGCCGCGTCCCAGGGGCTTCCCGGCGACGACCAGCGTCCCATGCTCTTTCTGTTCCGTTTACTCCCTTCATTCCGTTCCGTTTCGCTCCATCTCGCACTCCCCAATTGCCCCTCTGCGCATGGCGCGGAAGAGCCCCGAGAGAACGATGCAGTGCAAAGCAGACGTGAGCTCCTCACGCGAGTACCACAGAGCCAGGGGGGATAAGGTAGGTCCGATAGTCCAAGCAGCGCCAGGCTGCCAGCAACCACGCGTCCTCTTTTTCTCCCTCGCTCACGCTCCCATTACGGCCCGTCTATCTGCACGCAGAATAGAGCGAGCGGCGCTGGTTGCGGTGAGGGGGAAGTGAGGGAGAGGAGGGCGCGCGGATACCATCGCAGGAATCGATTCGCGCCGCTATCCGCAACGCGCCACGGGGCTGTATGTCCCGTCTGCTGGAGAACTGGGACAGGGACAGGGGCCGTGGCTTGTTGCGTCGCGGGGCGGCGCGGTAGTCGATCTCTACCTTTTTGTTTTGTGGGTTGGTGGGGATCCCTCCCTTTGTGTGTGTATGTTTGTGCGAAAGACAGGCCGGGTCGTAGGAGTTTGTATTCCTTCGCGGTTGTGGAAAGCCTGGAGCGGGTCGTTTTTCGCGAACGAGAAACCGGGGGGAAAGCCAGAAGAAGAAATGAAAGTCTGTTTCCCAGAAACGTGTGCTGTTGTTCCGGCCATTGTTGTAGTTGTAAAAAAAATTGTTCCTGCGCATTGCTGCGTTGTACCTCCTCTCTTATAATGCATCGCTTCGACATGATATCCAAAAAAAAAGCCCCCCCCCAAAAAATAAACAGATAACAATCGACGAGTATAACAATCCTCCCAGTGTCCTGCCGGTAGATGCATGTGATGAATGGTCCAAGGGAACTATAGTGGTGAGGCCGAGCTCGCGGTTGTTGTGTTTGAAGGAACCCCTCGGATGGGGAAAGGACGCAGCTGTGTTCGCTGCTCCGACGCCGAAATCCGAAATGTAAACCCGCTGCGCTAAATATGGCCGAGATTGTTAAGGGAAAACGTGTAGGAAAAAAACAAAGGCTATTAAAAGATGGTCTGTCGTTTGCTGAGTGGTGTGCTGTAGTCCGCTCTCGCAACGTAGAAAGAAGTTTAAAAAATGCCGCCAGGTGTTCGTATATCAATAACGAAAATGACGCTAAAGCTCGTTCGACTGTCGTGAATCTCGTGGGTGCCCGGTTTGCAACTGTCTAACTAATAGTAGTAGTGACGCAGCAAAGGGGTAGCATGTGTGTTCGCGTACATGTCGGGCTTTGGTTGTCACATCGACATGGCGTGCTCCTGGTATCGATCCCATCCGTTTCCGAAGCTATTGAAGCCGACACTGACGCCGCAGGGTTGCGGCGCAAGCATACTTGGTAGCGGCAGGTGCGGGATGGGCGAGCTGACGGGCGGTTGAGGAAAGTACATCCCTGGCGTCGTCGTGTAGGGCTGACTGAAGGAAGGCGCGGGCGACGGCAGCTGGAAGTTATCTCCCATGCTCATGCTCGCCCACAGCGTATTGCTGTCGACGGATGAGGTTGTGCTTGGGCTAGATGGTAGCAACCTCCAGACATCCGATGGCGCGGGCACCGGGTTTTGAAGCATCGGTTGCGACTGTGTCCACCAGCCACCTCCGGACACCGAACTTGGAAAGAGCGTCTGAGGCCTGATGACGTCCACGACCCTCGGTGGAGGAGGAAGGAGAGGAAGGAACAAGTTCATGATGTTGTTCTTGGCCTCTTCGCTCTTTCCGCACAGCAGCTCACCGGCACCTTCCTCTTCCAGACCTTCCAGCGCAGTCGCATTCGTCCTATATACGAACTTGTTGATGGCTTGGATGAATTCCTCGTGCAGCTTCTTGACCTGAAGTTCCTTCTCTAGCCAGTTGTACGTCCTGGCTGCGATGTCGACGCAGTGGATTTCCTTGTGGTACTCGATCAGGGCCTCTATCGACTCGGGTGTTAACTTGAAGGCGACCTCATTCCGGAGCACCATGTCGACGTGCACGATGTAGGCCTCGATGTGGACGAGCTGGAAGTTGAAGAGGGCTTCTATCAACGGGTTAGAGTCCTTGCACAACTCCGAGTCGGGCGCCTTGGGCAGCATGATTGAGGTCAGAGTCCATATCGCATTCGTCGACGACAGTGTTTCCGTTAAACATCTCTGGTGCTGAGGGACGCTGTTGAGCGGGCGCTTGATCCGGTTTATCCTCTTGAGGGTTTGTGTTAACCACGGCTCTACTTTCGATCCTAAAACCACATTCACTGATGAGGCCCGCGGCGCAAAGGCAGCCGCCGAGGCGGGTAGGAGCTGAGGAGGCATCTGAGACAGTGACGATGAGGCGTGGCGTGGATAAGGCTTTGAGTTTCTGTTGAGGGGGGAACCAGGATCTTGTCGATGGGTGTGGGACGGTATTAAGACAGTGAGGTCAAGATATACGAAGCGGGGGGGGGGCGAGCAGTGTGGCGGACTCTCCGGATAGTTGGGAATTAGTTGGGCCGACCCGCACAGCGACGTTGGAGGGACGATGTTGGACGACGTTGAGAGCTGAGGAAAGCGGGCGTATATGACGAGCACACCAATGAGGGCAAGAAAAGAGGGAGGGAGAAGGCGGAGTATTTCAAAGGGAGGCGAAGGAGGACGGGGAAGGTGGCCGAGAGGGGAAGAGAGAGGTGACCAGAAGAAGAGAGAGGTAGTGAGGTAGGAGGGGGAAGAGGAGGAGAAAGAGGAGGAGAAAGAGGAGGAGAAAGAGGAGGAGAAAGAGGGGAGGATGACAAGGGAGTGAGTGAGTGAGAGAAGAGAAGAAGAGAAGGGCGAAAGAGAGAGAAGAAGAAAGGGAGGAAGGGAGAGAGGAGGAGGAGGAGGAGGAGGAGGAGGAGGAGGAGGAGGAGGAGGAGACGGGTCAGCACTCACACATCGGCTCACACACAGTCATACTTGCCCTATGGGTTTCTATAGATGGCATACGTTGCATATGGCATACATGAAATGACAAGGAAGACATGCAAGGTATACACGGCATATACGGACAGACTGACTATAGAGCATCAGAAGAGGTGGCCAAAGAGAGTGAAGAGGCGGCCAAAGAGAGTGAAGAGGCGGCCAAAGAGAGTAAAAGAGGCGGTTGAATTGCGTAGTTGTTGTGGTCAGAAAGAGTGGGAAGGGAGGGGGGGGAAGGCCGCAAGCATGCATCGGAAGTACCGAGAACACACTAAACAGTGGCGATTGTAGTACATTTAGTAACTTTCGGTACCTCCGAGAAATGTCAGTGCATGTCAGTGCATGTCAGTGCATCGGTACAAGTCGATTAGCGGAATCTGTACCTAGAAAGGTAGGGCTTCCAGGGCTTCCAGGCTTCCAGGGCTTCCAGGCTTCCAGGCTTCCCAGGCTTCCAGGGCTTCCAGGGCTTCCAGGGCTTCCAGGGCTTCCTGCAACTTCCATGGCGGCGAGCATGATGGCGAGCATGATGGCGAGCATGACAGTCACGGTTGGTACCTACCAACACACCAACTTACCAACGACATGGTAAGTACCTGTTGTGCGTTGTGTTGGTGGCTAACATCATCGCCGTCGCCGTCGCCGTCGCCGAGAACGGCCAGTCTGCCTGCGTCTGAAAGCATCAAGCATCTATACTACACCGCATCATATTATAACTGCCTAGCCACTATCGCTGCTCACGGCGCACTTCGCCGCGCTCTCACCGCTCTCTCACCGGGCTCTCACAGCTTCAGGCTGAACTACAACCCACAGATCACACTCCCCTTCAACGGCCATCACCACTCCACTAAACACTTAAACAACCACCGGGAACCGGCGACTCCATCTCCATCTCCATCCCCATCTCCATCTCCATCTCCATCTCCATCTCCATCTCCATCCCCATCTCCATCTCCATCTCCATCTCCATCCCCATCTCCAGGGCTGTGCATGCATGCAGCAACCACCCATGCAAGCAGCTCTCCACTCCCACTGCCGCACCCGAAATCCGCGCAATGCCCGCACACGCACGCACACACGCACCCATGATGCATATTACATGCCACCGACACATGTCACCGACCCAGAGGAAGGCCGCCATCGCAACCCCAAACCAACAAGGCACGAGGAATGCTTGCAGACCAGGCCGCCTCGTCATCGCCGCCACTCACCACGACAAACGACGACGCCCGACTCAACCCTGGACACAGAGAGTTACGAACAGATGCAGTTTATGCGCCCCACTGCCGTCCCTCGTTGAGCTGATCGGCTATCCCAGGCTTAAGAAGGCACCCCGTCATTTCCTCACTGCAGCTGAAAACTCCAGTGCAGACCACTCACTCTCTCCCGCTGCCTCCTACCTCCTGGCTTCTGACATCCGCGCAAGCCCCTCCATACCGTATCGTCGTGAAAGTAGACCCCGAAGTACAGTACTGTACTGTACGTACGTACGAACTCCCAGGGTCTGATAGGCGCGCTACAAGCAAATGGCAGATATCTCTCATCCCAACACCCGCGGACCCTCGGTCGTCTCCCCTTCCCCGTTCCTCCCACCAGGAGAAGGACCAGAGTGGCCAAAACGAGCGAAACCCTCCGGATGGATCATCCTATATGAACTACACCAATATCACCTTTCCCATCCTCCTCCCTTCCACAATCCCCCCACCACCTTCTCCACCATCCCCCGCTGCCGACGAATCACAGCCCTAAAGCCGCAAATCGCAGAATTCCACGGTCCCAACTGGCCCGACACCCAGCGAATCAGCGCCCGTAGACGCCTCCCGCTCAACCACACCACTCAGCTGACGCCGGCCTACTCCGTCCACCTTTTCCTCCCCAACACCCCTCCTCCTCTCGTTGCACGATCACCGCCGAACCACCAGCCGGGATATCTCTCTCCACTAGCGGTCTCGAAGGGCTCGAGACGGTCCGCTGATGGTGCGAGGAAAAGGCGCGACAGGCGCGGGAAATGGGATATTGGATGGGGGATATGCAGGGGCTTCTAGATGCGGCCGACGACGATGGCTGGGAGGAAGCTGAGCTGAGTTGAGATGAGCTTGGAGGATGGGAGATAGGGAATGGCATGGACCAAGCTGCCTGCGCGTCATGTCGGCGCTCCCATCTCTGGTCTGTCCTGCAGCGACCACCCAGGAGGTTACCCACCCCCTTCCAGGGCGGTAGCATCATGCTCATAAGCAAGTTGGTCCATTTAAGATTCTAGAACGAATTGGACAAGTGGCATATCGGCTAGAACTACCAGCAAGTATTGCAGAGGCACGACTCGATCCCCGCGCCTGCAGGCGAAACGCCAGATGTGATGCGAGTGCTGAGCGCGGAGGGGAGCCGTGGTGCCCGTGGTGCGGGGAGGGGGGTCTATAGCTCGTTATGGCCCGTTTGAGGGGGTCGAGATCGAGGAGCGCGTATATGAAGGTTGATGGAGGGGGCTTGTGATGGTTTGCCGCCGCGACTGGAAGGGGGGCTGTGGGAGAACTGTCGTGTCGTTGATGGGAAACAGGGGGTCTGGCAGATGGACCGATATTGTGGGATCAGTTGGTGGTCAATGGGAAGGAGGGGTGTTCGAAGTGACGATGAGCTTGATCCAATCCCTCCCAACCCGTCGTCAAAACCAAGACAAGACCCAAACACCAACCCAGCAAACTACTCTACCCGTCACCAACGCCCCGTCCCGTACCTCGTTATTGCCATACAGTAGAGAACAAGACAACCCACTTAGCACCAGCACAACTTGGACTAGACATACAACGCACTCGCCACAGCTCGCCACACGCCTCACCTTTCTTCCAAGAACCCCTGTAGCGCGTGCATATGTAAGTAACGTAAGTCGTGGCGTAACGAGTGGAATGGCGTAACGAGGGTATGTACCTTTGCAGCTAAACTTGTTAGCAATGGTACTTAAAACGAAAAACTTCAAACCTAAATAACTCCATTAATAAAATTACCAAAGCATACTCCTCTTTTACATATAGGACCTATATACAGTACTCTATTACATGTGAAAGTTATCGCAGTATTAGCGTTGTTTTGCCCAAGTTATTAAACGATTAAGTTTTTGCCATACAAAATATTAGTATAGCAAATCTATAGTTGTTGATAACTTCCTTATATAGCTAGCTTACAAGCTAAATTTTTTAAGTCGAATGTATGTGTATATAAAGTTTCCAAATACAAAAGCATTATACTTTACATAACTAGCCTACTTAAACAGTTATTAAAGGGTTTTAATACTAGTCACGTGATGTAAATTTGCTAGCAAAGTACCGAGTACGGAGCACAGCAGTCGTATACACCGAGGCGCAGCACTAGCACAGCCACAACACGTGACTTCCTCCTCTTTCCAAAAACATTCCACCACCACGTGCAACCCAAAACCAAAAAGTCAAAATCGTACTACTCCTACCAGCGAGCGCCCGGCATTCCTGTTCCTCCCTCCCTCGGCCTAACTGACCCCTACACGCCCAACCCAACGGGCAAGTCTGACGCATCACGCGCCCGGCACACATGATCGCGCGTGCGTGAGTTGGCTCGGTCATGTGCGCGCGCTGCTGGCGCGGCTCAGCTGGGAAGGGGGCGCGGCGGTGGGTTGGGATGTGCGAGGGGGATGACGTGCGTGCGGGTACTGTCGGGTGGGCGGTGAGGTAGGGGGGTCGGGCCGGGGCGTAGGTGGGGTGGTTAAGGGTCGGTCGGTCCGAGGGGTTAGGTTAGGGGAGGTGATAGCGTTGGGTTGTGGGTGGGTTGGGGGTGAGTTGGAGGAAGATGGGTTGGGGGGTTGGAGGGAGATGGGCGTGGGGTAGGTCGGAGGATGGTGGTGGGGGTTGGAGTTGGAGGTAAGGGGGGAAGGAGGGGTTCAGGGGTTAAAGTTGTCATAGTGGTGGTTGAGGAAGATAGGGGATTGAGAAAAGGTAAGATGTCCATCACAGTAGAAATTGAGTAGCAACCGATTTGAAGTATCTATGCGTCTATCTATCCCCTCCATCTCCTCACTCCTAAACCCCTCTCCTCATCCCCCTCACACCTTCACATTCTCCTTCCCCCCCAGCGGCGCCGTCACCAACCCTAAACTCTCCGCCCTCCCCCCCCTCAGCTCACTCAACACCTTCTCCCCCCCCTCCATCCTCCCAATCCCCATAGCCAACACCGTATTCTCCCTCTGCAACTCCCCCACCTGGCGCCTCAGCAACTCCCTCTCCACCCTCAACACCTGGACCTCCCTCTCCGCCCACCCCTCCCCCATCCCTTAACAACCTTCGCCTCCTCCCTCGCCCTGCGCCGCTCAACCCTCTCTGCCTCCCTCTCTAGCCTGCCCTCCTCCCGCGCAAGATCACGCACATACCTCTCCTCCGCTTTTCGCAGTTTCTCTCCCCCCCCTTCTTTTCTTCGAACCTTCCCGATTTTCTCCACCAACCTCCTCTTCCTCTCCCGGAACTTGCCTTCTTCCTTCTCTATCGCCGCTGCTGCGCGCCGCCTTGCCCGTAAAACCCCTGCATCCTCCACCACCAACGACGACGACGAGCTCGGTCGCAGCGGTTCCGTCCGAATCGCCGCATCAGGTAACACAGTAGACTCCTCGCTGCTCGACGGCCCCATTGGTGCAGGCACTCCATACACCGGCGGCACAGACGCCGCATCCACGGACGCCGCATCCGCGCTCTCATCTGCATCATCAAAACTCCCCCTCTCCCTCGCACTCGCAAAAGACATAAAAGACCCCCCCGACGAACTCCCTAAATCCGTCTCCCCCTCCCCCTCCTCCTCCTCCGAGGAAGAGCTAGAAGAAGTGCTATACCTCCTCTCCCTCAACTGCGCGTGCGGCAGCGCAGCTGCGTACCCGGCTGAGGGGAGGAAATTCGAAATTGCTGACGCGGCATTGGTGACCATGCTCAGGACGCCCCTATTATTCTGCTCGGGGGGGCAGAGCGAGGCGGTTGTGATGTGGGGGGTGTAGTGTTCGTTTGGCGGGGGGTCGCGAATGCCGTCTAGACTGGCGAGGTGGCCGTTTGTCTGGAATTCGCGGAGGGAGATTTCAGTTGATGCGCGGGGTGGGGGATGAGCGCGCGGCGCGTGGGGAGGGCCGGGTCGCGGTTCCTCGCCCGGCACGACAGGATGTTCAATTTCAGCTTCTCTCTCGCTAGCGCTCTCCGCAGCGCCATCAACTCGAGGAGGGACTTCATCGCCTACAACATCGAGGGCAGCCGAGCACGCCCAATTCAAGAATTTCGCAGCATCAGCGACAATACTCCCCGGTGTGCCGCGCTCGACCATGAAGCGCGGGACGGAACCGCCGGGGTCGGAGCGCGTGAGCATTATCCATTCGACGGGGTTGCGTTCCGGGTCGTCGGCGGGGATGTCGTGGTACTCCCCCTTGCCATCTACGCCGCGCGAGCCGGCGAAGGAGATGGTGTGCCCGCGCTGACGGCGGTCTTCGCTGGGGGTGCGGGATGGGTGGGAGGAGTTTGCGTTGCGGACGACGGCGGAGCGGTTGAGGCTTGAGGCTTGGGATTCTGCTCTCTTGCGCTCGTTTGGGGGTTTGGCCGGTTGACCGGTTGCGGCGAGGTCGTTCATGGAGGCGGATTTGGTAGGAGGGGGAAGCACGGGGACTTCGCGGATGAGCTCTACGCTCTGGTATTGTCCTCTGATAAAGCCGTCCCGCACCGGCGTCTGCGGGTGTATGCATGGCTTACTGACAATCATGAACTGTCTTGGCCCGCGCTCCTCCCTCCTCTCGGTAGTCATCAGCATCGTCACAAAGTCCCTCGGTGTCGTTGGCCCAGGAAACTGCGCACTGAGATGATACACCTCCATCTTCCCCCCTCCCACCTCTCGACACTCAACGCAACGCTCCCCGCCAATCCCGCGGATGTTGCTTACGCCGGGTCCGCCGTCTATCTTCATCGTCTCCGGGAACTCCTGTTGTAATGCGCGTTTCCAGCGCTCGAAGCCGAGTCCACAGTGCACGCTACGGCGCGCAAACCATGCGCCCTTCCCGTCGGTGCCGGCGAGCTTGTAGACGGACATTCCGAGGGGATTGTCTTTTGCGGCGAGGCGGAGTGGTTTACCCCATGCTTTTTGGAGTTTTGAGACATCCGGGGGCGGGGAGTCGGGGCGCGCGGAGGAGAGTGTAATTTCGGAAGCGGAGCTGGCGATGGATGTTGTTGTTGAGGATCGCGGCCGGGTGGGTAGGGAGGCGGGAGCGGGGAGGGGGACGGAGTCGATGAGGAGTTGTGAGGTGTCGAATGTGGTGTTTAGGAATGTCTCGAGGTCGGTGGGGGATTGGGGGACGGTGATGGCGTCGATGGGGGAGAGTGTCTGGAGGGCATTTTGTAGAGCTGCCATACCGACGATTGGCACGCTCTGGTGAGTGCCTGTGTGCGCGGTCGTGGATTCAATTTGGATTCCTGTGTCTTATGTCGCGGAGAGGAATCGTTGGCTGGCCGTTTGGAGACGCCATAGGTTCCGTTCGTGTATATGACGTCGATGTATGCTCCGACTGCCCTTCTTGGTGCAGCGTCCGGGCGGTCTACTCAGTTCATTCATTCAACTCCGCCAATTCCAGCGCGCTCAACTTTTGTAAACAATCTGGGATATATAAAATTCTAGCCGCCGAAGCGTAGGGGTGGACAGGTTTGTAGGGTTCTATATCGTCATCTGGCAGGAGGGTGCTGGTCAATTGCTGATCGGGGACCAACCACAATCCGATGAGCCGTGGATCCCGACTTTGAAACTTTCATGCGGAGTAATTGTCAGCAGAGTCCGACGACCTTTTGAAAACTGACATAATTACGTTCGAGTCAGCACGCCGACGTTCATATAAACTGGCCAAGAAACTGGCATTATAAACCCAATTGGTATATGGCTTCAATCTACCCTAGAAAGACTAGAGACTGCAGCTTCGCTTTAACAAAAAACACCAACTTCAAACCAAGCTCGTCATAAACCTCACTCCCCATACACCGTAGAACAACCTAATAAACCCCCTCATTCCCATCACACTCCCCCTCCCCTCTCCCCCTCCTAATAATCGCCAACATCTCCTCCCCCTTCGGCGCCGTCGTCAAATTCTCACACCCACCCTCCGTAACTAGTAAATCGTCTTCGATCCTCACCCCACCAACCTTATAATACCGCTCGATCACACCAAAATCGAGGAACTTCGCGTGCTTTGGGTCCGCGCCGTACACTGACACCGCGTATCGCGAGATGTACACCCCAGGCTCGACGGTGAGCACCATCCCCACTTCAACCTTGCGGCGATGCGTGTACGGTGGCGGGGGCGGACGGGGGACGGCAAGTGAGGCGGCACAGGGGGTGGCGGCTGCGAGGAGACGATGGGCGCCTTCGACGTCGTGCGTTTCGAGGCCGAGGTGGTGGCCGAGCTGTTGTTGTTAGCACCGTACCTCACATTCATACAGACGACTTACTCCATGTGGGAAGAACAGGCGTCCAGTCCCCGCATCCCGGATCTCCTCATACGTCCCATCCTTCAGAATTCCTAAGCGCAACAAGCCGCGAATCGCACTCTCCATCGCCATATCGTGGAGGTCCCGGAAGATGACACCCGGCTGCAGTGCTTCAATACAGCGCGTCTGCATCTCAGTGACTATCTCGTAGATAGCCGCCGCCTCGGGGCTGAATGTCCCGCTAATAGGAAAGGTACGCGTGATGTCCGCGGCGTAGCATTCCCACTCACAACTAGCATCGAGGCAAACGAGTTCCCGGCCCGCGAGGTTCTCGTTATTGGCCTCGTAATGCAGGGTGCTTGCGTTCTCACCCGACGCAACGATAGGCGCGTAGGCTTGCTTCTTGGCGTGCTTCGCGATGCAGGTTTGGAGGAAGGTAGCCTCGAGGTGCGTCTCGTTGGTTGCGGAGTGCAGGCTGGCAAGGACGCGGCGATGCGCGGAGGAGGAGATGGCGTTGGCGCGGCGGAGGAGGGAGACCTCGTATGCAGATTTGGTGACGCGGGCTTCGTCCATGGCGGGTTGGAGGGCGGCCGCGTCGAGGTTTATGGTCATGGTTGCTAGGCTGGGAGGGGTGTGGGTGGGGTGCAGAAGGAAGATCTTCTGGTGTGAGTTGCTGGCAGCCCATTTGAAGATGTGGTTGCTCAGTTCGCACGTGTAGGTCACCTGGTCTACCTCGTACTTATCTAGGCATTCCTGGATACTTGGCGTCGGGCCCAGCCAGATGATTTTGGAGGGTTCAGGGGCGGGGATGTAGAGGGTTAGCTTGGTGGTGTCGATGTCGTAGGTCAGTGAGCAGTCGGGGAAGTCGACGCCGCTGAGGTAGTAGAAGTAGCGGCGTTGCCGGAAGGGCAGTTCGCGATCTGAGTCCTCGGCGGATGCAGACTGGGTCCCGAGGAGGTAGATGAGGCCCTTTTGCACGCCGAGGTGCTTTGCTACCTTGAGAGCATGTTCTCTGGCTATGCCTGGTCAGCACCTGGTGGGCACGCGAGGAGGGAAGTGCATTCGCATCGAGAGGATACGCACCAGTGTATTTTACGAACTGCCCGGGGGCTTCTAGAGAAATGTGACTGGTCTTTCATTAGTACAGGTCCTATTTCTGATGGTCACGATGGCGCCGTGATCTTGATGGGTCGTACATGGAGTCGAGCTCGGCGAAATCAAAGCTATTAGCACGCAGCTGAAACGGCAGCGACTCAACGGCCATAGTGCTCCCTCCCTCTCTGCCAGTGCCTATGAAGATTGCTAATAAGTGTTGGCTACTGTGCTATTGATGTTGTTGGAGGCAGGACTGCTCGTGGGGTCGTTGATGGATGTCGTCGACCTCGTCGTCGACGTTGGGAATACCGTCAACTCGACGACGGATAGGATAGCGATGCCGGCCGTGCGACTAGGGCGACCAGACACTGACCAGATACCTGTGCAGCACACTGGATGGAATAGCAAAGCAAGCCAAGAAACATAAGCTAATTCATATTTTGTCTAATGAGTAGCTATCTTCTCTTTCCCTCCTTCTCCCTCTCTATTTCTCGGCCATTCTCGCTCATCATCGCCATCGCCCATATCGAAAACACATCAATTGGCATTAATTGGTATATTAACGGATGTTCCACCGTCGGACCCTGGGGCGGCGGATGCTGCAGGTCGGGTGCACCCGCCGTTGCTAGGTAACGCGCCATAACAGCCTCTCCTTCTCTATTTCGAGGTTCGACATCTCAGGCCAGGGCCTCATTCTGATCCCAGTCCTTCGGTACATACTCTAATCTGTTCTATAGAAGGAATACCGTATTCTACACGTTATGGGTATTTTCGGTTCACCATGGCTCATTGTGACGACGGCTCCTGCTGTGTCAGGGACGGCTCGGCTGTTGTTGTTGTTGTTGTTGTTGTTGTTGTTGTCTCACTGCGGGATGTAAACAAAGCGAACATCTGCGCAATGCGCGCGGATCCTCTCATCATCCCACTCCCACTCCCATCTTTCCCCTCACCCTGTGACTCGTGACGATGCATTGCATATAGGCGACCTTTCCGGATGACCACTCCCACTACTCGACATCTCGAAGACGCCAATGGAACGTGGCAAGATCCAATGCGACTCCGCTAGAATGATGCTTTTCTGCGGACGACGCACAGTGTGGTTGCACCGCGAGACATCCATTCGCTGGCACAGTGGAGATGCCAGTTCACAGTGCGGCGTCTGAGACGAGATGAGGAGGTGCTAATGCTTCCTTCGTATTGGGCGGTGAAGGTGTTGAGAGGTCTCTTCTTAAGGACTCATAAACAATAAGGGCCAAGGACCAAGGACCAAGACCAAGGACCAAGACCAAGACCAAGAACCAAGGACCAAGACCAAGGACCAAGACGAAGAACCCTCATTCTGTTTCGAGGACTCTGAGAATAAGCGCCGAACTATTATTGTGAAAGACCCTTTTAATTCTACTTCCACCTACTGTACCCAAATCCCTTATCCAATTGCATAATCGCCCTGCAGCTCAAACATCATCCCTCCCCTTCCCTTTTCCCCCCCACGCTCAACTGACGAGACGGGCCGCCCCCATACTCGACTAGGCCACCACCTACCACCCCAAATTCCTCGCCTAAACCTCCAATTTCGGCTTGTAAACTCATTCCAGCAAGACTTTTTCAACAACCTCCCCCCCCCCCCCCCCAAAATAAATCCTCGAATACCTCTCCTGTATGCCTTCGATAACTCGATGTACAGGGCCATATTTTATTTACATAGATTATCTTGCCTTGTGCTCCTTTTGCAGCGTTTATTTGATTCGAGCGGTTAGCCTTGACATGGTTTGTTGACAAACGAAATATGGCTACCTGGCAACTGGACGCTGACGAACCCCAATGCAGCAGTTGTAACGATTCGACGACGTATGTAACGACTTTGAGATACCCCGCGCAGCGCAAAAGAAACTTGGTTATTGACGAAGATTCTCCCCGCAGTCTGGTCCTACCCGAAGTCCTCGCTGGACACAGTCCTCAGTTCCTTCTGGAACACACCACGTACGACAGGCGATGAACCCACCGCCTCCTCCCCCCCATGGGGAGGCCCCCAAATCATCGGGGCTTCCTCCGGGGAAATACGACATCTTTATCATTCCACCACACTCCTCGGGCTCGGGCTTCCTGTATCTGCCGTCGCTAAAACCCAACGTCAACAGCTTCGCCGCGGGCTTTGCATCAGCTCTCATACTCGTCGCAATAGTATCAGCGTTGATGCCAACACTTCAATTATGGTGGTACAGCGTCAAGAATACGGGCGGGAACGGGATGTTTATGGTGTCGATCGGACTGGCTATAGGGGCATGGGCCTTGGGTCGCATGCAATCTGATGGAAGGACTGGATCAAATGGAGGAAACAACGGTGGTGGTGGTGGTGGCGGCGGCGGTGCACCCCCTGGAGGCCCTCCACCCCACCAAGGTCACCAAGGTCACCAGAATGGCTACGCACCAGGAGGGCCTCCCCCCCAACCTAGCGGCCATGCGCCACCACCAAATCCTGGGCCACAGCCGGGCTACAATCCAGGACCACAACAGAACCAACCACCGCCGAAATCAAGCTGGCAGCGATCAAATGTGCCTCCCGGGGGTACGAATGCGAATACAGGTGGCTATGCGAACACAGGACCGAATACAGGGGGCTATGCGAACACAGGACCGAATACAGGGGGCTATACAAACACAGGACCGAATACAGGGGGCTATACAAACACAGGACCGAATACAGGGGGCTATCCAAAAACTGGACCGAGTACAGGAGGATATCAAAATCCAAACTCAGGGGCGAACACAAATTCTAATGCGAATGCAAATGCAAATGCAAAATCTGGGTGGGAAAAGGCGCGCGAGGAAACTCGCAAGCGAGAAGAGGAGCGTAAGGTCGCCGAGGCTCTGCGTCAGAAGAAAGAGGAGGATGAGAAGCGGTTGAAGGAGGCGCGGGAGAAGGAGGCCCGAGAGCGGGTAGCGAGGGAGCGTATCGCGAGAGAGGCTCGCGCGCAGCGGGAAGCTAGGGAGAAGAGAGAGAAGGACGAGCAAGCGAATAAGGCGGAGGCTGAGAAGGTTGTTGAGAGGGCTGCTGAGAGGGTTGCTGCTGAGAGGGCTGCTGCTGAGAGGGCTGCTGCTGAGAGGGCTGCTGCTGAGAGGGCTGCCGCTGAGAGGGCTGCCGCTGAGAGTGCTGCCGCTGAGAGGGCTGCCGCTGAGAGGGCTGCCGCTGAGAGGGCTGCCGCTGAGAGGGCTGCCGCTGAGAGGGCTGCCGCTGAGAGGGCAAAGCCGAAGGCTAGCACATATGCATACTCTGCTGTAGGTGAGAAAACCAACCCCTGGCCAAGAGGACAACCTCCCTCTCCAGCATCGGCATCTCCACGACCAACTCCACCACAGGCGCCCCCGACCAAGCGGCCGCCCGCTGCAACAGCGCGCACATATTTAGGCAACGAGGACGACTACTCCTATCGCCCCTACGACAAACCCGCACACAAGAAAGCCGCATCCTCGGTCTACTCGGCCTCCTCCTACGCCGCCTCCCAGTCCACCGCGCGCACAACACCACCACCCTCAATGCGCGGCGCATACTCTACCAAAGACCCCGATAAGATCGTCCTCAAAGCCGTCTACGCCTTCAACAACGCCTTCATGAAAACCCCCACCTCCATGCTCGTCTCCGGCACCGGCTCCGTCACCGACGGCCTAATCCTGCGCATCACAACCGAGGGCCTCTTCATCGACGACGACGTGCGCGGCGTCCCCCAGCGCGAGTGGGACGTCAAGGCCTGGACCATGAAACTCGTAGAGGTATGGTGTCCCGCGTTCAGCTCCCCCGCGCCGGCCTCCACCGCCGCCTCCAACCCAGCGCGCAAGCTCTGGGGCAATTCGTCTAGCAAGCCCAAGGACAACGCGGTTACGAACGAGGCGGCAGATGCCCTGCTCCTCGAACTGCTCGCATCGTGCAAGGCACAGTGCCGTCTGGGGCTGCTGGGGGAGGGGGGTGGCGGGTCGTCGCCGAAGAAGTCGTCGCCGCTTGCGGAGAGAGAGTCTAATGCTTCGTCGCAGACTGGGCAGTTTAGGGGGGGGAAGTTGCATGTGTTGAGGGCGAGTATTAGGGATCAGGAGGGGAGGAAGTATGTTTTTGTTATTGGGGAGGAGGAGAGCTGGAAGGTGGCGGTGGGGTTGCAGAGGTTGAGGAAGGGGACGCAGGTTAGGCAGCTGGGGGTGAGTGGGATGAGTGGGAATGATGCGAAGTTGACGCTGGATAATTTGGGGTGGGGGTGAGGAGGCGATGACGAGAAGGGGGGGTGCGAGGAGTTTTGTAGATAGGTGGACTTGTGGAAGTACAGTTCGCAGAGGGGTTTCGCTATCTTGGCATATTGATACATCAGCGTGGGGGATAGGGTTCATAGCGAGGGAGTTTTTGGGGGTCAAAGTTTGAGTTTCGGTACTGGTAGTGCTTGTCGTCGGTTGGTGTATACGAATGAAGGGTGGTCATAAGTAAATATGAGAAAAATACAGATTGGACAAAGATTGCAACAGTAGAATTTTGATATAAGAATATTACTAAGACCTGTAGATGAATATATCAAGGTATCACATCGGCTCATCTGAGGGGTTTGTGGCCCGACGGCTAATTCTTATAAGTGAGGCATCCAAATACGTACCTCTCTATAGAGGTTCTATCTTGATATTTGTCTGTAGAAAATAGGCTATAGAAAATAGGCTATAAATATTGAGACCTCGTGACTCTTAAAAGGCCATTTATTGGGGTGGTTGGGCCGAACAATGGGAACAAAGACTGCTCCTTCCTCAAAAGATAAATTCACTTTTATATACTCCAAAAGTGAAAACAAACGAAATAAAACCACCAAATTCTTCCAACAACAACACCAAAAATAAGAATCCCAAAACTTTTCCAAATAAAACCCCCCCCCTTTTTTTTATCCAAACACTTCCATTCAAACAACACCTCTTCGTCTGATACTCCAAACTCTTCCATACCAAGGCTCCAGTTCCATCTCGAACAACCCCTGCAAACCCAAGTCACGTGCTATCGCGTCCCTCGCGTCGCGTAAACTGCGCTCACGTATTTACGATGGACATCTACCACTGGCGTCGCCAGATCCCACGCAACCGCTTCTACGACATGTGGAACAAGCCCTTCAAGCCGCCGTCGATGCGGCCACGGCCGGTGGAGGCGAAGAAGCCGCGGTCTCGAGACGACGGGGTGGAACGCGTGGAGGCTACGCCGTCGCCGCCGGGGAGTCCTGTGGGAGGGAAGAAGGGGATTAAGGTGTGGGAGCATCCTGCAGCGGGGGCCGGGAGACCGTTGTCGCAGGCGTCGGCGGCGGTGAATGTGCCGAGGAAACCGTTGGTGGTTAAGCAGGGATATGGGGGGGGGGGAAAGAAGGGGGGATTTGATGAGGATGCGCCGAAGGGGTATTATAATGTTATGTGGTGAGTAGATGTCTTGGTCGAGTCTATGTGGTGGTGCTAATGGGTCATACAGGCGCAAGTATAGTACGAAGAAACACAAGACGTGGGATGGGGATGGGGTGCTGCTCGTGTGGAATGGGAAGGCGAGGTTGGTGGACCTCGAGGCGAGACAGCTGGCTGAGACGAGGTGTTATGAGACGTTCCTGCCGGAGAGTACGCTGAATATTGGAGGGAGGGAGGTGGAGATTGTGTCGCTCATCCCACGAGAAGATTATTACGCTGGCAAGCCGTTCACAAATACGGCGCAAGTATCTGCGCGGCCGACTACGGTGGAAGGGCCGACACCGAAACAGGTACCGAGTTTCCAGCCGTTGAAGCGCAAGTCGGGCGATATCGAAGGCTCGAGTAGGAATAAGGCGATTAAGGTGGAGGATGGAGACTCTCCTGGCGCGGCGCCGGCGAAGAACTTTTATGGCCAGTCGTCGCTCAAGCAGGAGTTTAAGAGTCCTGTGGTTGCGTCGACGGTCGTGCCGCAGGGGAAGAAGGGGGTGCCTACTCCGCGCCATGATCCGCGCGCGCCGGGGGCGTTGGTTATGAAGCGACCCAAGGATTGTCCAAAAGGAAAGCAGATAGTCGATGTTGTCGTTGACCCTCTGCTCGCGAAGAAGCTCCGGCCGCATCAGCGGGAGGGCGTGAAGTTCCTTTACGAGTGTGTGATGGGGCTTCGCGATTATGGCGGGGAGGGGGCGTTGCTAGCCGATGAGATGGGCCTGGGTAAGACGCTGCAGAGCATTGCTCTTATCTGGACGTTGCTGAAGCAGAATCCGTATGGGGGTGGGGGTGTGATCAAGAAGGTGCTGGTGGTGTGCCCGGTGACGCTCATTGACAACTGGAAGAAGGAGTTTAGGAGCTGGCTGGGCAGTATTAATATCGGCGTTATGGTTGCGGATGGCAAGATGAAGATCACGGACTTTACGCATGGTGCGAGTTATAGCGTGTTGATTGTGGGGTATGAGAGGATGAGGGGTATTGCTGAAGAGTTGGGCCAGGGAGCGGGGGTTGATCTTGTTATTGTCGATGAGGGTCATCGGCTCAAGAAGGAAACCAACAAGGCCGCCCAGGCTATCAAAGGTCTCTCAACGCTCAAAAAAATCATCCTGTCTGGGACTCCCTTGCAGAATGATCTCACGGAGTTCTTCGTTATGGTTGATTTTCTCAACCCAGATCTTTTCAAGTCGGCCAGCTCCTTCAAGAAGAATTTCGAAACGCCAATTCTAAGGAGTAGACAACCTAATGCGAGTGAAAGGGAAAGGGAGTTGGGTGAGGCGAGGCAAGCTGAACTCTCCGAAATGACCCAGCAGTTCATTCTTCGAAGGACGGCCGAGGTCCAGGCGCATTTCCTCCCACAGAAAACTGAATTCGTGGTCTTCTGCAAGCCAACCACGGCACAGGCGCAGATATATGAGGAGATACTGGAGTCTCCTGCGTTTATGGGTGCCCGTAATGGGTACAAGGCGGCTCAAGCACAGGCTTTGGGGCTAATCAATATTCTGAGAAAAGTATGCAACTCTCCTCAACTGCTTCTCCCATCGAGCAAGAAGTCGGCAGCGAAGCGTGTAGGCGAGGATGCAGAAGACGCCGTGGAGGGTATCTCAGAAGAAAGACTAAAGGCGCCCCTCCTCGCCACAAGCACGAAGATGCGCGTCCTCGACGGCCTCCTCAAAGCCATCGCCGAAGACCCGCACAACACCAAAGAGAAAGTCGTCATAGTCTCCAACTTCACCGCCACGCTTGACCTCCTCCAAAAACACCTTGCGCAGCTCAGCCTTCCCCTCCTCCGCCTCGACGGCGACACGCCCACCAACCGGCGCCAGGACATCGTCAACGAATTCAACAAGACATCTGCCAGGAAGAACTTTGCGCTGCTCCTCTCCGCTAAAGCTGGCGGCGTGGGCCTAAACCTCGTCGGCGCCTCGCGTCTCATCCTCTTCGATGTCGACTGGAACCCCGCGACGGACCTGCAAGCCATGGCGCGCGTCCACCGGCCCGGCCAGGAGAAGCCGACTTTCATCTACCGCCTTCTCATGGCGGGCGGTATGGATGAGAAGATCTACCAGCGCCAGCTTACGAAGAAGGGACTTGCGGATAGTATTGTAGATAATAAGAAGAACGGGGCTGTGTTCTCGGCTGATGAATTAAGAGATCTCTTCACACTCGATACCACTTCAGATTGCAAGACCCACGACCTTCTTGGCTGCAACTGCGGCGGTCGCGCAGCGGACCCTGTCGTTGACGAGCCGACCGAGGCACCCGTCGAGGACCCCTCTCCCGCTCCCGCTCCCGCCCCGGCCTCGGACGCCTCCGCCTCAGACTCCGACGACGACCTCCCCCTCAACCCCTGCGACTCCCGCCGCCGTCGCCAACCCCGCCCAACCCTCATCCCCGCCTCACAATACGACTGGCAAGCTGAAGCCGCCCGCGAAGCCGCCTCAGCAGCCGAGCGTCGACGTCTGCATGCCGCGGGTAACATGGCGAGCCTGCTAGAATACGAGCATATCGATACGGCGGCGCTGAGGGAGCCGCTGGATGTGTTTGGGGTTAAGAGGGAGGGGGTTGAGGAGGTGGAGGGGAGGGTTGGGGATGAGGTGCTTTGTGGGGTGCTGGGGGAGGGGGGGAGGGGGGTGAGTTTTGTTTTTGTGAAGAGGAGTGGGGAGAAGGATGAGTAGTAGAGGGAGGGGAAGAGGGTTTTTGTTTTGTGCTGGGCGTTGGGTGGGGTGCATAGCGGGAGGAGAGTAAACTTTAGACTGGATGAGGAGTTGAGTGGGCATTACAATGGGATTGCATTGGGAGGCTTTGATATTTGCTGGCCACGGGATTGATTTGCTGGGAGTCTGAAAGCTCGCTGGAGATATACAGTTCTAGATGCTCTGATGAGGTGGACTGATAAGAGAAAAATATACAATAGAGCCGATACCAAACAGACTGATTAAATGATATCCCCCTTTCTCTGCTCACCCACGCCCATTAGCCTCAAGTTACAAGGAAAGGCATCACACAAGACACATCTGTCAAAGAACGTGACTCTGCGAGAAATAGCTTCGATATTCAGCCTCATACGCATCTAATCATAACCCCCCCGACCGCGCACCCTCAAGCACCGCATGCATCATCCCCACCCCAATCCCCTCTCCTCCCAGCCCCGTTAAAAAAACGCCGTGGAGCGTGGCCCATGGCCCGTGTATCCTGTGTAGTAAGTCTGTTCTACATGAAAACAATGCAGCAAGTACAATAAAATTGAAGCCCGCCTTTCCCGCGTCTCCCTGGTGCTTATAATCTGCTGATATATAGCACCGCCTCCGTCGCTCTCAGGACGCTCTCCCATCTCCGCGTAACCTTCGCATGGGCTGTTGGTAGGCGCTGGCAGCTGTTATAATGTGTTCGTTGATAGCTGGCTATGCTAATAATGTCGTCGTAATCGGGTATCTCGATGGTCTTCCCATAAACGCCAGTACGCTACTACCTTCGTATCGTTGTAGCAATCTAAAATGCCTCGCTTCAACACTACGCCTACGTGTGCTCGCTCTGCATGCATGTTCCCCATGCGTCTGTCAGCATAACTGTAAAAATGCGCCGCTAAAACTCATATCTCAGTTTGGCTGGATCGAATCCGCGGGCGTGGGAGTGTTCGTGGCTGTCATCACGCTGTCTTCTAGCTCCTCCTCATCTGGAACTTCGATTATGCCTTCAGGCATGACTAGGCCACCTCCAAGCGTGGCTGCGCTCATCAACCCCGTCATGACTTGGTCGTCATCGCCGCCGCCGCCGTCAGTCGCCCGTGTCGATGCCTCTCGCAACGCGCGCTCCTCGGCCTCCTCGGCCTCCTCCATCCGGGCCAGTGTTAGCCTCGTTCTGTTCTCTGCGTTCAGGTATCGTCCGAGCCCAGTGACGCCGGCGCCGGAGAAGACGCAGAAGGCGTCTCGTTGGTGCTGATTGAAGTCTATAGGGAAATGAGTTAGCTCAATGCGCGAAAAGTAAATGATACTAATGATGAGATGGATTCAACTGACCTGGTGGTGCGTCCCGGCAAAACTTCTCGAGATCGGTTCTCAGGAAAGCCTGAACGCCCGTCAAGCTCAAGTGGGTTAGTTTGGGGCAATTGTTCAATAGGATGATGACACTCTGTGATCTCGTCAGTTTTTTTTTTGGTGTGGTGTTGTGTAAACTTACCCTAAGGGTGAGGTTGACGCAGTAGCTGAGATGCACTCTCTCCAAGCTACTCACATGGTTATTTGCGCCATGGAATTCCGGATACATAAGATCCGCAGGACCGGACGGATTCGATACTCTCCGTGAAGCATGGGATAAAGCGTAGACACTCTCGTCAGTTATCGCTTGGCACTTAACCAGCCCAATACGCCTCAACTTTGGAAGTGTAGCAAGCTTAGTAACAGACGCGTCTGTCAGTCGATTGCAGCAGCCGAGATCGATGTATCGGATCCTAGCACAGCAGTGAACCAGGTTCTTCACGGCGTCATCTGTAATCTGATTGCAGTGTCCCAGATGAACATAATGCAGGTTCTTGCCAAGTTTGCTGATGGCGTTGACAGCCACATCTGTGAGGTTACGGCACTTAGCAAACACAACATTTCTCAGGCGTGGTGCGACTTCGATGATCTTCTCGACTGCGCTATCCGTGAGTCTAACACAGCTTGTAAAGTCCAAGATCCGGAGATGGTGGAACATTTGGGTTGGTGGCAGGTTGAGGAAGGCAGAATCGGTAATCAACTCGCAGCTCGCCAGACGGAACTCGCGAAGGCTCCTACCGTATTGTAGGAGGGCGGTTACGGGCTCGCTGCCAACATTTTTGCAGTGGTGCAAGTCGATTTCTAGGATATTCGGGCAGTTCTTCGCGAACGCCATGATGGAAGAATCTTCAATCTGGTGGCAGTCGTTAAATTTAAGCTACATGTTGTTAGTTTCCATCTACAGAGCCAGAAAACCGTTTAACTCACTCTCTTGATCTTCTTGCAGCGTTCCGCTACGTTTATTAACGATTCGTTCGAGATTTTTGTGCAACCGGAGATATTCAACCCTTGCAGTAGCCGGCAGTTTTTGGCCAGCAGATTGATAGAAGCCTCCGTTATGTTTGAATCTCCCGATATATCCAATGCCAGTAGCCGCCTGTTATCTGTGACGAGGCTGATCAAACCTTGATCTGTCAAACCATGGCAGTTTGTAAGCGTGAGCCTCTCAACCTGAGTGCAGACCTGGAGTGGCGTCACGCTTCCATCATTGACGCTGTCTGCCAGAGTGGCCAAATTCAACCTCTTAACGAAATCCCGGTATGCAAAGTATGGGTTCGGCAGGTTGAGCGTCCTGCATATGACGCTGTGTTTCGGCCATGTCGAGCAAGCTGGTCGCAGCCACAGCAGGTCCACCGCGTTTCTCGCCCATGCTTTGCAGGTGAGCATGCAGTTTAGCAAGTCCGTCGCCGCTCCGAGTTTCGAGAACATATTAATGAGGATTTCGGCGGGCAGTCTCTGGATTGGTGGCTGGCAACTGTATTCGTCTTGTACAGCCGCGGGATCCGACGTTGGTACGCCGATGGAGGACTGCGAATCGTTCATGTTCATGAAGAAATCAAATTCCTCATAATCCACCCTTGTCGGGGAGTTGCTTGACGAAGAGTGTGAGTCTTCTTCCTGGTCTGTCGCCGTTTGTGTTGTGGTGAACAGTGACGTCCCCACCCCGACGGGCGGGACTCTTGAAGATTCACAACCATGCATTGTAAATGAGCTTCAGGCTCGCTTCAGAGATGACATTAAACAAGATCGGTCGTCACGATAGACTCGAGGGTATTCTGTGTTTCCAGATTGCTCTGTTCGCGTTCTGGTAAAACAGACGTTGCTGATAAAGACAGGGCCAAGGTTGGCGACAGTGGGAGTAATCAAGGCGCGATTACGTTGGGCTCAGCCTTGTGGTGCTTGGCTGTTTGTTGGTGATGTTGCCGATGTTGGTTTATCGCCGGACAAAGCTGTGTATTGGTTAAATCCTTCGTGCATCTACTGTGTAGTCGGTCGCTGTTGGCTGGAGATAGCTTCAGGGTTTAATGAGAGGAGAGTCGTACGACTTGGTTGTCATCGTCAATAACTGTGAGCTTGAGGGAATCAGAGTTTCGGTTAGGTCAGCCCCACGTCAGGACCGACCCACGTGACGATAGCATGGGCAAGCCCAACACTAAAGCCAAAAATAGCGTCAGCTGTTCAAGGAGAGAGGACTGGAGCGAACGGCTTTATAATCTCATTATTCTTTCGTTCTTACAGGAATTTATAGGATGGCTTTTGTAATCTCTTTATTTTCTTTATTTTTTATAAATCAGTACTCCTATCTGTACCCTTTGCCCAGATCCTGAGCACATTCTTCTTCACTTTACCTGTGCTCGTCTTTGGCAGCTCTGCTACGATTTCTACTTCCCTAGGGACCATGAACTTGCTGATATCGCTCTTATGCTTTGCCCACTGGATAACATCATCTCCCTTGAGTGTCTTCCCTTGCTGTACCGTGACAAAGGCCTTTGGCCGCTCTCCCCAGTGCGAATCAGGGACCGCCACCACACCAGCTTCAAGGACATCCGGATGTTGAACTAGCATACCCTCAAGAGAGACGGACGAGATATTCTCGCCACCTGAGTTCTGTTAGTAATAGCTTTGGCTTCGTGACAGAGGGGGGTTACTCACCACTAATGATAATATCCTTCGCCCTATCCAAAATCTGAATAGCCCCATCTGCATGCCAAACAGCCAAATCCCCCGAGTGCAATACACCGCCATCAAAGATCTTCCTCGTAGCCTCTGGGTCCTTGTAATACTCCTTTGCGCAGATATTGCCAAGGAACACAATCTCACCAATCTCTTTTCCATCCTTCTTCACATCAACGATAATTCCCGGTGCCTGTTCAGTCTTGATAACACGGCACGGCAGCGTGGTAATAGCACCGTGACCCTGTCTCGCCATCTTATCGTACTTCTCATTTTCAGGCAAGTTTTCCCACGCCGGCATGCGGTACCCCTTAGTGATTGGGCCGTACGTTTCCGTCAAGCCGTACACATGGACTGGCATCAGGTTCAACGATTCCATCGTCTTGAACAGATGCGCCGTCGGCGGGCTCGCAGCCACTGTGACTCTCACCGGCTTCTCTAACCTCTCAGCCTCCGGAGACGCACAGAGAAGCGTGTTCACCGTCGGGGCCGCATTGAAATGCGTCACATTCTCTGTCTTCAGCAGGTGCCAAATCGCCGGGTAGTCAATCTTACGCATGCAATAGTGCGTCCCTCTCACAGCCGTCACGGCCCAGGGAAACGTCCACCCCATAGCGTGAAACATCGGGAGCGTCCAGAGATACCCGCAGCGCCCAGTATGGTAGTTGAGGCCCGACTCGACGACATTGGCCAAGGCAGCTAGGTATGCTCCACGGTGGTTGTAAACCACACCCTTTGGCTTGGCCGTCGTTCCAGAGGTATAAGCCAATGCAATGGTGGCTTGCTCATCGTCACACTGCGACTTCAGGCCCGCCCAGCCATTGCCACCGGTTTCCTTGTCATAACTCAAACCTTCCAAGACCGCAGCATCGAATGGCCCACTTATCTCCTCCACTGCATCTGTGTCTGTGTCGATAATAAACGGTATTTGTGGGTATAGCTCCTTGAACCTATCCAGCAGGTGCAAGTACTCCGCATCCACGATGATAACCTCAACCTCCGCGTGGTTGAAGATGTACGCAATGTCTTCGCTCTTAAGCCTATAATTGACGCCGACGTTGACTGCGCCCGCGGCGCCAATCCCAAAAATACTCTCGAGGAAGGCGGGCGTATTGGGGCAGAGGATACCAACCCGCTTGTACTGCTTCTTGACGAGGTAGTATGCGAAGCCGCGAGAGCGGTCGGCGAATTCTTGGTACGTCCGCCTTAGGACGACGTTGTTGGCGGTGGTGTGGTGGATGGCTTCGGCATCCGGCTCGATCTGTGCAGCACGCTCGAGGAAGAATGTGGGTGAGAGCTCATGGTTGTTGAGACGGTGTGTGAAGGTTTCTTGGGTGCTTGAAGGGAGGAAATGTGCTGCCAGCTTCTGGAGTCGGGATGGGGCGCCAGACATTGCGAGTGGTGTGATCAGAAGGCCGTTACTTATAACGTAGATATCATGGCAAGAGGCGTACGTTTCAAATAATAATGTAAGCTATAGGATCCATGAGAAACGGCAATGGAAAGCCTCTTATAAGCCGTAGACCAGGGTAAAACGTGGGGTTGGTGGGACAGCCTTGCCTCGGGTATGGGGGTACCGTCGGTGGCAAGGCGGCTGATCCGATTCACGTTACTCGAGTATGGTGTTGTGCCGTGGGGAAATCCACCGATGTCGGTATCGGGGTAATGGAAGGACCGTTAAATCGGATAAGAAACAGTAAGTTTTACAATAGCACAAGGAACAACATAATAGGACTTCGCAGCATCTTTGAGATTTTTCCATTTCTCGATGGAGCAGCATGCCAGTATTCATAGACTGTACACCCGTGAGTTCCCTCCTTCATCAGCGCTCTTTTCCGATGCGGCAATCCCAGTCCGTGCATTGTATGATATTGAATCAGCCTTGGGTCTACCCAGTAATAGGGCCGACAAGGTATTGCCAGTGAAAAAGAAACAAGAACAGCCCAGACCCAACCTCAATACCCATTATATCGCGAATCGATTTGAGTTTGACGTTTAGTATCCGAACGACGCAAGTTGCTCCTGGGTCTTGGTGTCGACCTTTGCGCTCTTCTGGGCCTCGGCGAGTTGTCTCCTTGCAGCCTTCTTGCGCTCGTAGTATGCCGATCCCTTAACCTTACGTCTCTCCTCGAGCCTATGCATTTTGTTAGTATTTGTTCAGTCGTATTTAGTTGGACTTGAGCTTCTGCTCAAGACCAAGAGTTTCACATACCTGGCAACAACATCCTGGTACTTCCAACCGACCTCGTGGGACAGGCGGCCGACAGTGCAGTACTTGCGTCCGGGCTTAAGTCTGAGGACACGGAGGGCCTGGGGGACAACCATGCGCTTGACCTTGTCGTATGGGGCTGGGACACCCTCAAAGACCTTAAGTCTCTCCATGGCGGCGGCACCACGGGCAGTCTTGTGTGGAATCATACCACGGACGGTCTTGTAGAAGATGCGGGATGGGGCGCGGAAATGGAACGGACCACCACGGGTTGGGTTGTAACGGGTCATCTTGCGGAGGTAGGCGTGGTACTTTACTATAAATAGAGATTCGTCAGCATTCGGTTCTGTGATCCCAACGAGTCCGTCTGCCAATCGTTCCCACTCCTCTCATTTCAAGGAAGGTCTGCATTCCTAGATTCAGGGTGGTACGTACGCTTCGCACGGAAGAACTCTCCAGAGATGTTGAGGGCCTCGCAGCGCACAACAACGATCTTCTGTCCCTCGAGGAGCTGCTTAGCAACGGTCGAGGCCAGGCGACCGAGGAGGTGGCCCTTGCCATCAATGGTGATCTGTGATATTCCCGTCAGCTCCCGTCTCTCTTCAGATGTGTGTCCAGCCATGTTGTGAAGTCGCATCTTTGAATAGATCGCGAGGCTGGAACGGCGAGGTGTTGACTCACGACTTGCTCGAAAGTCGACATCTTGTCCTGCCTTTAGGTAAAGAAGACTACGTCGGAATTGTCGGAATCCTCTACCGTGGTGTTGGTGGAGGAAATGGCGATTTGTCGTGGTTGTCGGCTCGGTCCCAGAATCAATCGTGAGGCACTCAGAGTGTTCGAATAATGCTAGCGCACAAATTACGCGCAGAGCCGCATAGGGCTTCAACCCCGCTAAAATCAAAAATCAAAGGAACGCAGATTTTGGCAGGAAGCGGGCAAACCACCAGAAAGATGACTAAGCATTTAGTCACAACAAAATATGACTAACTAATGACTAAGCATAAAGAACCACAAAATCCAAGAATGCATCGGCGGCAACTTTGAGATTCAATTGCCGATAGATTCCGTTTATTGTAGTCTACCGTAGTACACTCCTGTGCTGCTACCGTAATCCGTACCACTGTGAACTGTTTATACTGTACAGTAATGGAACCAGAAAGTCCGGTGGATTAGCACCATTGTATAGGAAATAGATTAGTCATTAGGAGTATCATGTGGAGGCGGCCTACTTATGGCGGGCCCTTAGAATAGATCGTTAGACAATAGAGCAATTTACGTAGCAACTGTTACTGTCACACTTTTAGCATGTAATAGTAATATATTTGGCAAGGCGTACCTAATGCCAAGGTGCCTACTTTTGGCCTACATGCCAAATAGGAAAGGGGACTGTCACACTATGACAGAACTCTGTCGCACTGTAACAGAGCCATTTCTAGCTAGTAAATCAGTAGTGTATCGTATGTAGTGTCATACTGACATTCGTTGCACTCAGTTTGCTATCAAACTCAAGAGCCTCTACCTATGATCTAGGAACCTAGAAACAATCTTAATCAACATACCTTAAGGACCAGATTGTATGACATTAGAATAGTTCGCCAACTTCGCTTTACAAAGCATTAATTAGGTTGCAAAAGGTGCAGTAGGTGCAATACACTGACGTTACTGCGAGAAGAAAACGCTACACTTCGCAAAGCAAATGATTTGCTTAGTTGACGTCGTTGTATAAAAAAACGTCAATTACAAGAAGGAGGAGCAATTACTATCGAAGCTGTCTAAGTCTTAGAGGCTTAAAGAGAGGCTAATATACAATTACAAGCTGATTTGCAAGAAAGTAGGGGTTGTACAAAGCAAACTAAGCCGCAAAAACGTTGTTGTAGATGTTGTAGACAAACTGGTCACAACGTACGAACTTGTCTAAATATTGTAGATACATCTGATGATTTAAATGCCGAAGAGTTAGAATAATTTAATTAATTAATTGTTAAGATATTTTATAATTTCGTACGATGCCAAGAAAAATATGACGGGTTGCTTGGGATGACGGTCGCTTGTGAACTACGTTAGTCATGATTATTATGTAACCCTGACCGTCTAGCGGTCCACTGATTTGGCAGGGGCCATCCGTTCTATGTCCCTATTTCCCCTCCTCATGGCGTTACCAAGAGCCCCCGTACTACTATCAATGGTACAAACCCCAAGTCGACGACTTACGATAAATAGAGTCCTTCTCCGCGTCGTATCCTATACCCAACATCACCATCGTCGCCCTTACACTTATAAACCACACACCTTCACTACTTCAACAACTCCCATCTATTCGCCTAACCTGGCGTTCATACGTAGACTGTTTTCATCGAGCCCAGCTCAACTAGAAATGGCTGCGGCAGCAAAGACCAAGGCGCAGGCCATCATCGACGAGAACCCTGTGGGTGAGTTGACACCGTCAGCACTAAACCCGCCCTGCATCTTTCTGACAGTCAACCAGCCGTCTTCAGCAAGACATACTGCCCATACTGCAAGGCTACCAAGTCTCTCTTAAACGAGAAGGGCGCCAAGTTCTACTCGATTGAGCTTGACCAAGTCGGTAAGTCGACAAAACTACTATATAATCGATAAAGATACACAGCTGACACACCGGCGTACAGAGGATGGCGCTGCTATCCAGGCTGCCCTCCGTGAGATGACTGGCCAGACCTCGGTTCCAAACATCTTCATCAACAAGAAGCACATCGGAGGAAACAGCGACCTGCAAGAGAAGAAGCCACAGCTGACAAACCTCCTGAAGGAGGCTGGAGCTCTCTGAGCGTATTTGGAAGGCTCAGATATTGGCACATGACAGTCCGAGAGGATGCAGTGCTCACGCAGCACAGGTGCATCCACAAAACTTAGGGATATTGGTTATAGAGAGTGGGGGATAGAATTACAACTGCCAATCCAAGAGAATATGCAGCATCTACAGCTATCTGTTATACATATATCTAGACATGAACCTGGGCGGCAACGGTTCCAACCGGCCTCTCTACAAACTCCATAATCCCCTCCACGATGCTCTTCCTTGCCGCCTCGCTGGCTACATGGGCGCCAGCAAGGTAATGTAACCAAAGCGCCCTGGATATCCTCTCGTCATCTACCTCGCCCAATCGCTGCGGTCCAGCCTTGCCAGCATCGAACCACGCCGCCAAGGAACCCTTCCCGTTCCTTGCGAGCACCAGCTCCCTTCCCTTCGGCACACTGCCGTGTCCAAACATAGCCTTCAAGTCAGCAACCGACTGCCCGAACTTGTCGTCGCCAAACTCTTCAGGGTGCTTCCTCGCCTGCGCCGTCACGGCTCGTACGTACGCATCTCTCATGTGTCCAAAATCCGTGTCTCTAACCGGCACAATCCGGAATAGCGTTCGAACATTCGTGGAAGACAAGATGTGATTCCACACCTCCTCTCCCCCCTCCGGATCCATCAGTCTCTCCTTCAGGGTATCCTTCTCCCCCGCAACGAGCGTTGTCGCAATAGGGTCGATCTTCTTTACCAGGGTGCGCTGCAGCTGAGCAATATCATCCGTCGCCACGTACATCCCCACCACATACACCTGAATGCTCAAGAACGAGACCTTCCGTATCCCCAACCCCATAAGCTGGTACTCCGTCGGACTCGCCATATCCCCCTGCGCATTCTCACTAATCTCCTCATCGTCAAACTGCATCAGCCTCGGAAACGTCGGCACCGTACTCGTCCCCGTCTCAACCGTATCCGTGTTCTCCTCCGCCTCCTCCCCTAGTTTCTGCACCACAACCTTGCGCTCCTTACCCACCACGACCAGCGGATCCTGCAGCCTCGCGTCATATCCCGGCTTCGAATCGAGCTTCGTCGGCAGGTCGACGGACGTCGCGATCACCCAGATCGCGATCATGCCTGTTACGAAGCCAATGCCGTTATAGATGCTGCGGCGCTTGTAGTACTGTCTCCGCTCCTCAGCGGCCTCGCGGAGGCGCTTGTGCTCTTCGGTGGAGGGCTCGTTGGAGCTGGGGGAGGGAGAGGAGTTGATGGCGCGGCGCTGGAGATGACGCGATGGCGGGTGTGCGGCGGGGGCGCGGAGGAGGCATTGGAGGCGGGAGGGGGACGTGGAGAGGTTTGGGAGTGTGCGCGCACAGCGCGCGGTGCGGTTTAGGAGGCTCATGGTTGCGTGGTTTGGGTTGTGAAGCCGTATGGGCGATAGGTAAGGAGACGAGAAGCTTTGGTTTCTAGAGGAGGTCAGTGCTCGCTTGGAGAACGTGGGAGCATGGATGGGCGTCATCGTTGAACGCCACTGAGGTAAGTTATGCACCTTGATGGCATGTGTATCGAGATATATCCAGGACGCGACATCCTCATGTTAGAAAAGCATTCTTTAGCTATAGATCTAATAAATTAGCTGGTTATAGGATTTTGAATTGCCCTTCTCAGTTTATGTAATTACGATGGCGTTTAACTATGGAGAAACCAATGGTGTCAATTGAATTGAGTGGTACATCAAGCTGCTTCAAGCAACTATTGCTTCCGTACAACTAGCAAGTTCACAAAGCATTTCTATTCCTAACTAGTAATAAAGAATTGGATAAGACGCATCTGTACAATTGTTATGAAATTGTGTTACTAGCAAACATGTCTGACCTCAGCTAGCCACCTTCTGTAACCCCTCATGGCAGCCTCAGATAGTCCAAGCTCCAGAGCTATACGAAAGTCCATCTGGCTTAACGTCAACACCCCGACAAACGACGACGACGAAGAGCTCTACCAACTGCCGCCCAACATACATATCCAAGAGGGCGCCTTACATATTTACACGATCCCATTCTATCTGGCCGGAAACACCGACTCACCGTCTATGAATCGCCCCGCCAAAGCCTAGAGCCGCGCCAACCAGTCGCCCAAACCCGCGACCATGGCGCACCTACTGCGGCAGCTGAGCTCCAGCCCCATGTCCGTGATGCTCATCACAGCCATCGTCTACCTCTCAATTGCGATACCCCTCCTCGTAATCCACGAAGTCGTCCCGCCCGCGCCATCAGACGACGCCCTACCCAGCGGCCTGAACATCAGCGAGGCGTGGCTGGACCTAGCGGAGTTGACGAAGGCGTACCATCCGTATGCGAGTCGACGGAATGATGAGGTGCATGAGTGGTTGTTGAGGAGGGTGGAGGGGATATTGGGAAGTAATGGGGTGAGGTGGTCTAGTGAGAATGGGCATATTCCGATTTCGCCGCAGGAGGTTGGGCAGGTGGGTGGAGGGGAACAAAAGGTTGGGAAGGTCGAGGCGGCGCCGTTTCCTGGGTTTATTGGGGTTGAGACGACTGGGGAGACGAAGGAAGAGGACGAGCTCAGGAAGCGAGATGCCTCGCCGCTGGTTACGATCTTCAATGACTTGCAGTCCAATATCACATGCTCTGGCCTTGGAGCTATTGGCGCAGATGGCAAAGGCAGATTACCAGGACAGACTGTCTACTTTGAGGGCACAAACATCATTGTCTACATCCGCGGCACAGAAGACGAAGAAGGTGAATGGTGGAAATCAAGCCTTCACTTGAGGAACACCCACGGCCAGGGAGGAATCCTCGTCAACGCCCATTACGACAGTGTGTCGACCGGTTTCGGCGCAACTGATGATGGAGTCGGAGTCGTCACTATTCTCCAACTGATCCGCTACTTTACCTCTACTGGAAGACAGCCGAAGAAGGGGATCGTGGCGCTGTTCAATAATGGCGAGGAGGATTTCCTCAATGGTGCTAGAGCGTATACCCAGCACCCGATGTCTCTCTTCACCCATACGTTTTTGAATCTTGAGGGCGCCGGTGCTGGCGGTCGAGCAGTTTTGTTCCGTAGCACGGATACAGAGGTCACGAGGGCGTATGCGAAGAGCTCGCATCCGTTTGGAAGTGTTGTTGGTGGCGATGGGTTCAAGCAGGGGATGATTCGCAGCCAAACTGATTATGTCGTCTTTGAAGATATTCTCGGTCTCCGAGGTCTTGATGTGTCATTCTGGACTCCCCGAGCTCGTTACCATACAAACCAGGATGATGCCAGGCATACCAGCCGCGACAGTATTTGGCACATGTTGTCGACTTCTGTTAGCACTGTCGAGGCGTTGACTTCGGATACTAGTGGCACTTTCAACAGCCCACGAGGCGACAATGCTTGGGGTAAAGTCAAGAATGGGAAGGGTAGCGATGGAGTCTGGTTCGATTTATTCGGCAAGGGATTTGCGGTCTTTGGTCTACGCACTCTGTTCGCTTGGTCGCTGACCTTCCTCATTGCCTGCCCGCTGGCTATCATACTGATTATTTACCTTCTTGTTCGAGAGGATAAGTTTTACTTGTTTTCGTCCTCGGTTTCGTCACAGGGTGACAATGAGGCGGATGTTCCTCTGAATGGCTGGAGGGGCGCATTCCGCTGGCCGCTGACTTTCATCGCTGCTACGGCGCTGACTGTTGGATCTGGGATGCTCATTGTGAAGGTCAATCCATTGATTATATACAGCAGCCAATACTCAGTGTGAGTACCCTTTGCCGTTTTTGAAACAAAAATATACATTACTGATTTTTCTAGATGGACTATGGCTCTAACACTAAACTTCTGCGTCTTCTGGTTCATAATGCGAGGTGCCGATTTCGTCCGACCATCCGCCTTACACCGAACCTACGCCTACTTCTGGATGTTCATCCTCGGCTGGATCATCCTCGTCGCCGTAACAGTCCTAGAAGACCGCTTCAAAATCGCCTCAGGATACTATTTCGTATTCTACGAAATCGCAATCTTCTTCGCCCTCGCCATCAGTCTTCTCGAGTTATTAGCTCTACCCACCAAAACACAGTACGCGGCGAACGTGCACGCCCAAGATGAGGCTGTAGAGAGCATCAATGCGTTACCAGACTCCGATGCCCTTATCGCTCCCACCGATGATGAGCACCCAGAATCTGAAGCAGTTGAAGCAGCTGATGAGCCCGAAGAAGCAGAAGCAACTGAATCAACACCCCTCTTTGGCGGCGACGGCACAAGGCGCTCTCGCACCACCACTTTCGCCAACTACGCCCGCCGCTCATTCCCTCGCGTCAGAGCTCACGACGGGTCTAGCGATAGTATCACCGTAGAGGTAAGCAGCCTCCCCCCTCCCAAAAAAAAAACCTCCCCTCACGAAACATTCTAACACCACCCAGTCCGAACGCTACGGCCACGAACAATCCTGGTCCGGCAAACTCCCCCGCTGGACATGGGCCATCCAACTCCTCCTCATCGCCCCCCTCACCTTAATCCTCCTCGGGCAAATCGGCCTCCTCGTCGTCACCGCCACCGGCCAAACAGGACCTGATGGCTCCGCGCTGGTAGTTCCCTACGTGCTTCTTACTACCTTCTCCACGCTTATTCTCCTCCCGCTGACTCCGACGTTGCACCGATTTACGCACCACTTGCCTACTTTCCTCTTCCTCCTCTTCACGGGGACGTTAATCTATACCCTCACTGCGTTCCCGTTCTCGGCAGAGAATAGGTATAAAGCCTATTTCCAACAAACCATCGATCTGGACACCGGGTCGAACCTCGTCACCATCTCCGGCCTCGAAACATTCGTCAGGAAACTCATCGCGGATATCCCATCCGCGTCCGGGCAGCATATAGAATGCACCACCCGCCCCCTCCGCGCAGGCGTGAAGTTCTGCTCATACAACGCCCCCCCCCCCTCCGTCGTCCCCGGCGTTCCTGGCGTGCCGCCGGAGAAATCATACGGCGATTGGCTGTCTTACACTGCGACGAGGGAGCGCGGGACCAACAAAGCCACCTTCCGCGTCTCAGGCACCAACACCCGCTCCTGCGCCATCCGCTTCGCTCGCCCCATCAAAGCCGTAAAAGTCACCGGCGCAGGGACAGATACCCGTTTCGACGCCGTACCCCAGGAGGTAGGCAGCGGAGAAGTGAAACTCTGGCAGAGGGAGTGGGAGGGGGAGTGGGAGGTTGAGGTTGAGTGGGGTGTTAGTGAGGGGAAGAAGGTGGGGGAGGAGGGGATGGAGGGGAGGGTTGTGTGTTTGTGGGCTGATTTTAATGAGAGGGGAGTGATACCGGCGCTGGATGAGGTGGTGGCGTTTGTGCCGGGGTGGGTGGGGGTTAGTAAGATGAGTGATGGGTTGGTGGAGGGAAGTAAGGCTTTTAATGTGTAGGTTTGGGGTTGGTGGGTGTGGGGGGTGTCGGGGGTGTGGGGGTGTGGGGGTGTGGGGGGTGTGGGGGGTGTTTAAGTGAGTAGATACCGAGATTTCCGTGAGAATTCCGAGATGTAATGTCTGTGGTAATAATTTATTATTGTTTTTGATACGTCTCTTGACCTACCCGTTTTATGCTGACCCCATTATTAACCTGCAAATGCAATATACCATGTCAATTACTATATACACATCTCCGTATTGTCCGTATTATCACCCCTCCTCGTCCCCCAGACACCCGTAAAAGTGCCCTAATAAATCCCTGGAATAATCCTCCACGGCACAATCTTCTTATACTCCTCCCAATCCTTCCCATACTTCCTCTTACACTTCGTCTCATCTCTCCTCTCGCGATGAATCAACAGAATCGCAAAGTAAATAACGTAAAAATACGAAATCACCATTCCCCACCCCCTCGCACCCCCCTGCACCACCCTATCCTCCCCGCGCGAGAATCCCGTCTCGCCATCCAACAGCGCCGGGCCCTGCTGCACAAGGTACCCCGCTATCCCGGTAGGCAGACAGAACGCCCACGACATGATCCAGTCGCCAAGGTAGTTGATGTGGCGCGCCGTCCCCCACCATCCGGAGATGATGAGTTTTGACCCCGAGGCCGTCTCCATGTACTTGAGATGCGCGATGCGCGGGTCAGACGGATCGGTGCGGAAGCGGTTCTTTTGGTTGTTGGCGCTCCGGAATATGTAGTACCCCAGACTGAGGATGGCGAGGACGCCGGCGTTGCCGGAGAGGCCGAGGGTGAGGGGGTAGACGGCGAGGTAGCGCGCTTGCAGACTGTAGATGAAGGGGACCCAAGCGAGGTCACCGAAGGAGAGCATGAACCCGAAGCCGTCGGTGGTGATGTCCATGGTGGTCAGCATGGAGGGTTCCATGTAGAAGGAGTCGAAGACGTAGAGGGCCTGGAAGAGGGTGACGAGGATGATGGAGTCGGTGACGTGGCCGTATGTCTTGTATTGGTGCGCGATGAAGGCGACATCGAGGAGGATCCAGCCAAAGAGACCTGGGCGCAGCTCGCAGAAGACTTTGATGTCGATCTCGCCGAAGATGGGGAGGGTGACGCGCGGGTTGAGTTCGCGGCCGATGAACCAGTCGTAGAGCATGTTGCCGGAGTGGCCACCGGCGGCGAGCTCGCGCATGTCTTTGTTGCCGGGCTTGACGCTGAAGCTGCGGATGTAGACGAATGTTGCGAGGGTGAAGGCGATGAGCATGTTGGCGGTGACGATCTGGGTGTAGTTGTCCCAGATGTAGGTCCAGACTGGGAAGTCGGCGCCCTGCGCGATAGTACCGGCGAGGAGGAGAACGACGGTAAAGATGGAGGAGGAAAGAGCTGGAGTGAGTTAGCAATGATGGGTGGTTACAGGGTTATGTCAGGAATATACTCACTATTGAACTTATACTTCAAGCGTCCTCCAATAGCCAGTTCAGTTCCTTCAACGATTTGTCCCGGAAGGAATCTGTGCAGCACCAAACTCAGGAAATAGTATGCCAACACCCAGCCAGTAGCCTCGAAGCTCACAATGCCATTCCATCCTGGCCATCCAGTCTCAGTCTTGATCTTGTCCCATGTCAACGTCTTGGGGTCCAGCACCGAGGGGATCGGGCATCCGTAAATGTCGTTGCAGACGAAATTGGTGATGTAGACGACGATCGGAAGGAGGAACGAGATGGCGAATGCACCGGGCCTAATCGAATCAGTCATGCGACGCGGCTGAAGTTGGAGAGGAGTCAGCTACTTACGGTCCAGCGAACTCATATCCATGTTTCTGTTGCGCCTTCACGGCGGGGGCTTTAGATTTCGAACCGGCCATTGTTGCAGCTTGTAGTCGCAGATTGTGGTTCAACCCAGGTATATGAGCCTCCTTATATAAACATAAGTAAAAGAAGTGAAAGCGAGAGTATCTGCAAGTCGTCCGATCTAAAAGAAGGTTTTTGAGATAGCTTCGCCCCCGGATACAAGTGTTTCCGCTGTGTTTCGGATTCACTCAAGTGTGCTCCTTCGGACCCGTTTGAATCGTTCCCATTCTGCCATGCTGGACTTGGCCATTTTGGCGAGAAATGGGAGAGCTGCGGAAACCGGAGTTCAGCTATGACCCGACAAGGGAAATTACTAGTAAATTGTATGTAATTCTCCCCATCCGGCCATACCCCCCACGGCGTTCCTTTGTAATCCCCCACGTGACGTAGAGCCGCCCTTTGTTCCCTCTGTAGAATACTGGCCTTTAATTAATTTTTTACTCCAGTAAAGTGGTTCAGTGCTTCGAACAGGGCGAGCGAAGTAGTAACTTCTGTACGCTCCTAATTTGGGTGCGTACAGAAGTCACTTCTGTCGCAATATTTTAAAAAATTGCCAGGTAGATGTGTTTGCTACTGTAGGTAGCTTAGTTACCCGTCAAACACCTACCGGCAATTTTTGAATATTGCGACAGAAGTGACTTCTGTACGCACCCAAATTAGGAGCGTACAGAAGTACTACATGGAAAATCAAAATCGTCAATTAGGGGGCGTCAACCCGAAGAGTGTAGCAGTCGCAAAATGCACCTTCCTTACTGTAAAATTCCAAAGGTACTTAAATTTGTATGTAAATTGTATATAAAATGAGGTACCTAAAAAAAATCGAAAAAATTAATCTTCCATTTGAAGCGCATTACCCAACTGCCTGCATCCTACTAGATCTGCCTCAATTTTATAGAATCTAGACCTAATTAAGTCTAGATTCTCCTTTAGCTCAAGCTTCTGATTGGCTAGAGCATGCTCCTCTGTAGTCCAAATCACGTGACTCAATTACGAGTACGAAAGGCTTGTACCTGGTGCTAAACCGGATCAGGAATGCGGGGAGATGTTGGAATCTATTAACTGTCCCGAACGAAGCCGTCGCATTCACCTCTACCGTCGTATTCATCATCGCCAACGACTGCATGTTCATCAACTTAACTCTTTTTCACGAAATCAATTCTATCATACGAACGACCTTTCTTCCCCTTTGCGCCAAGGCGCTTTACTAGAGGCCTGTCCCGCGCCCGATCGACGAACGGCACCATGCTTCCTCCCTCCCTCACCAGCATCCTGCTTGCCGTGCTGGCGCTCCGAGCACCATTTGCTCAAGCCGCATCTGACGAGAAGAAGCCCGATGTAATCCCCTGCACCGCGAAATCGCCAAACACGAACGGGTTCTACGACCTGCGCCCCCTAGCGGTGCAGCTGCACGACCCGAAGAAGAAGCTGGGGAAGCAGAAGACGGATAGTTGGCAGAGCCGGGGTCACGATTATAAGGGGAATTTCTCGATCAATATCTGTGCGCCGGTCGTGGAGGAGATTGAGGATGTGGTGGGGGTGGAGGAGGCGAGGTGGAGGAATGTTAGTGCGTTTTATGAGGCGGATGGGAAGGTGTTTTCTATTGGGTATGTTTGGGGTTGGGAGATGGGGATGGGAGGGGTGTGCTAATGATGGATAGAGAACAATCTTCGGGTATTATGTTTAGGGGACGTAAGTTGGTGCTTCAATACACCGGCGGCTCGCCGTGCGGATCCGCCGTGGAATCTCGATCCGAAGAGCTCGAGGAGCTCGATGACGACGGATATCCTGCGCGGACACTCAACGGCAAAGTAGTCGGCTCCAACTACTCCTCCGACAAAGACGAAGACAAGCCCCAAAAACCCAAGAAACCCCTCTCCACCAAACGCCGCAAATCCACCCTCATCTCCTTTTACTGCGAAAAAGACCCCCTCAAATCCGGCGCCGTCGTCTCCTTCATCGGCACCGACCCGGACGAATGCGCCTACTTCTTCGAGATGCGCTCCGAAGCCGCCTGTCCCGGTCTCGGGCCCGTGCAAGCCGGATTAGGGCCCGCGGGGGTGTTTGGGATCATCGCTATCATCGCGGTGCTGGTGTATTTTATTGGGGGTGTGATGTATAACCGCAGTGTGGAGCACTCGAGGGGGTGGAAGCAGTTGCCTAATTATGCTATGTGGGCGGGGATTGGGGGGTTCTTTATGGTTCGTCCACGCTATTTTGGGGGGAAGGGGAGGGTTTAGGGGGAGAGAAGCTGACTGTGTGGTAGGATTTCTTTACGATTTTGACGAGTAGTTGTGCGAGGTGTTTGCCAGGCAGGAGGGGGTATAATTCTCTGCCTGGGTTGGGGAATGGGAGTGTAGCGCGCGGAATGGGGAGGCCGGATGATGAGAATAGACTCATTGACCAGCTGGATGAGGAGTGGGATGACTAGAGGAGGGGGCGGGGTGGGCATGTACAGTATGGACAGTACGATCGCGGGCCGGTTGAAGTCACGGGGGATATGTTTTGATATGTTCTGAATATCTTGGCGTTGAATGATGGGGGGGGGGATGTGAGGGGGTGCTCATAAGCTGTCTTGTCTATTGCGGGGCATGCATGGGACATCTTCTTTTATCTATTTCCCCATGGATCTTTCTCATGTGGGGATGTATATATATCAAGACCTTTCTTTTCGAGCGATTAACCCTTCTTTTAGGAGTCGAGTCAATATCTCCGAGTCAAGATGCCCGACACAGTTTACGTGCCAGTGGCCGAGCAGTGTGCTTTAGTTCTCCAGCATGTTATGTTATGTTAGATTTTTAGATACCACATCACGGCCCGGCTGGCTGGGCTGGAATCCGTTTATTTGTCGAAAGCAGAAGCACATCCAGCACATTCAAATCGTGCCATCATACATACCAATGCCGCCACTGGTCGCGACTGAACGCGTCCAGACCTATTCCTACCCAACCAAGGGATGGGCTAGCAAGATTTCCAGTGCGTGGACAGGATTTGCATGCATGGCGGTGAGCTTATCTGGCGGCGTTGGTGCCTCGAAGCGGGAGGACGGAGGTAGGTTCTCGAAGGAGGATGGTTCATGTGAAGGCGAGGTTGGAGGAGGGATGGGATGTAGTGTAGCGCGTGGGTTTGAATGTGGTAACTTGTGGGATTGACTTGGAGTAGCTTGGGGATGCTAACTGTGTTGGTTACATCGCCACCAATATTTTTGTGGTGGGGGATGTGTGAACGGCCGGACTGTCGTCATCGTTTACTGTCGCCGTCGATAGTTTGTGAGGTGGTTGGTACCTTGAATCATCGGTGTACCCGGCAACCAACGAGATGTTGTACTCGCAGTGTACTCTGTTGTTTTCTGTTGTTCCCTGTTGTTCTCTGCATTGTGAGATTGTACTCTTCTGTACTCGGTCTTTGAGGCCTGAGAAGGTCACGGGGAGCATACAGAGGCAGAGGTAGGTAGGTTGTCGTCGATAATCATCCATACTGCAAGCACTAGGGTGTGCCCTACAACTGTACAGCCAGTCAGTCAGTCAGTCAGAACTAAAAGCTGCATATCAAATCTTAAAACTCTCACTCATACCGTTGCCACGTCGTCTTCTCTCCCTGTAATAGAGCAATTTAGATTTGCTGTAACGCTGCTCCATTTTGTAGCAGCCCTATATTTCTTTAGCTATTTCCTTCAACAACTAATGCCCTAGAGAATAACCACTAATTGCTAGGTTCTTAATCCACTTCAGAAGTATCGTCTCTTGTGCGTCTAACAAACTCTGCTATTGCTAACGGGCTTAAGAGCGTGTCAAACCTCCGTCAGTTAACGTGTCATAGAGCTCTTAGGTAACCCCAGCACTTTCTTAGCGTGATATGGGCTCTTGTACTTTCAGATTGGACGTCTAATACTGCTTAGGCTATTAAAGTTTCATGTTCAGCAATACCTAGGCATTCACGATATCCATTGTTAAGTTATTTACAATTTACTAAAGTTGGTAGGGTAAATCCACTACGTTACACTGTCACTTACGTTAGTAACAATTAGACTTTAAAGACTCCTTAAACTATAAGATAGCTTAACTTTTAAACAGAGCACGTTAAGAAACATATCATACGACATTGGAATAGCTCTCCTACCTTAATTAATGATGTACTACGCTAGCTTGCTAAAGGAGCCTAGGTTATAATGCATTCTGCTATTCTACTCAAGGCAGAAGTTAAGGCTCTACAAGTAGTAAATGTACAGAAAAAGAGGTGGGAAAGGAGGCGTAAGAGGCGTATATAATGTAAGGGTACCCCCTTACATTATACGCCTCTCCCTCTCTGTACGAGAGGGAGAGGATATCCCTTGGAGTGCTAAGGTTAAAGTAAGAGTAGTCGGCGGGTAGGGTCCAAGGGCCGACAGAAGCATTATGTCATTTGTAATAGTAGTAATAGTCGGATTTTGATGTTTTCGTGATCGTGATCCCTTCGTTTGGGAAATACGTTGGCCCATAAGGGGGCATATTTTGGTTACCTGCCCTCGACTTTACTATACCATTTCTACCCAATACTGGCAATAACAGTACTTATCTAATACATTGTACCCCGACTACTTTCTTTACTAGATACATACTGGAAATCGACGTGGCGCGCTCCCGATTCGTCTCCATGAGAAAACCAGTTACTACCAGTGTGTTTCTACGCTACACAGCGCCACCTGCCAGGTTCCTGGTGGCCGTCTCCAGTGGCCGTCTCCGGACATCAACCAACCACCGTCCGGCGACGACTGCTAGCAGTGCCATATATCCGCGTTCGACAGAGACAACTCGCTGCCAACAGCTGAAACCCACAGCTACAACAATTCTTGTATACTCATATTCGCTTTCTACTTCCAATGACGAACCGCCTTTTGCATGCCACCGTGATACCTCACGCGATCTTCAATCTGCACCCTACTGCGCTGGCATATCTGGCAATCCCTGGGGAAATTACATCGGGAGTCCCACATAGAGACAACTCAGGTACCACTTAAGGTTGGTGATAGCTTCACAGGCCAAAAAAACCTATGATGTAAGCTCCTCTGTGTGATGTGACAACATGAGAGAAGCAAGCAAGCGACACTTAGTCTCCTCATGCACAATTGCTCTTTCTATCCTTCAATCTTCTTGAAGAGAACAACAACAGACCCTTCCTTCATCCTTCTTTTCCTGTTACTTACCCGGCTTCCTTTCAAAGTCAACAGACCCTTCCTTCATCCTTCTTTTCCTGTTACTTACCCGGCTTTCCTTTCAAAGTCAATCGTTCAATCTTTTTTCTTTGCTCCTGCGTATTGCATGGCCCGCCCTGTGCTTTGATTCGCATCCTGTAAGACATATCAATCGCTCGCGGCCATCAGCGTGTGCTACACCGCAGCCATCCACCGCCCGCATTCATTCCAACCTCCCCTCCCCACCCCTCCCCCATGACACTACCCCTCCCCCGGAAGGTCGGGGTTCCTCTCGCAGAAGCACCCCTAATTACGTCGCCGCCTGATGGTGATCATGAGTCGGCGGGGAGGACAAAACCTCAGCTCGCCCTGGGTAGCCCCGTCTCTTCTTCTGCCCGCCCGCAGTTATATTCGGCTTCAAGCCCACGCTCCGCAAACCGCCCCGGGCTTCCTATTTACAGCCGCTTCACGAGCAGGCCTTCTCGCTGGAAATCAAGACGCGCAGCTATGAGAGTGAGGATTTCTGGGCCGGGCCCGAAGGGGAACATGGAGAGGCTCGAGGCTACCGTCAAGGAGGTGACCAACTGGGATGGATTAAGCATGGTTCGTCCACTGCTCTTTTTTTTTGGTTGCAATTGAGCGTGGAATGGGAAGGGAGACGGAGACACGCGGTTGATAAGCTCAATATTCTAACATAACACAGGATCCCGAGATGTGGTACCCGGACGGAAACTGCCTCGTCCATCTGTATGCCCGTGACCCCACGGCGTCGTCGATGTGGGGTCCGGCATTCCTCATTCCGCTCGAGTTTCTAGTCGGCTTAGACTGCATTCCTTTGCTGGAACGCTTTTTGGCTGGCCGCACGGGTTCTTACCTCCCGTCGTCGAACAGACAGTTTGTCAAGGGGCGCCCAAGCAAGGAATATACATCGGCGAGATATGATTTATACATTCCGCCGCCGCCGACGGTGGAGGGAGAACAGAAATTGCTGTGCCGTACTGCTACACGGAACTTCTTCGCGTGGATATGCGGGAAGCCTCTTGTTGGAGAGAGTCTGGGACAGGCATTGGTGGGGCTACTCAATAGCATGAGTGAGTACCGAGGGCTGAACGTGGATAATGTGGAGGATATCCTCGATTACATGGAGGAGGGAGGGTATGCAGACTTCGGCGGCCGCCCAGTCCATACCCTCGCCACCCTCCATTTCGCAGAGCACTTCCAATTCGAGCATCTCTACATCGACGCCTTCGCCCATGCGGTGGGGATGCACGATGAGATCATCCAGAGCCCAGAATACAAGGTTCGTAGCACATACAGTCATAACCAAATCAGACAAACACATACTAACACCACCCAGTCCATCTCCGACACCACCCGCTCCATCCTTACCCACGCCCACACCGAGCTCCTCTCCCGCCTCACCCGCACCAGCGCCAGCCTCTCCACCTTCCTCGCCGACGAGCTCTCCCCCACACACCTCGGCCTCACCGCCGCCTCCCGCACCCACCTCGACCGCTTCCGCTCCTTCCTCACCACCTACTGGATCTCCGCCCTCGGCTCCTACCCACCGCCCTCCCACAGCAGCCCCATCTTCTCCAACCAGGTCCTCCTGCGTCTGCGCACCGAGTTCAAAGACCTCTACGCCTACCTCGTCGACGAGTCCTTCACAGCCGCAGACTGCAGTCCGGCCGCCGCCCAAGGCGGCGTCTGCGTCCTCCAATCCGTCCAAGCATTCGACGCCCGCCTGGGCTACGAAAGTTTCCTGCACCCCCTCCCCCTCCTCCCCACCTCCCCCTCCGACGCCTCGCGCCAGGTGAACTCGCGGACGCACTCCCTCCGCTCCCCCACCCTGGCGCGCACATTCAGCTGGAGCCGGCCGGCGTCCCCGAAGAAGGATTCGAGGCTGCTTGCGCTCTCCATCGTGGCGAAGGCGAGTAATCACCATAAACCGGCGCTGCTGGAGGCGCCGCTGGTGAAGGCGTATAGGGAGTTTGAGACGGAGTGTATACTGTCTACTAAGGAGGATAAACGGACCCGCGTCTCCGCAGCAGCTGCCAGAAAAGTCCGCTGGATTCTCATCTACGCAACCCTTCAAACCCTCCGCTCAGCGACGGATATCCTACCCGCTGTCCGCACACCACTCACTGTGCCGTATCACCTCAGCGCCACTTTACCACGTTTGCCCTGGGCTAACTCACCGCGCACGAGTCTCACGCCATCAAGCACATACACCCTGCACCTCTCCCTCTCCTCCTCCTCTATCCCCTCTTCCCCAACAACCCCACACACCCCGGCCTCGCCAATCGAGCCAGACATCGACCACACCCTCCTAACCCGTCCCGCCTCCTCCTCCCCTCCATCACCCCGCCCTCGCCGCGCCTCCCTTCCCACCCTCGCGCGCTCGCTGAGCTCGGCCGCATCGCTCGGTCGCGCCATCAGCGTTATTGGGAGGAATCCGAGGAGGAGTTCTGCGCCGGCACCGAGTCGGACGCCGTCGACGAGTATGGAAAATAGCTTCACCAGCGCTGCAGAAGAAGATGAAGAGGATGATGAGGAGGATGGGGGGATGGAGATGGGGTGCTGGAAGAAACAAGTCGAGTTGAACCAGATCACTCCCTCTCCCTCCAGACCCTCCCATTCCCACTCCCGCTCCCACTCCTCCCCCTCCTCCTCCTCCTCCGAGAACCCCACCACACCACCCTCACCACTCTCACGCTCCCTCTCCGCCTACGATTTCTCAGACACTACGCCCCCCTCCCCCCTCTCCCAGTCTCACACACCCTACGATTTCTCAGACTACAAAATCTCCACCTCCACCAGCACCTCCAACTCTAGGCCAGAAATGGAAAGACGCTGGAGCGGAAGCACAGCCCACGAGCACGAGCACGAGGATGTAGCACCTGAGTGCACTACCCGCGCCGAACCCCATCGACAGGGTGGGAGAGTGAGGGCGGTTGGGCTGGGTGTTGGGGCGTTGGGGGCGCTATTAGATGGAGTAGTAGAGGAGAGGGTGTTTTTCGAGATTGAGGATTTTCCTGGGAACCATGGTGGTGGGAGGAGGGTGGGGATGGCGATGTGAAGACTAACTGGTGCCGCCATCGTTCGTTGGCGGTGTGTATGAAAAGTGAAGAAATGGGGAGTTCGGAAGAGGAGTTTAGGAAGGGAGTCTGGGAAATGGATAGGATGGGATGGGAGGGAAGAGACACTGTATGCTCATAATAACATAGTTCTTGTATCTACAACGCTGTATCTACACGCACAGAAAATTGAGCCGGATTCCGACAATTGGCCCCGTTAACTTTATGACTAGTCATGCTTACGTAATATTTGACTATTCGAATAGTCATGATTATTATGATTATTTGTGCTAACCGTGAGGGGGTTTATAAATCCAGAATATGACGTCTAGACGTGATACTGTACGATGCTTGTGAAGTCAACAGTGGAGGGCATGTTGAACTTTGCAACGACAACATATACGCACGCAAACGGACAGTACCAATCGTAACACCAAAATATTAATCACTACTCATTACAAAGAGAAAAACCGCTTCTCTAAACCCACGTAACAGAATCCATCCCCATCCCATCCTAAAGAAAGCCACAGTCGAAATAAACGCAGCCTCTTGGTAGAGAAATATGCCCCCAAAACCCAGACGCCGCGCGGGCAGGGAGACAAAAAAAAAGAATAAGGAGAATTCCGAATATGCGAATGCACATCCGGAGTTGTGTTAAGGGAAATGGGGGGTATATCCAGTAAGCTGTACACAGCTGCCACTTTTGTTCCTCTCACCAGGTAACTAGTACACCACCTCGCCGTCTCGGGTCTCCGCTCTCTCACCAATCGGTCGCTCCGTACCTGCATCTGAGACTTCGTCGTCATCCTCGCCCATCTCGGACTCGATAAACCCGATCTGTGGTGTCGGGATCTGACAGGTTCATAGCTTGATGTCCACATCAAGCTATGAACCTGTCAGCCACCGACCTAGAAATCACATCATAGGACTTGGAAGGGGTGAAGTCGACTTACACTCATATACGCGCTCTTCTTCAGAGAAATAAACCTCGCCTGCGAGCTCCCCATCTCCAATCGCCTTCTCCGCCGCCGCCAAACACCTCTTCGTATACGTCAGCCCCGCATCATCCCAGAACCACCCCGTACAAAGCCCCATCACCGCATCCACCAGATTACGCACACCAAACGGATTGAACGCCTCGATGAGCCGTGTATTAACGGAACTCGGCCTCCCCTAGTCCCGCCTCGCCGAGTAGCTCGGGGTATGTGGCGCTGAAGGTCGGAGCGAGGTCGCCGGCGATCATCCAGTCGCGTGGGATGCGGATGATGCGCGTGTTTGCGTAGGCGACGGAGTCGGTGGGGACGTAGGGGTTTAAGTGAGGGAAGCATCCCAGGCGTCGTCGGCGCCGGGGGCGATGGGGCGGTCGGAGCCGTGGATGGAGGTGTGTGTGGAAGTTAAGGAGGCGAGATTGTCGGTGGTGTCGTGGTCGTGGTAGGGGTTTTGGGATTGGGATTGCGAGGGGGGTGGACCGCTTTCGAGATCGGCCATTGTGTAGTTTCTTGTGGTGTGCGCGAGAGGTGGTCCGATGTCCTGCTTTAAACGTCGGTGATAGCTCGACGGGTGTTTGCAACGAGGCAATTAACTGTCCCCGTTTGCGGTAGCCCGTTGATCGTCGCTTAATATATACTCGTCTGTTTCCTTCGATATCTTTTCCCTTTCCCTTATCGCCGTGCTCTACCGTCGCACCTGCCGCAAAATCCTCAGCCACAAGGCTAAAACTGCGCCGTATATCAATCCATGTCACGCTCCTCGGCAGACTAACGCGATTACTCCGTCCGCTCGAATCCCGACTAAACCTCTGCTCCCTCAAACTCAGCAGCGGATAATCACCAGCACCACCCTTATCCTTCCCGCCAATAAACTCAATATCCCCCGCACCCTGAATCTCTCCTTCAATCTCCCCCTTCGTCAGCTGCGGATGCCGCGCGGAATCGCTGGCTGCGCAACACTCGCTCCTGACCGCGCTCTCCCACGCGCCCTTCTCTCCGTTGTAGTGGTCGTCGTCGTCAGCCGACGCATGCGCGGCGTGCTATTACTCGGATTCCACAGCCGCGTAGCCCGCTGCGCTTCGAGCAAGCCGCTGCGTGCGCGGGTCCGGTAGCTGGGGCAGGAGCGCAGGCGCGAAAGCGTTGTAGAGGGACCAGCGACGGCGCGCGGCGCCGGGGGGGGGTCGGGTAGGGCGGCTGGGAGGAGGGCGCGGGGAGGCGCGGGTTTGCGGTCGTTGGTGGTGGGTTAAAGGGGGAGGTCGGCGAGGAGGAGAAGTGGGAGATGGGCCACGAGGCGGGCGGAGGCGCGGGTTCGTCCACGGCTGGGATGGGCGGCGGACACGAGGGTGGTCCGGCGGGCGCGCGGGGTGGGGGGCCGGGGTGGGAAGGGGCCAGTGATGCCGTTGCGAGGGGTGGGTGAGGAGCTGGGTGGGGGAAGAGCGAGAGGGGTTGTTTTGGAGGGGGTTGCGGCGTGGGTGGTGTCGTGGTGGTGGTTTTGAGGGTGTTCGGTTGACGTTGGTTTTTGGAGGTGCTGGGTTGGCGATCGGCAGAATTGGCGAGGCCGGAAAGGGGCGCGCTTGGGTACTGGCGGCGGAGGTGGCATCGAGTTAAGCGCAAAACTCGATTTTTTTCTTGTCTGAGGAAGTGAGCTGTGAGACGAGCAAGGGAGAGCCTATATACCCCTGGAACTGAGCCGGTGACCACCTCCTTACATTTCGCCCAAGGTAAAGCTTTGCTCAAACCCGACGCACGATGCGTCAATCCGCAAATGTGAAATTCCCATATTGAGCCTCCCATGAAAGTGATACCTCGCGGCGCCGGGACCGCGTCACGGTTGGCAGAGCACGGGTGTGACGACAACACAGCGCAATCGAGTCTCAGATCCAACAACGCTCGGATCGCCAACGATGATAATGCAGAAATGTAGTAGGCGACCTTTCCCATCCTCCACGTTCAGCCTCGAACGACTCCGGGTTGCGCGGTGTTTCAAAATTGGGGGATGCATAGCTGCCGGAATCACAAAGTACTGGTCCATGCGACGATGGCGCGTGGATCCGCGTCTCAGGATCCGGGATGCAGAGTCGGCATGATCCGGACAGAGCTACAGAGATGGGATGAAGATGCGTGAGGATGCGAGTGCTTCCGGGAACAGGGGAGGTAGATATGTCTAAGATCATAGGAACGGGTTTTGGGACTTCCATAGAAAGGGGTTCGGAGGGGATCTCCGCACATCACGATAATTCATGCACCTGGATATTACTAACAAGAGCACAATTTACGTCACAGTGCCAGTGTCTTTTGTATTGTCTAGGCTCTCTGTCTTTCTGTCCGTCTCTTTATTTTGTCTGTTTATCTGTATCTGTCTTGTGTCTGTTTTGTCTATAACCCACGCCTCGCGCTATATGCTGTCTGTCTGACTTTCTGTCTTTCTGTGCTCTTATGCTAAGCCACGCAATGCAAGACCGCTATCTTGATACCCCCCTCCCTGAGCCATAATACCAGGCCATCAGGTCTCGAGGGTAGATAGAAAAAAAGGATAAGAAAGAACACAAAAATAAAAGTAAAAACGCCCGCTAACCTGATCACCCATATACTAAATCACCCCGCCAAACGCCTCTTGCTCCCCCTCCCAAAAAAAGACACACCTATCCCCCATCCCCCCCTTCCCAAAATCACCAACAACACCATACCGAGAACACACAACTCAACACACCGAGAACAAAACACAGCACGTCTTAAGAACACGCCACCCTCCACCCCCCCCTCTCAACCTTATCCCTCCTAACCCACGCATCCACCTCCACACGTCCCACCTCCTGCGGCGCCAACTGTGGTCCCGATTCCAAAGCGTCGATACCGTCAACACCACCCCCAAAATCCATAATCAACACCCTCGGAATCTGCCCCGTACTAACAATCCTCCTATAATCCCCCCTCGCCCCTAGGACCCAACTCGCATGCCACTTCTGGAAATCCAGCAGCAGCCCCCCCGTCGCGAGATCAAATACCTTGATACCGTGGTCGTAGCTCCCGCTTATCAGACGGCCGGAGACGGAGTCGATGTGTAGGGATCGCACGAGGAGTTCATGCGCGTCGATGGTCCGGACACAGTCGCCGGTATGGGCGTCCCAGATGCGGATGACCTGGTCATTACCAGCTGAAGCGATGAGCCTCCCATCATCACTAAGCTGGGAACACGCCAACCCCTTCGTATGACCCGCAAACTCGCGAATACAGCGTCCAGTCTCAATATTCCACAGCCTAACGCTGAAATCGCCACTACAGCTCACCACCACATTATCGCGCAACTGCACCGCATTAACCGGTCCCGTGTGTCCGTGCAGATGCCGATGCAGAGCCCCGGTGTCGCGGTGGAACACGGCGATGGTGCAGTCCTTGGAGCAGGTGACGATGTATTTATCATCGAACGCCAAGTTCAGTACCGCGGCAGTGTGGTGCTGCAGGCGGCGGATGGGGCGGTAGGAGTCAGCGATGGAGTGGATGATGCAAGTCCCGTCCGAGGAGCCGGTGATGAGGGTGAAGGCGTCGTATTGGAGGCAGAGGATTGAGGCATCGTGGTGGGTGGCGTAGGAGAGGGTGGGGGGGGTGCTGTGGCCGGTTATGTCGGGTTCGAGGCTTTGCACGCCGGTGGAGGGTTGGGGGACGGAGACTTCGGCGTAGTGGGTTGGGGTGCCGGTGGCGGTGGTGAGGAGGGTGGGGGAGGAGATGAGGGAGGGGGGGCCGACGACGAGGAGGCATTTGTAGGTGTGGATGTCCCAGACGCGGAAGGTTTTGTCGCGGGAGCCGGTGATGATTTTGTGTCTGCGGATTCGTTAGATTGTGGGCAAATGTATGAGTGTAGGGAAAACTTACTCGTCGAACTGGACGCAGTAGATGCTGTCCATGTGCCCGTGGAGGTAGACAGCTAAGGCCTCGCCCTCGCGCCAGTTTCGTTCCAGCTGCTGTCGCGCCTTGTACACCTGCTTCCATTCCTTATCTGGCAGTGTCGGCGGGAGTCCAAGGCCAGTGCCAGGTTTCACTGGATGGCCCATAGCAAACGTAGTCGATTTGTCGCGATAGAATGACTCCTTCCACACATAGTTGGTATTAGCCACCTGATACCATCTCTTCGACACCTCCGACGCCTGAGCCAGTACCCTATGATCCAGCATCGAAAGAATGTGCACCGCCAGCTCCTCAGGCAGACTGCTCACGAAATCAACCCGCACAATAGCATCTTCCTTCTCATCGCGCTGCGCCAAACTATACTGCGGCAGCGCCAGCTCAACCGCACTCTCATAATCCAAATACACCTCCTTCTCAATCTGCCTGCGTCTCAGCATCTCATTCTGCGCCGCCGCCGTCGCCCTAGCCGCCTCCCCCCCGCCCCTCCTCGGTATAATAGGCGGCGCATTCCCCTTCCCAGGAATAGGCTCATCGACATCATCAAACGCCCGCAGCGCCTCATGATGTCCCCTATACCCATACCCCACCGTCTCCGCCCTCGTATGCCTAAAGCTCGCCGCACTCTTCAGCTTATGCCACGCCGCGCCCGCGGAGGTCGTGGGGCGCGCGCCTGCGGGATCGAACGGCATGTCGGCGTGCGAGTGTGAGGCGCGACGCGGCTTCGCGTGGTTGAGAAGTGAGACGGAGGCGCGGCGGATGAGGCCACGTATGCGGGTTTCTGGCTTTGGGAGTTTGGGGGTTGCGGTTGACGCGGCGACGGTGGTGGAGGAGGAAGAGGACTTGCCCTTGTCCTCTCTCTCGATAAAGGTGTCTTGGGAGGAGGAGCCGAGGTGCATGGAGCGGCGGAAGAGGTCGGCTACATCGTCTCCGATGCCGAGGGGGAGGGAGCGCAGGCGTTGGCGGCGGATGGCGGGTGGGTATGCATGAGGGCACGCGCTGGTACCCGAGTCGGTATGGGAGGGGATGTAGAAGGATGCTGTGGTCTGGTCGACGTCATCGACGTAGAGGGTGGATTGCGACTTCTCCATTGTTGGTGATGTCGCGCGGAGGGAATCCACAGGGGGTGGGTCGTGGGGAGGAACGGAGGAGGAAGGTGCGACGCGGTCGACGCTCTCGCGAAGATTCTCCAGGGCGCAAGTTCGAAAGTCGCCGTCGCAGATTAGGGGATCGAGGCTCTGCTTTCTTCTTTGACGAAATATGGGGAAGATGGGCCCTCGCTGGCCAGTGCTGGCTTTAAGGACAGTCGTCTATTTGGAGTAGTTGTGGATAACAGATAGAAGCGACAGATAACAAAGTAGGTAGAGCCTAAGAATCACAGTGTAAATAAACACTGGGCATCAAAAGTTTGCCACGGAGTGATATTATCATGTAGAGGATAGATACGACTTCAGAAGTAGGGGCGGTCAGAAATGGGAATTGTTTATACAAGTATTTCTCTCATGGCGAGAGACTAAAAAATTAAATTTCCAAGGATTTTCGTAGTTTTTTCGCAGGTGATTCGCCTGGTTGGCTCGGGAATTAAATCTGATGATTGGCAGTTTCGTTTCAATCTAGGGAGATGTCACGAACCGAATCACGTGCGGGCAATACTCACGTGCCCTTCAGTGCCAAGACGGAGGCATGTCGGTCCGGACAGGACACGTAGAACTATATAGTAGGAACGCGGACCTTCGGAGGGAGGTCAGCGTTCAGTCTTCGTATCAATAGACCAGGATTCTACGTATATTCCTTCCCGTGACTTCCCACTGCCCTACTCGCCAAGAAGTCCTTTACAGGAGATGCCGACGAGGCTGGTGGCGGGCGACATAGATTGGTTCACAGGGGGGTATTCGCAGGACACAGTTGGAAGATGTATCAAATCTCACATATCATTTACATCGATAGTGAGGAAATCTTTTGAAATATCTGGATCTCAGGTCCAGGTACAGTACCAGAATTCGTAGATGGGTTGGTCACGTCATCTGGAGTACATGCATCATAAGACGTTACGGAGAAAATTGATTATAATCATAATTATAACCCTATACCTTATTAGGCTTCGTTATTAGAAAAGCTGAAATGTTTCTAGAGAACTATAGAAAATTACTATTTAAATTCATGAATTTGAATATTCAAAGCTTACGTAATTCTTGAATATCTAAATATTCTTGAATATGTTAACTAATTTTGCTAACCCTAATGCCATTTAAATAAGCTACTACTACACATGACATATCTCTATCAACTAGAGGCCTAATGAACAATAGCTCCAAAAGCTTCTACAACCCTCTATGATTCATTACATGCCATCGCTCCTTAGTTACCCACAAGATTGGTTAAGTTATGACATAATTTGTCTATGTGGGTACTCTGACCTGTCATACTGACATTCGTTGCACTCAGTTTGCTATCAAACTCAAGAGCAAACTTAGAAATCTCCTCCTCAAACCTACAAGTCACCATACATATCTTGGCTTATCACACCAACAACAGAAGCAATACTACTCAACGATTGCTGCAAACTCTTCTACTACATCTGTTTATGCTACATACATCACGGCATATCATTTGGACACTCATTGAACAAGTTATTAAGAAAATCTCCTCCTTAAGGGGGTGGGCCAATACTACCACATGGCATATCTCTACCAACTAGAGGCCTAGGAACATGAACGATAGCTCTAGAAGCTTCTACAACCCTCTATGATTCATTACACGTCATCGCTCCTTAGTTACCCACAAGATTGGTTAAGTTATGACATAATTTATCTATAGGTACTCTGACCTTGGACCTCCTTTTCACTTCCTATAGGCTAGGAACCCAAGAGATGGTTCTATGGAATTCTCTTACGTTCACTACATGATTAGCAAGCTAGTTGTGGGTTGCACTTGATTTCTAATACATTTACCAAGCCTGGTTAGTCATGGAAAGTCATGGAAAATGAGAGAACTACACTCCTTTGGCATAAATAGGATTGCCCTTTCCTTAAGAAAGGGCAAGCAGGCAATACAGTAAATCGACTAGCACATACTTCTACGTCTTTTCCAAGCTTCCAAGCATTGATCTTGTTATTCTCTGTTTTTGAAAAGTCAGTGAGGTGCTAACCTCTGACTTACCCCTGAGTTCTCAGACTCAACATTTGTTGCAACTTGTCTAAACCACTTCACCACATCATACACCTGATTGCTGCGTTGTGGAATAGTCTAAGCTACAACCCTTTGGCTCTGTTTCCTAAGACAGTGTGTTGTCTTAGTAAATTCATCCCTTCCTTGGGTGGCTAGATTCTCATATCTGGTGCACCCAACATTACAGGATTGCCCTTTCCTTAAGAAAGGGCAAGCAGGCAATACAGTAAATCGACTATCACATACTTCCACGTCTTTTACAAGCTTCCAAGCATTGATCTTGTTACTCCTTGTTTCTGAAAAGTCAGTGAGGTGTTAACCTCTGACTTACCCCTGAGTTCCCAGACTCAACATTTGTTGCAACTTGTCTGAACCACTTCACTACATCACACACCTGATTGCTGCGTTGTGGAATAGTCTAAGCTACAACCCTTTGGCTCTGTTTCCTAAGACAGTGTGTTGTCTTAGTAAAATCATCCCTTCCTTGGGTGGCTAGATTCTCACATCTGGTGCACCCACCATTACAAACTTGTCTAAACCACTCCACTACATCATACACCTGATTGCTGCATTGTGGAATAGTCTAAGCTACACCCTTTGGCTCTTTTTCCTAAGACAGTGTGTTGTCTTAGTAAAATCATCCCTTCCTTGGGTGGCTAGATTCTCACATCTGGTGCACCCACCATTACAACAAGCCAAAATAGTGACTTGTAGGTTTGAGGAGGAGATTTCTAAGTTTGCTCTTGAGTTTGATAGCAAGCTGAGTGCAACAAATGTCAGTATGACACTATCTCAACCCAGTAACCGTGAGTAGGCAACAGTTATACAGGGTATAGGGACGCAGAAAGCAATCCTACCATTTATCATCCTCGCAGGCCAATACCATCTTGCACATTAGTATACAGAGTGCAACCTCCTAAGTGAGTGCTGCACCCCCCCGGTTCTGCTTATTGCTTTTACGCCAGGAGGGTAAAAGCAATAAGCAGAACCGGGGGGGTGCTCCGCTTATTGTCGATTATCAATATCCAACAGGTTGCATATTGCGTGCGTGGAGTAGTCGATTAGCCATATCTTGCACTATACACACCCTAGGTGGAAAAGATCGCGCATCTAGCTCAAGGACTCTCTTCACAATGGCCTCCTCTTCTAGGACTGTAAGCTTCTGTGATTTAGGTTTGTGTCGCGTCGTGCAGTCCGTCGGTCGCGTCGCTGAGTTAACGTCTTACGGTCCACGTTATATACATGTGCTATTGACCTAACGCTTGCATTTGGGTTGCTTTTAAGGGCTTCGATAGCAAGAATGACCCTTGCTTCATATGAAGGTGAAGACATGTTCCGTTGTTGAGTAATTAGGCGTACACTGAAAGAAGGCCTCATCTCGTCGGGAAGTGGCGCGCTCACTTGGGTGGCGCGCTCGCTTGTGAAGTACGTTGCGCTTTGTAAATAATCATGATTATGATTACGACCTAATAATCATGATTATAATTGATTTTCTAACCCTGCTGTAAGGCTTACACCGTCCCTCATCGTCCACATCGTCTCAATTGAGCAAACTATCACGGTAAGATCAATCCCATCTACCTACTACACCCGCACACCCGAAGACTAACCTCAACACAGATCCTCACACCACCACCACACTACCACCACGATGCCACCCAAACCCACCACCCCCACCTCCTTCCGCCTCCCCCTCCTCTACACAACCTTCTTCCTAACAATCGAGCCCCTCTCCACCCTCCTCGGCGCCTACTTCGCCTACTTCCAACCCCACCACTACCTCACCCTCACCACCCCCTCCGTCCCCCCTCCTGCTCTCCTCCCCCCCTCCACCGCAATCGTCCTCCAACAGCTAGCAAACCTCTACCTCCTCCTCTCCCTCACCGAAGCGACGCTCCTGCGCACCACGAACGACCTCGCCGTGTGGCGCGTCTTCCTATTTGGCTTGTTGGTAGCGGATGTAGGGCATGTGTGGAGTGTGAGGGAGGCGGTGGGGTGGGAGGGGTATTGGAATGTGGCGCGGTGGAATGCGATGGATTGGGGGAATTTGGGGTTTGTGTATGTGGCGGCTGCTTTGAGGGTGGCGTTTTTGATGGGGGTGGGGTTGCCGGGGAAGGTTGGGGGGAAGGTTGGGGAGAAGGTTGGGGGGAAGGTTGGGGGGAAGGTGAAGAAGTGAGGAAGGAGATAGATTTGCGCAAAACCCATTCCCTTGTTAATGAATATGCGCAAAAGCACCCGAATCGCCTCGGGCGATTGTGCCAGATTTGCGCAGAATCAACTCCTTGTTTGACGAATATGCGCAAAACCTGGAACTTGAGAGACGTGCTCGTTGACTAGCAAATCCTATAACGCACCACTCGGCGCCCCCTTCCACCCCAAAATGTCCCCCGCAAACGCCGAAAACGGAATCCCAATCCTCTCCAACACCTCCTTCAACTTCCCTCCATCTTCCCTTAGCGCCTTCCACTCTAACTCATCCTTAACCAGCAGCGTACCCCCCAGCACCGTGCCATTCAGCGCCACCACACCCGTTTCCTTCGGATCCTCTAGCCCAGTAGGGAACGCCATGCCCTCCGCCCTCCGCGGCAAAATCACCATCGACGAATCCGTGAAGGCGAGGTTATAACTCATCTCCCCCCCCCCCTCCTTCCCTGCCCTCTTCTCAAAAGTATCCATCGCATACCTCGCCATCTTATGCAAGGCCAAATACGTCTCGTGCAACTTCTCCGGCGAGGGGCTTCCCTTTATCGGCGCAGCAAAATACGTAAACGGGATCTTCGCTTGCGCCTCCCCTAATCTATCGGCGAGTAACTCCCACTCCCCCTCTCCCAACCCCTTCCTCATCGAATCCACAGGCAAAAACTGAACATGTCGATGCGGCTGGCTAGCCCCCGAGTGAGGTCCGCTATTGAAAAACCCGAAGAGCCGCTGCCCTGCAGAGCGATAGGCAGAGAGGAGGGCGTAGACGGCTTCTAGATCGTCAGCGGCGAGGGGGTCGGTTTGGGAGGCGAAGGTCGAAGTGGCGAGGATGGTGTGGTTGGGGGTTAGGGCGAACTTGTTGAGGACGAGGTGGTGGGAGGGGCCGATGGGGGTGATGAAGAGGGGGGCGGGGGGGTTGAGGAAGGGGTTGAAGGGGGTGGAGGAGGAGGTGGTGGGGCTGTTGGATTTGGGTTTGGATTTTAGTGTTGGGCAGTAGCGGAGTTGGAACTGGGGGGGTAAAGGTTAGCTGGGGTCTTTGTTTTTTTGGGGGAAGGAACGATGGGGGATATGGGAAGGAGCAAAGGGGAGGGTTGGAGGAAGGAACGAAGGGGAGATACCGGAAAGAATGAGAGATGGCCATAGGAAGGAGCGAGGGAGAATGTAGGAAGGAATAAAAGGAAGGAACGAACGAGGGAGAATATATTTGTAAGCACGAGGGGAATATAGGAAGGAACGAGGGTAATATGAAGGAAGGAACGAGGGACAATATAGGAAGGGGCAAGAAACAATATGAGGGAAAGAACGATGGAGGTTATATAGGAAAGAACGAGACACGAGGGATAGTTACAGGAATGCCATTCACATCCAACACTGCCGCTGTGCTGTCGAAGGCGAGAAGGTCGCCCGATTCCTTGGCTTCTTGGAACCTGGCTGCGACAATAATGGGTAACCCATCTGGAATTTTAATGGAGCTCATAATGGCTTAAAAGTATGAATTTAAAGGATTGAGTTGGAGTTATTATGTCGTTGAAGTAAGTCAAAGCTGGGCATTACATGAGTTTGATGTTGGAGCCCCGCGTACGTCACTTTGATGGAGGCCCTTAAACCTGCAAGGCTGAAAAATAGCCTTACGTTGAGCCAACCAGGTACTGGATGACCGCGACGCGACGACGCGACAGATGGGGCCGAGGCATCCACAAATTCTCCGACGGTGGGATAATTTGGTAAATACTCATCAAGGTAACTCTGAATGAGCTTTGAATCAGCGGCACTATTCAACAAGGCATGTTGATTTAGGTAGGACTACATCTCTTTCCATTGCGCATTTATTCTTGCTTCCTCTTTGCAACCCTCCAATCGAAACTATCTCTCGGCCCAGACATCTCTCGATGGCGCCAGCACCTGTCCCCAAGGCCCTTGAAGGCTTCAGGTCTCTTGGTCCAAATTCATACATCTACGAAGCTCCAAAATCTGGGGACCCTTTGAGGGACCAAGTGTCACCTCCTCACCCCGATGTGATCCTGTTCATGTCTTGGCTCGACGCCCAACCCAAACACATCGCGAAATACACCGAATACTACAAGACGCTCTTCCCCAACGCCAGCATTATTCTCGTCACCGCCTGGGCCAAAGATGTCGTTTTGCGCTCCAAGGCCAGCGAGACCAAAGTTTATTCGCCCGTCGCCGCTAAACTACAAGCCCTCCCATCAAACACCAGGATCCTCCTCCACAGCTTCTCCAACGGCGGCCTAAAAAACACCGCCCTCACCACAGAAGAATACAACCGACGCACCGGCGACCCCCTCCCGATCCAAGCCCAGATCTTCGACAGCGGCCCCGGCTACCCGCGCTTCTGGCCAGACCTCCGAGCCGTCACGGCCGGGCTGCCCAAGAACTTCATCATCCGCACTCTCGCGACAGCCGTGCTGGGTGCGGCGTACGTCTTGTACAAAGCTGTATGGTGGGTGAAGGGAATAGAGAATCCGATCATAACGTACTCCAAAATGATGAATCGCCACGAGCTTTTCTCGAAGAAGGTGCCAAGGGCGTATATCTACAGCCGCGAGGACGATATGGTGCAGTGGGGGGATGTAGAGGACCATATGGCTAAGGCGAGGGCGCTGGGTTATGAGGCGTGCGGGGAGCTGTTTGAGGGCACCCAGCATGTGAGCCATATGCCCAAGGATAGCAAGCGGTATTGGGGCATCGTGGAGAGCGCGTGGAAGTCGAGTTTTGGAAAGCAGTGAAGGAGACTCGGTGCAGATGTTGCCGTGCCTGCGAGTGTAGATACTGAGCGACGACGATGCGGTTAGGACTGGTGGCGAATTCTGGGTTTCTTATGTGCGATTGGCGATATCGAGCGGAGTTTCATTTACGATTCATTTACGATCGGGCGATAGAGATAGAGCAAACATAAACAGACGAAGCCTTTGCAAGCACTTACCGGCGTCCACCACATAGTGAGAAGTTCAAACACGATCTGCGACGATGGAGATTACCGTCAATCTTCAATGCCTCAACTCGACGATTTCTTCCACAATCAGTGATTTTCTCCATCTCGGGGTATATATCCCCTGGTTTGGGTGGAGATTCGTATTCCTATTCTCCGCTTTGAAGACCCGCCCCCCAGGCATCGCGGGGCTCAATTCTCACAGCTACTCAAGCAACACAATGAAACAGCCCACGACTTAGAAATCCACATGATGTCTCAGCACTGCGTAGTCAGGTCCCTACGCCAGGTGCGAGGCTCATCGATGCTGACGGGCCTGTTTTATTCTTAAAGGGCATCATGCGGGGAAGATCCCCTCCCCTCTTGGTCGACATTGTCTTCAATCTCGGTGGCACAACTTGCGAGAAGCGTCACTATAATATAGCGATATGTACTATGGGAAAGAAGACTGGCTGCAGATAATAGATTACTTTGGGTGCAAACGGCGTAGCTTGGGACGACAACAGGGATTCATCTCCGAAGCAGATTAAACATTATATCATTACGGAGGTGTTGTTCATACCTATGAACAACACCTCCGCCGGTTTTTTTTTGACCCTGCTAGCAGAGTCCAATAGGATGCTGAGTAAATCTTGTATGGGGCATATGTGGGCCGAGTGATAGAGCCTGCACAATTCCAGGACTAGTTGCCCCACACAACCTCTCCACAATGAGCTATTCCAGCACTATTATTGGTATCTTAGATAAGCTCATATATACCAAATGGTATATATGAGCGAATCAAATTACAGTATACTTGGGGATATAATAACAAAATAGATCTGACATTGTAACACAATAGTTTCGTCATAGTCAGAAGCGTGTATGAGCGTATGTTAGGGCTATAATACAGGGTTATAATATCATTACAATATAGAGTTTACAGTGGAAGCAGTTTCGGGAGGTTCTAGGAGAGAATCGGATCCATTTTCTCTATTTACTGTATTCTAATATACACTGTCGGAAGTAATTCCAGACGTAACCGTTTGATCCTCCACTAATGGCCATATACCAAACAACAATAGTACTCTGCTGCTGTTTGCTTTATCCTGACCCTGAAGGGGTTTGGCAAGCGCTCAAAGGGCTGTTAGAGGAAAGATGGGTATCAATATCCATGGTATCCCCACTGACTTTTCCTTCGGTATGGACAACCGGAGGGTCCAACGGAAGAATCAGTTCTGGTAGAGCAAGCTCTTGTACATGTTCAGAGCTGGCTGCAGGGTCACCAATGGTTGCAGCAGCAACCTCCTCTACCAACGCTGTAATAGGAGTTGCTGTAGCAGCTTCGCCCCTTACAAACCGACGGAGTGCAGCACTCCGATCCTTGTCGGTAGCAGTGCAGTACACTGGGGCAGAAAACGGCCCGTCATCCTCTTCGTTGCGATTGAGTAGAGCATTGTACTTGATGTGGGGTGACACCTTCATGCCAGTCCTAGTTTGTCCAGAACGGTGGGCAATAACGAGTCGCAGGCCTCATTCAGTGATGGCGGAGTCAAGAGACTCTTGAATCTCTTGACCCGTATATAGATGATCTGGATCCATGCTTAGGAGAACAAGGAAGTCAAGTTCGTCTTGATCATAAAGGGCTTTATCCTCTGGCGACAACTTTACCCAGGCCTTCCTGAAGTCCGAAATGTATTCGTCTGGTGTAATACCCTCCCCCTCGTCGCTGTTGTCAGAGACCGCATTACTGTGGTTGGAATCGTTATCAGTGTCGTATTTCGCAGGAGAATAGGTTGGATCAGCAGATTCAAGTTGATGAGATAGGTCGTCAACTTCATCATCGGTATTCTCAAGCTCTTGTAGGACACGCTTCCGCTTTCGCATGTTCCGACCCGCTGGCAAGGCTTCCTCTTCTGGTGAAACCAAATTAGGATCCTTAGGAATAGAAACCTCGCCCCAAGCGCGAAGCTTCAATGGTAGGATCTTTCGGCCACACAACGCCTTTCGGCCCTCTTTGGAATTGTGTGCAGCCAACACTTCATCCCGACTGCTAATCAATGCGTCTGCAATAGCCTGGAATGACATAGGTGATTGGAGCTTGGTCAATACATCTATAATGCTCTTGTCGATCTGTTTGGTTTCGCGCCAGGCATCATGAGAATTCACAACCGAGAGCCTCACAATTGTAACCTTTTCCTTTTGAGACACCTATATAACGATTAGACCTCTTCTCTGTACATGTTCCAGGTAAGAGGGGGGCACTTACTCTGATAGGTCGATAGTGTACCTGCAACTCTGATGGCAGGTTGATAGCTGTGGTAATCGAGCACACACGATGACATGCTCCATCCAGGTTAGCGCCTTGCGAGGAGACCTGGTACATCATAATCAAGACCGTAAGGTTGGAGTGGGGGTTGTTGAACTCCTGAATAAGCGCAATGCGCTGGGCATCGGTAAGGCCAGCATGCAGAACCTCTGCCCGAATGTATACTGACTTCAGAACTGTCTCGATAAACCATGCTGACACTGGGATGCCCTCGGAACACAACAGTTTGCTCCGTCCTCCGTCTGGTTTCTGTTTGAGACAATGATCTGTCACATCCTTCAAAATCCAGCGCAGCTTCGGACTACCAAAGGTAAGGTGGCGAAGAAGGTCAGTAGCGTCCTTGATTAACCGATCGCCAGCTCGCAGAGTAGCGTGCGCCAGTTGTAAACCTGTAAAGCCCTGTGTACGAAGTATATTGATGGTTGCCACTGTATCATCGAGTCGCTTCTTTCGTACCGTTGTATTCTCCAGGGTGTCGTGAAATCGACTTAGCATAGTCGAAACTGCATTAACTGTCATCTTCCTCAATGGGCCAGTCACACAAGGAAAGCTCTTGATCTCTGACGATGGATCAATACGGCTCTGTTTCTGTTCTGTCCACAGCGCAAGACCTTCTTCGTAATCCTTTACAAAGGACTGATGAAACATCTGGTACTCAGCAGCTTCAGCTGAGTTCATTCGGAGCTGGACAGTGGTAATTTCGTACGGCGGCATCAGATTCTTCAGCGACAAACGTCCTCCGTGGCAGTCCGTAGGGATTGATGTTGCAGTTGACTGATGAAGGAGAAGCAATTGCTCCAAGCATCTGTACAACTTGTTTATAGTTGTCTTGTCCTTACTGTTGATAAGTGTTCGGACACGATAAGGGTCTGTAGCGATGAGGTTCTTCCACGACGTGTGCAGTACATCTGGCAGAAGTAGGAGCTCGAAGTCCTTGGAATTGCCGTTGAGTGAATCTACCCATGTAGATCTCTCCTCTGTCGAAGAGAGGGACTTTGATATCTGAGGCCATAGAATGTTGAGAGGTCCAAGAATATCCTTTTATCAATTAGCCTAGCTCTGTACATGTACAGGAGTGGTCTGACTTACAGAGCTCTGATTCTGAATTGGTGTACCAGTAATAAACCAATGATGCCACGCGTTCAACCTTGCAACTGCCACATGGATGTTAGTTAGAGGATTTCGCACTTTGTGGCCTTCATCCATAATAACGGTGTGAAAGACACCCTTCCATCTTCCAATCCATTCTGACGGCTTAAACTGGGTAGTATCGCCAGGCTGTCGACGCGGTTTCTGAAGTGTTCGAGCGGCAAGCGTGTCATAAGACGTAAGGATTACTGTCTTGGCAGCCATTCGGTTGTTTTGGTCAAATATAAAACGGAGACCGGCCGGAAACTTCTTCGGACTATGGGGGTGGCTTCGCATTGCCTTGGATGAAATCCACCGTAATGAGGAA